ACTTCTGAAGTGACCTCAACAGGATTCTCTACCAGCCCTGCAAAGAATGTCAGTAATTCCTCATCAGAAAAAACCCTACATTTTGAATTCTTAGAACGTCAACATCAAGTTGTTATCATGGCCAATGCCATTGATGCTGCAGCACCACGCCAATGCGTTCTACCCACAGCCAGATCCCGCCGCCGCAGCTGCTGCTGCTGCTACTGCACAGGGAACTCGCGGTCTCCAAGATCCGCCCGAACAGTCTCCCACCATCTGCTGTTAGGGCTTATGTAAAACAAATTAATTGAAAGGCAACGTTAATGTGGCTTGTTGTGCAATTATTCACTTGCTACACCTGCAATTCTAGTTGCTAGATTAATCACAGGTGGCTGAAACCGAGATTCACACCCAGGATCTCAGCGGTACCAGAGCAGTGCTCTGATACTGAAATATCCCTCCTGAAGCACCTAACTCTGTTACCTCCAGCATTAGGGTTACACGAATGACCATTCGTCATACAGGTATCCCTGTAAATATCACAGATTCATTACGTCCAACTGTCTCTAGCCATCTTCTTGGTTCTTTCGGTAAAGTCACGTAGAAGGGAAATAATAAAATAATGAAAAATAAAACATAATAAAATAATTCTCACGACGTTTCGGCCACAACGCAAGCAGCCGTCCTCAGGTGAAGACCAGGTCTGTCGGGGAGACAGCGTCATTCAGACGCGTCATTCAAAAAACATATCCACGCATTTAATTGGTATTCAGATTTATATTTAAAGCTTTCGTGACTGCAGGGATTCATCTTCTTGGTTCTTTCGGTAAAGTCACGTAGAAGGGAAATGATAAAATAATAATAAAACATAATAAAATAATTCTCACGACGTTTCGGCCACAACGCAAGCAGCCGTCCTCAGGTGAAGAACAGGTCTGTCGGAAAGACAGCGTCTGAAGAACAGGTCTGTCGGAAAGACAGCGTCTGACGTTGTCTTTCCGACAGCCCTGTTCTTCACCTGAGGACGGCTGCTTGCGTTGTGGCCGAAACGTCGTGAGAATTATTTTATTATGTTTTATTTTTTATTATTTTATTATTTCCCTTCTACGTGACTTTACCGAAGGAACCAAGAAGATGAATCCCTGCAGTCACGAAAGCTTTAAATCGAAATGTCTCTAGTCACATTACTAATTTATCTTAGTCTGTCTTCATTGAGGCTCGCTAACTGTGTCTTGTAAGTCATAGTCATTGTCTTGTAAGTCATTTTCATACACTCATACTTCATTCATCGGTGGCTAAAAGAAACACAAAATTCCATGAAAATTCCCATCACTGATGTCACGAACAAATATTAACGCTAGTTCAAAGCCATTTACAAGTGGTTTGTCAGACGCTGTATCACAACACTCTCTGACAGAATATTTTTTTCGAAATACATTAGTTGCATGAGAGCGCAAGCTGCGGTAACGTGCCTGGATTTGCGTTGGGGAAATTCACGCAGCGAACAGCTGTAAGAACATTTGAAGACTCGTGCACCTTATGCCTCCAAGTTAATGCGTTCGGGTTCCTCTTATTGGGCTTAACTTACTCCTATTATTAACCGATATACAGAGGGCCTATTCAAAGAGTGTGTTACACTGAATCTCAGCCCCCTGACTGAAGTATGTTAATCCCACCTCGTGCCCTCATTCATAAGAATCCTTGACCCCCCCCCCTCAGAATAACCCACAACCATTTATCTTCATATCTTCCAGCCTGAGGTGATGCTGGCTTTGGAAATTTGTGGGGGCTTAAGTCGTAAATCATTTCATTTCCCGCACACTGGCCCCACATGAGCCAGAGGGCCAGGAGCATTGATTGTGGGGAATATGACACCCCCACCACCCACCCGCCTAACACCCTAGTAGCAGTGGCAGTACTCATGACCCAGTGCCACAAACCATGTAATGCCAGTGCTCTGGAGCACTGCACTCTCTAAGCCTCCAAGTGCAATGGCACAAACAAGAAGCTTGCAAAGGGAACCGCCAGGCATTTGCTCCCACCCGCACTGCTGCCTGTATCCTAAGGTGCAGCTGTCTTCCAGCCTCATAGGGTCAGAGGGGCTGGAGGGGGCTGAACCCCCCCTCCCCTGCTGAAGGTTTAACCCCCCATTTAATAATGATCGTTCCACATTGTAATGACCATTTACACATCTTGACCGATCTGTTGCGGAGTCCTTTTTCTACATGCAAACTTAATTTCATATGCAAATTATCCATATTAAATGTGCAGTTTTTGTCAATCCACTGCTGGATGAAGGCCTCATAATGCCATGTTAGTTGTGGGGGTGGGTTGACAATATTTCACCACACTGGTCAGTATGAGTTGATGCAGGGGCGGGGGAGGATGGGTGCAGGACCGGTTGAGATATGACTTGCTTGTTTGCCATGGTTGGAGATCCATCGCAGGTCACCGGGTATATTTGCTATTATTTTATCACGTGATTTGGTTAAGATTGGGGTGGGGTGGTGAGGAGCGGGGGGGGGGGGCAGGGCCTTCAGATATCACTTGCTACTGAAGTTAGCTGTAGCCTCGCATTGAACCCAAGTTGCTGGGTTCACATTGCAGCGTGATAACCATCACTACTGGCTATGCACGTGGCCTTTAAACCAGCACTGTGGATGTGAGGGTTGGTGGACCACACAAATGTTCTGAAACTCCCTTCCCGTGGGTTTCGATGCGCCATACCCTGGCTCGCCAGAAGGCAGTACAGCAAGTGGATTAGTCGCCATCTATTTCCATCTGAACTGGGATAGAGTGTTGCACCCTCACGTGCATTGGTTTTCTCCGGGTGTTGCGGTTTCCTCCGACGTGTAGTAATAAACACTCATCATGAATCGGCTGAAAACATCTCGTATATATGTTGAACTTCGTTTGGCACCGTACGTAGCCAACCGAGCTAATCAGAGATGCGGAAAGACAACAAACTAAGCACAAAACGCAGTTCTTAAAATAATAATACAAAACCCAATTCAGGACCCTCCTAAAAACGAATCCTATAACTCGGTGTGGTTTTATTAATACATGAATTAGTACATTAATATAATTATCGTTAGAATGTATTTTTAAATACTTTTACATATATGAATTTCCTTCAATGTAATTACGTTAACCGTGGCCAGGAATCCAACTGTGGTTGGTTGTTGGGTTCATAGCGCAGTGCGATGACCACGGCACAACCACTCCACCGCCCATGTGCTGTATTAACTTATTCAAATCGCTTATAGCTGTCTGATCGCCCTTTCCGTCTGGCAGGCAAAGCGGTCCCGTGTGAAGGAAGGCAAGCGGCGAGGCAATGACAAACGACGGCAGTTCAGGACAAATCGCCGCAAGCCCATTTATCTCTGGCGTCCCATGACAGCCGAGGGGCATCGGTTCGGGTCAGAGCTGGTGGCGCTGGGTGCCTACGCTCAGGCCAGTCACGGAAAGATTTATGAGGGTGCCAGGAAGAGGTGACATGCCACGCGGACAGATTCGGGGGACGGGGGGGGGAGGAAATGATCGCCAATGAAACAGAAGCGTTTGTTAGCGTCCAGAAGAAGTTGAAAGAACGGTCAAGAGAAAAGGAGTGGGAGGTGCAACTTTGGAGGATATTGATTCAGGAGCAGTTAAACGCATGATTTGTGTTTTTGGTCGCAAGGTCTTGGCAATAAGGAGGCTTTCTCTGAGCGCTTGGTAGGCTTCCGGCAGGCAGAGGATGCGTTGAAAAGGGGCTCGCTGTCAAGATACCAACATTTAAAGGTGGCGAGGTTCTCAGGGTTCATAGCGCCGAGTCGGTCGGCACTACTGAGATCCTGAGTTTCATTGTAGGTTTCAGCCGCCTGTAAATTATTATAATCCTTGTATTTTTTTACTCATATCCAGCCCCGCTTTTATTGTCAAGGCTTCTGCCATAAAAAATAAATAAAGTTTAATGGTTTCCGTACTGCAATGAAAATGTTTACATGAAACATCTGTACTAAATTCTGTACGGTAGTTGATTTACATTTTGAACGATTCTTGAGAAAAGTTCCTGCGCTCATAACTCACAACCTGAGTTTGATTCCCCGCCACGGCTGACCTGAAGGGCACATGGCATCTGAACTAATTCTGAACACCCCCTTCCCCAACATGCAATGAACAGTGTAAGGTATGGTCAAGCAATATACATGTCCAGCTCGTCGATTTTTTTAAAGGGCTGAAATGTATTCTTTGGTTCTTTAGGTAAAGTCACGTAGATAGAAAAAAAAATTATCATAAAAATAAAGTGAATAAAAATAATAATAAATAAGAATAAACTAATATAGACTGTAGCCTGGTTCTTAATCGGAGTGTACTGGCAATCTATAATGCAGACTGTAGCCTGGTTATTAAGTTTGGTGAGTGTACTGGTAGTTTATAATGTAGACTGTAGCAATGGTTATTAAACTGAGTGAGCGTACTGGCAGTCTATAATGTAGACTTAGTATTGTTTAACTGTAGTGTAACTGTACACTACAGTTACACTAGTTATTTAGCTGTGCCTTTTTACACCTGATGCAGGAAGCTTGTGTTGCCTCCGAAACGTCGTGATTTAATAGATTTTTTTCATTTATTAATTTTATTTTTACCTACGTGACTTTACCGAAAAAAACCTAAGCGTATGAATCCTTGCAGTCACGAAAGCTTTCAAATCTAGAATTAATTAATGTGATCCGCTTGCCCATGGCGCTGAGCACGTGTTTACAAACAATGTGCCCGGCAACAGGACGGAATGTACCAAGTCACGCTGAGAGAGCGGGGGGAGGGAAGTGACGCGTTCCATTGTTATGAGACGCAGCGCCAAACGCGATTGTAAGACACACCGTCGTTCGTCTGTTTATTTAAAATAAATAAATAAAAAATATTATTCGGTTTCAATCGTACAATGTGAATATATTCTTTTTAAAGAAACATTGTATGTGTTAATTGTTAGTGCCCTATTGAAATGGGTAGATGGTTTCGCCCAACCGGAAGCTCGCGTCGCCATGGTAACGCTAACGCCAGACGAGACGCTCCGTGTTTGTGGAAGTTGAATAATTTATAGTTTTTTTTGGTCGCCTACCCTAAATATTTTAAAGAAAATAAAAGGTATCGTGCAAATCGCAAGTTCTAAAATAAGCCGCTCTGTAAATCTGCCGCTTTAATCGTATTTATTTTTGATCGAGTTGCGAGCGTGAGAACAACCGATGATTTTTAATTGCCATGTGTTTTGGTTATCCCTGTTGCAATTAACACGGTGGACCAATGTTTGAGATTGTTGTGGTGTTAAAGTGTTGTATACGTGTGATAGCTTTGTGAGGCATTCCATTCGTGTTGAGTTTCTAGACATGTAACGATTAATCAATAAATTAAAATATATCGCGTGAATTTGATCCCTTAACATTCGTAAGTTCGCGCGTGTAATTGGATTAATTTTAGATTCATCAAAATCATATGCCAATGTTACCATTGCTGTGATTTTAACTATCAAGAGAGGAGAATAAGAGACGAAACATTGTCTCGCTAGAACCGAATCTTGTGCGTGTGCGCGGATCGATAATACCAGTACTGTTACATGCACTGCATCGTAATGATTACGACTACAGTAACATTTACATTTTGATTTAAAGCTTTCGTGACTGCATGGATTCATATTCTTGGTTCTTTCGGTAAAGTCACGTAGAAGGGAAGTAATAAAATAATACAAATATAAAACAATATTTTATTATTTCCCTTCTACGTAACTTTACCGAAATAACCAAGAATATACAGTACCATTGTTATTATTGAAATCAGCGCTAAAACATGAAAGTTTACGAAAGTATCACTCAGTGAAGTGTGACATTGTCCGTCACCATGTCTGTTAAGAGTACCCACACTTTACCCCACCACACGGGACCTGTCTAGCGATTGGCTGGTGGTGTAACACATTTATACTGCTGGATGGACGTGAAGCTTAGAACAACAAAACCTTGACAATGTCAGCTGCCGCGCCGCGAGATCGAACTAGCAACCTCTGCATTGCAAGTCCGGTCCGCTAACATTTGCACCACGTCATCATCTTTTATCGATTAATAAATTACATTCTAAAATTACATTAATCTGGCATAAGTCTGCCGCAGACGACGACCTCCATAGGCAGATGGGCATTTTCTCATTCTGAAGCTGCTAATGTTTCCATTGCGTGCGTGTGTCTGTGTGCACGTATGTGTGATGTGTGCGTGTGTGTGAGCGCGCCTCTACAGGGGTAGCGGACGCATTTGGCAGGATGCCCTTGGGACGAGAGCAGGCAGCTATCAGCTGCCTGCAGTACAGCCCCTCGAAGCCCCCAGAAGGATTCCAGACCCGCGTGGTGGCCCCGAGAAACCCCAAGCTGGTTCCTCGGGAGGAGTTTCCCTCCAAGGTAAAAGGCTGTAAATGCCACTTATGATGTGCTTATTATAAGTTGAGCCATTTGCCCTTTGCATTTTTTTTTACAAAAAAAAAACAATTTGTGATAGAACAATTGAGCATTTTGCAAAGGAAAGATTAATTGTATTTTGATTGTATTGAGCTTTGCCACATTAGTAATAGTAATAGGGTTTTACCCTTTCAACTGGTACAAAAACTGACACCTTTATACAAGGCATCATGTTTGCAATAACCACAATACAAGCAGTCAAAATGCAAACAAAAATAAACAACTCTGATGATGATAATGGTAATAATAATCTTTTGCCACATTCACAGGCACTTTATTGAAAGGTGAGTATTTATAAAGCATCAGACTAGATCCAACCCTACATATGAGTGGTTTCACCTCTCCTGTTATATATGATCTTACTTTCACTTGCTTTGTCAGCCTTTGTCAAAGCTAACAAAATATAATGACATTAAACTGATAGTGAAAAAATAGTATGTGTTAAATTGATGATGCGAAATAATACGTTTAGCTTTGATGGATAGGCTTATGTCATAGCACAAATATTATACCACTTCCATCGTCACAAAAAATGAAACATGTCATTCTTTGTGAAATATTCACATTTTTTACGTAATGCTATTCAAGTATATTTAACTGTAAACATAAAAAAAAATCTTTCAATTACTAACCAATGCTACACAATAAGATATGATGGAAATCAGAAAAGAATAAAAATATATATATATATGACCAAGGCACTAAATGGAATGAATAAATCAAGGCATATAGGAATAAGATGAAGTATAGCTTTACAGCACCCCAGGCAATGGCTCCAACATAGAGAGGTGTTTTTTATCCAGTCGTGGATATTGATGAGTTTCTTATATATTTTGTTATTTTGCCCCATGCGGTGATATTGAGGGCCATGGTTTTGCCACACTATCTTTTTTGCTTATTTTCCTTTCACACTAGGTGACCCCATCAGAGTTCATGAAAGAAATGGCACTGACCACAGAAGAAAAGCTGGCAGGCACTCATGAGATGCACTTGCCCAAAATTATACAACTGCTGGACATGAATGAGACTACCCACCAAAAGGTAAATCGTTATTAGACACCTCCCGTTGCATATAATTTAGTCATCTAGTCAAATAAATATTCATTGGTTTTAAATGTGTTCATTGATTTAAATATTTTACAATACCGTATGCAGAAATATGCTTTAAAAAGCCTTAATTTGTTGTCTACTCATTTGCAACTGTATGTTGCGTCTCCTTGTTTGTAGTTTTCGCTGGTGGACATTGATCAACCAATGTTCCAGCCCTTTCCTTCAGAGATCACCTTCCAGAACTTTGAGCCCTGTGAGACATATGAGGTGCCACTCAATCTCAGGAACAATGACCGGGTATGCCTTATCAATCACATTTTCTCACGTGTTGTGCTCATTACTTTCTATTTCCTTACGTTATTGTCCTGAATGTTAATTGATTATATGAGTACGATTTTGTTTTCACGGCTGTATGATGGTAATATTTCTTGATTTAAAGCTTTCGTGACTGCAGGGATTCATATTCTTGGTTCTTTCGGTAAAGTCACGTAGAAGGGAAACAATAAAATAATAAAAATCTAAAACAATAAAATTCTCACGACGTTTCGACTGCAACACAAGCAATCATCATTTTTTCACACCTGATTGATGATTGCTTGTGTTGCAGTCGAAACGTCGTGAGAATTTTCTTGTGTTTATATTTTATTATTTTATTGTTTCCCTTCTACGTGACTTTACCGAAAGAACCCAGAATATGGTAATATCTCTGTTAAGCTCTGAATCTGAAGCCAGACATCATCAGGCGGTAAACATGGGTGTTGATTGCCACAGGTGCCTCGACTGATTAAGGTGAGCCAGGAGGACTCGCCATACTTTAAGATCATCAGCCCAAATGACGTGGGCACCAAAGTGGCTCCAGGCATGGCCTCGACATTTCGCATTGTGTTCACACCTGAGCAGAAAAAGGTTTGTCTTGAGCCACACCTCACATTGTCACAATTTAGGATTATAATTCAATAATCGATCCATTGTATGATTATTTATGCTTGTATATATTGTCTCACTGGTCTATTTTGTCATGACCAATTATATAGACAAAAATAAACATGTACATATCATTAGGCTGAATTTTTAATAATTGATTCTAACATGCAAGACACCCAAACTTTGCCTATCGCCGGGGATTACATTCTTGAAAATAGCCGAAATCAGCAAATTCGTAATCCGTTTTGTAAATTCCTTGCAAAAGCCACGTATGATGATGACTATAATTAATGACGTGCCTAACTATCGTAGTGGTGCAGCACTTTTAAACACGTTTTACATTTTCAGCACACTTTCAGAAAAAAAAGTTAACACAAATCGATACAAAGTAATTCCCTAACGAATTTGTATATCATTTAAAATGGCAAGCATATAATTTGAAAGACCATACAACCTGTATAACATTGACCTGTGTACTTATCTGTCAGGACTACACGCATCAGTTGGTCTGTGTGACCGAGCGAGAAAAGTTTATGGTGCCGGTGCGTGCGATCGGGTCCCGCGCCATCCTAGACTTCCCGGATGTAGTGGCATTCTCCCAGCGGCCGGTCAAGCTGCGCTCTGAGCGAACGCTGCTCGTACGCAATGTTGGCAATCGCCACGCCAATTTCTCACTGCAGACGGAGAGGTGAGCCCAGCTGGACGTGTACTCGTAAATGTGTGCAGAAGGGAGACTGTTGCCTATCAAGAGGAGCATTTCTCAACACACATTTCTCGTTCTTTGGCTGCTATAGATTTCTACATGATAAGCCACTTAGTTGAGCTATGCGGCCAGATAGCGTCTTAAAACGAGCTATATAGCTCAGTGAGCTTTAACTGGTAAAATATAAAAAGTTTAGTGTTTTTAGTTTTACAATGTTTTCTCTGTAAAGTTTGTCAGGCCTGCGTGATAAACAGTCTCTCGCTTAGGTGGCCATTTTTTTCAGTTGAATATGTGCAATGCAACCAGCTGTGATGAAACTGTTGGCATTGCATTGCAGGGAATCCGTTTAATTCCATTGTTGTTTTATAGTAATCATATAATCTGCGTGTGATGTGTGAAACTGAATAAAACGTGGGAGCATCAAGAGGCAACTGAGGTGCCTCTGCTGAATCATCACAAAGGTTTATGCCTCGGGGCAATGACTTTGAGCCACTGATATTTTTATCATTCACACTTTGTATAAGTAACTATAGAATCATGGGTACAGCAGAGTTGTTGTCTTCATTCTGGACATGTATGGTACATTTAGCACACATGTTACTCTGGTATATTAATCTACAATCCTAATTCATGTCCACAATGACATTGTGGTCATCTGAGAAATCACAACACAGCTTATAATTTTTTGTAGTCAAATAGTATGTCCATAAGTGACTCATTTCAATAGTTATTTACACTAAATTGTTAAATATTGCAGGGTCTTCCACTAATATATTCCATATCAAAATTGCTTATAATTTAAAGTGCCTGATGTGAACATCAGTACATCACAGCTGTGCTCAATACACAATGCAAGAATATTTGCTGGTGTACTATGGTATCCCACAATGCACTGGTTCTTCATTTGTGCACACATTGTATTCATTTATAAGCCAATTTTCATCACCTTGAGGCATGCCACAAGGGATGTGCAGTTTGACAAGAAAATGGCAGATAATTTGAGAGAAATTTCAAGTAAGTGGGTTTGCTGTCAGTGTCAGCAGGGAAAGATGGCAATGCAATAAGCTAGATGTTTAAAATACTGTAGGATTGTTGTACAGGACTGAAAAATAGTCATTTTTATTCTTTGGATCTTTCGGTAATGTCACGTATATAGGTTCAAAGAAAATAACAAAAAATAACACGAAACTACTACCTTGCCATACATAGCAGGGGTCACCAAAAAGATCTCCAAAATCATGAGCAAACACAAGATCCGGGTTCGATTTAACACAGTGCATAACATTTTGGATCTGATCCCATCTGTAAAGGATGTGATCCCTGACATGCAATACCCTGGCGTCTACAAACTAAGCTGTGTCTGCGGCAGTAGTTACATTGGGGAAACTAAGCGACATGTCTCGGACTGTGTTCGTGAATATAAGGCAGATTTGAAACACGGTAGGACCAATACCTCGGCCGTGGCTGATCATTGTTTTAATGCGGTGGGCTCACACTAAATTTATTTCTCTAAGACGAAGGTACTTTGCAAACCTACTGGCTATCAACAAAGAATCGTTCATGAAGCCATCCACATATACAGACACAGACACAACTTAAATCGAGAAGATGGGTACAAACTGAGTAATCATTGGAAGGACGTTATCAACCAGTTTAAGTCATAACTGGCTGTGATGTTCCCATCCTACCACCTTCCGATTTACATGAACAGGTTAAATTTCGCACACTAACACAGCCACCTCGCTCGTCGAGCTCGACGTTGCTGCTCTGCGATCTGCCATTAACATGCCAATCTCTCACATTAACATAGCCACCTCCGCACACTCGTCGTGGGCGTTGCCCTCCGATCTTACATTATCATGCTAATTTCAAACATTAATATCACTAGCTCCGCCCACTTCGTTTATGACCCCTGTGTTGCGATCGAAACGTCGTAGTTTTTTGTTATTTTCTTTGAACCTATCTACGTGACTTTACCGAAATATTTCGATTTAAAGCTTTCGTGACTGCAGGGATTCATCTTCTTGGTTCTTTCGGTAAAGTCACGTAGAAGGAAATAATAAAAATAAAACATAATTAAATAATTCTCACGACGTTTCGGCCACAACGCAAGCAGCCGTCTTCAAGGAGACAGTCTGAATTCAGACTCTGTCTCCTTGACAGACCTGTTCTCCACCTGAAGACTGCTGCTTGCGTTGCGGCCGAAACGTCGTGAGAATTATTTTATTATGTTTTATTATTTTATTATTTCCTTTACCGAAATACCCAAAGAATATGAATTTCTGCAGTCACGAAAGCTTTAAGTCAAGATTTAAAAGTCATTTTATGTTGAGGTTGAAAACTGCTAAGAGTACATGCTTGTAAGGCGGTATTAAACGATGTAGGGATTCCTAGCCTGATGCACTGTCAAGCCAAAGCCAGTTGATTAGTCAGCACTAACCTTTGTCATGTAAACCTGAACCTTCAACCCGAAATCTAACTGTCTGGTTTATTTAACAACAGTACGGTACTGAGTCTGAATAAGCTGTAATGAAACATTCAAAATGCTCATATTCAAGGGTGCATTTGCTGTATATTGTTGCCACAATCTCTCATTTGCCTTCCCCTTTGAAGTTTCAAAAGGGTGTTTGTTTGTAACGTGCTTTCAAACCCGGAAGGTGCAGATGTATTAATTGTTTTGTCCAATAGTTTTAAATATAAATGATTAATTTAGCTTTTTCATTCAGAGTAGCTAAAACCATCACTTTCAGACCTATAAAAAATCATGACCGTTATATAAAATTTGAGAGGAATTATCGATTGATTAAATCAAGCAAAGGAATCATAAATCATAAATACATGAAACAAATTGTTTGTTATATTGCAATACAACATTTTGTTCTTTGAGTGAAGTGACATGCATGATGTTACACAATGATCGTTGAATTACACACCTCACCAGTTGCACACTTTTATTACCAGGACTCCATTAACTTTGAAAACATTAAGCATCTACTGAAGCATATAACACCCTTGTGGATACTCGCTTTGCACACTGCGCATGGCTGCACTTCTACAAGCATAAATGTGTCAAAAGTTGTCACCCAGAATGCACCAGATTTCATCACATGTTCGAAGCTAATCAGAGTTGACCTTAGATAGTGCTTGAATGGGCGACTACCAAGCATAGGAGGTGTTATCGGCTGCAATGTTACGTGTTGGGCAGCAGAGGAAAGTGCAGAAACATTAATTGTTGAACTGTACTATGCTACCATGTTTATGCTCCGCCTTCATCATCAACCCGCATTGACTGGTATGGGCATATAACCCCCATAAACCTGCACTGTTAGGGGAGGTCCTCATCCTGCAGTGAACTGACAAAGTGATCTATACACTTCCGATGACCATGGTTGGCTAGGTACGGCGCGAAAGAAGTCCAGCATATATATACATCCATAAAGATTTGCTTTCCTTGTATTATTTTCCAGCAATAACACTGGTCAACAAAAAAAAATTCTGGCCTGGACTTTTGCAGCTGTTTTAGACAAATTTCAGGGTGCTGATTCCAAATCTGATCTCAGATTTGCTCTATCACATCATTTTTATGCTAGCGGCATACCCCATTTTCATTGATTTTACCAGAAATTAATTCTGTCACTTATGATTGCAAGTTGTTGCGAGTCAGTGACTGGTTTAGTGTTAAAATATGTTGATGTATTTTTAGCATAGTGTGTTTATAATATAATTTTATGTAGATATCCACATTTATTTAATATTTTTCTTCTGCAGTTTTTTATTGAAAATGCAATATTTAATATCTCAAAAACCTGACGTGATAGACAAAAACTGATGCCAGATTAGGAATCAGCACCCAAAAATTACCTTAAAACCTTTGGAATACCTTATGCCAGAAAAAGTGTGTTGACCAGTGTAATAGGTCGTGAGAATTATTTTATTATGTTTTATTTTTATTATTTTATTACTTTCCTTCTACGTGACTTTACCGAAAGAACCAAGAAGAGGTGTTTGTACATGCGTGTTGTGCTCAGGCCGTTCTCTGTGGAGCCGGTGTATGGAGCGCTGGTCGTTGGTGAGAGCACGCAGGTGACTGTGGCTTTTACGCCGCAGACAACTGGCGACCATTCGGCCGAGCTCTGGATACACTACGACACGGGTGAGAGTTCCGCATCAGTCACGCTTGCTTGTGGACTTTGTGTTTTTTTACACATGAATATTTGTGGTGCAAGCGGTGTCCTTTATTCAAGATATTGCACGTCTATCATCGCTCTCTCTCCCATGCTGTTGAATCTAGGAAGTGCAGTTTCTGTGAGCTGCCAAGCAGTTTATACTTCACGAAAGTAATAACGAGACATTGTAGAGAAAACATCATCTCATTTCAAAACCTCGACGTGTCTCGCAATCAATCTCAATACACTTGTAACGCTCCTCTGAAAGATATGGGGGCTACCATTTTCTCATATTCAACCACCTGTTGAGAAGAAACTAAGCAGATCATTAGAAATCAATGGGGTATCGATAAATTAATCACGATTATAACTAAAAATTCAGCAGTTCTGTAGAGCACTGTCATTTTGCAGTGATAAATGAAAACTAGTGTCTGGGGGTTACATTTATAGGTAAGTCATATTCTTGGTTCTTTCGGTAAAGTCACGTAGATTGAAAATAAAATATAATAAAAAATATCAATAATTTATTGAAAATAAAAGCAAAAAACCCACGACGTTTCGATCGCAACGCAAGCGGTCTTCATCAGGTGGAGAGTACCACACACCAAATGGCCATTATACTGTGACTTTCTCATTGACTGGAGTATCAGGTTTCTCTTAATTGTTTTGTAATATAACGTTAAGTGTAAGGTTTTGTATAGTTTAATGTTGTTATGTTGTTTACTCACATGTCCAAATAATAATCACCCAATTAGCCTCTTGCTGTTATGCAAATGTTTTGTTTTACCTGCAGGCTGCTCGAACTGTATTATGGAATCGTATTGCAGCAATTGAGGGTAGCGAATTAGAACACTAGCTTCAGAGTTTTGCTGCTCCAATAAACATTGCCGTGAAATATTGGTCTGGACGACTCAGAGGCTTATTTAAAATGATCACATTTTTGCCATTAATTTAAAAACAGCCGTTTGTTCATTTATATGCTCTGCAAGACGGCTGATGATAATGATGAAGAAAATGCACACGGCTAGAGATGGAATTTCAGTCGCGTTAGCTTCTCTTACTCATAAAAATATCGGTGTCCTCTAAAGTGCAAGACTAAGGTTTATAATAGTGTACAGGTATGATCTCATGATCATCGTTGTATATATTCCACCAAGATGCACGTTACTGGAGGCACACCCAAGTAACGTTGTGCAGCAGTTACGTATAATATACATTACACTGCACTTGCAAACGCATGGCTCTTGTATTACCTTCCGAAGGCTCTTTATTAAGCGAACGGCACACCCACATGGCTACTGTATAGCTTTCAGTCAAAACCAACGCTGCCATCCCCAGGGAAGTCTTCCTTTTGATTTGTATGCCAACATGAGCAAACCTGTGAACGATAACGCACTATGAATAGCCAAAGTAAATACGGTTGTGTGTACACATCCCTGCGTTAATGTTCTAGTGAACCTTAGAAGCCTCCATTTTTAGTTGCTGTTTGTGGAGAGATACCAATGTGGCCTTTGAGTTAAAATGTGATTGTGTGTACTGTACACAATTTACTCCCATTGGTAGCAAATATCGGTGGTTTCACATACTATAATTTATACCTCTAAACGGTGTGTGTTGCGTAATAAACACATTTTGCATAGACATAATGTTAGGTGTGTACATGTATTGCCCTTTTTATCATGCTAGTGTTCTAGTGATTTGGGAAATGGGGATTATTTGACAGAGGTGGGACAAAGTCATTGTTATGCAAGTCCAAGTCGAGTCTGAAGTCATCAAATTCATGACTCGAGTCTGACTCGAGTCCAAGTCACATGACTCGAGTCCACACCTCAGAGGTGGGACAAAGTCATTGTTATGCAAGTCCAAGTCGAGTCTGAAGTCATCAAAATCATGACTCGAGTCTGACTCGAGTCCAAGTCACATGACTCGAGTCCACACCTCAGAGGTGGGACAAAGTCATTGTTATGCAAGTCCAAGTCGAGTCTGAAGTCATCAAATTCATGACTCGAGTCTGACTCGAGTCCAAGTCACATGACTCGAGTCCACACCTCAGAGGTGGGACAAAGTCATTGTTATGCAAGTCCAAGTCGAGTCTGAAGTCATCAAATTCATGACTCGAGTCTGACTCGAGTCCAAGTCACATGACTCGAGTCCACACCTCAGAGGTGGGACAAAGTCATTGTTATGCAAGTCCAAGTCGAGTCTGAAGTCATCAAATTCATGACTCGAGTCTGACTCGAGTCCAAGTCACATGACTCGAGTCCACACCTCAGAGGTGGGACAAAGTCATTGTTATGCAAGTCCAAGTCGAGTCTGAAGTCATCAAATTCATGACTCGAGTCTGACTCGAGTCCAAGTCACATGACTCGAGTCCACACCTCAGAGGTGGGACAAAGTCATTGTTATGCAAGTCCAAGTCGAGTCTGAAGTCATCAAATTCATGACTCGAGTCTGACTCGAGTCCAAGTCACATGACTCGAGTCCACACCTCAGAGGTGGGACAAAGTCATTGTTATGCAAGTCCAAGTCGAGTCTGAAGTCATCAAATTCATGACTCGAGTCTGACTCGAGTCCAAGTCACATGACTCGAGTCCACACCTCTGTTATTTGACCATACTTGACCATTCTGGTCAGTGCGGGTTGGTGAATATGGGGAGGATTGATGCGGGCGCATAGACATGCAGTTTCCTGGCCTGCCTCCTGCTGCTCACATTATATCCCTGCAGCCATATGACAACCTGCTTGTTTGTGCATGGCGATTATACAGGCAAACACTATGCAGGCTGATTGCCACTTCGCTTCTGAGATCAAATAAGATCGGGAACATTCGAGGTTATTTGGTTGTAGACAATTTTAGGTCTAGCAAAAAATAATATATATATGAAAAGATGTTTGATGAGACATTAACTATTGTCGGTCAACTGCTAGATGAATGACTACCCATACCATCACCGTCCCTTGTGATCTCGCAATTCCACAAACCTTCTCTTGCAAATTAACTGCTCTCATCACTCTGATCTCTTCTGTGATTATCCTCACAGTATGTTTACTTCTTTGACTGTCACTCAGTTGTCAGTCTTATCCGTTGGCCATCATATATTTCAGCGATGCATTCTGCCCAAACCCACTCACTTTTCTTAACAGTCAATATAATGTGTTTGATTTGAATGTGTTCCCTAATTTACGTGCTCTTATTCCTGTCAGTGTAATTCTGAACGTGTGACTCTCAATCCTTTCTGGTTTTGTTAAATTTCTCATCAATGTCGATCTATGTCTCTGATTCACGTGTCATATCTGGTGGTAGTATGCACTCATTTAAAAAAATGTTCAGGCACATCCGTATGCTGAATTTTTGTTATTAAGTGAAGCTTAAATATTGAATTCTCTCCTGCTATTGTTTACCTCGTTATTTTGTTACTTTGGTCCAGGTTGGCCTTTAATAATTGCAATATTGTCAAATGGCCTCCTTCCAATGGTTATTATATTTTGTTTCACATTTGTTGAACGTGGCTTTTGGTTTGCTCATAATTAACTAGAGTCCAACTACAATATGCAACTTTTTGTAAAATTTCCTACCGTTTCCCACAATACTGCATATGTACATTTATTTGTTAGCTCCATACGGTGCACAAGAAGTTCAACATACATACACACAATATGGTGAAACGTGAAAAGAAGAGTGTTACATTATATTAGGATTGCGAGCATCACCCATGCACATCTGCATGGGCACTTGGTTCAATGCGGCATTGAAAATAAACTTTATCGAAATAAAATAGAGGTCTCCCATACTTAGCGTCGAAAATTCTAATACGTGCGTCCAATTAGCTAGCACTTAGATCCTGATTGTCAAGTAAATGACATGATGGAATATTTAGCCTCCTTTTTGTGTCAGTGGATTATTGTCACACGCTTGTTGGATTAATATCAGTTGTGTTTCTCATTTGGTAAGCCACTGCTGGCAAAGAAATGGAAATCATGACAAATCCATGTTCCCATGGTGACCAGACTACAAATGGTTAATGCCGGTTAGAGTTGCATTGTTCGGAGATAAATGTGTGTTGCCATGGGAACCACTGTGAAACGAGTGCTAAAACGTTGCCATGATAGGCCACCGTGTAACACGAGAGAGTGCTTTGTTTATCATTAATTGCCTGTCAGTCAGTTTCCATTCGCTCAGTCGCAAAGATGAAGGTTAACCCTTGAGTGTATAATTTCCGGTGTGCTGGAATGAAGCAGAATAGCCAATTGGGCGTTATGGTGGAGAGGGCATAAGAGGGCTCACTGTTTTATTCCTGGAAAATGTAATTAATTTGGGGGTTAAAAGTCGACTCATTTGATGTGACTAGAATTGCTTACAAATGTAATGTGTTGATTATTTTCCATTTTAGTTTCCGCGTTTAATATAAATGGAAGTAATGTACATCGCTTTATACGTTAATTGTATTTACATTATTCTACTTTCACATGAATAATAGATGTTAATAAACACATTAAATCGTACTATATTCGAAAAAATATTTTCTGGATGCCTGTCTTCCTGACTGACTGGCTGGCACACGGGAAGGCAATTGTGCGTGTGTGAGGGTGACGTCACTGCCACATCTGCACGCTGACGTCACGCCTCATCCCCAACTCACCCTCTACCCTGGTTGTGTGTGTATCCTGTGCAAATGCAATAGAGGAGAGAGATAGAGATACAGTAAAATCTTGGATTGCGAGCATAATTCGTTCCGAAAACGTGTTTGTAATCCAAAGCACTCGTATATCAAAGCACTCGTATATCAGTTGTGATCACGTGACGCTCGGCAGACAAAGCGTACTACTCGTATTGCAAGACCTCGCTCGTTTATCAAATTAATATTTATTTAAATGTTTTTCTCGTCTTGCAAAACACTCGCAGACCAAGTTACTCGCAATCAAAGGTTTTACTGTATAGGCAAAGGAGGGAGTCAGGGAGAGGAGAGTGATGGGAAGAGAGTGAAGGCAATAGAAAGGTGGAGAGAGAGACAGGGCTCTATATTAGATCAAACAAATGTACTGGCTGGTCGCAAAGGTTGCATGGATATGCTGGTTACGAGTTTTCACTACATTTTTAAACAAATTTATTTTAACACCCAAATTATTGCCAGACAAGAATATAATGTTGTTTCCTCTGGTTAGAGGCCTCCCATGCCTTGATTGCCCTGTAGCATTTTCATATTTCCTATAACTTGCAGCTTAACTTTTTTCGTACAGTTTTTTTGTTTTACTTTTATTAATGATATTCATCGTTACCACCATCTTTGTAATTACCATCATAACCATATTTATAATTTTCATCATTGCCTTCATCATGATCAAGTTCAGCTTTCCAAGACTAGGAAAAAGCCATGGCAAAATAAGTCCGCCCTTTGTTTCGTCAAATAAAACCGTTGCACACTTGTGTGTCTCATGCAGGCGAAGACATCTGCGTGGACCTGCATGGGGCTGCAGTAGATGTCAACGTGAGGCTGGACAAGAACTCCGTGGTCATGGAGAGGACGTTCATATCAATGGCCAGCCATAGGCGCGTGCTGCTCAGCAACAGGATGGATGCGATTGCTCATTTCCAGTGGAGGCCCTACGCGACCGCCGAAGAGGAAGAGCAGCAGAAGCTGCGGTATGGCCTCAGGGATTGTGCTCGATGACCACATTCATTTCACTTTTTTTGTGTGTGTGTACACTAAGCGATGATTCTCTATCGCCTCCCTAGGCAGCGGTAATATTCTTTATCTGCACACGTTTTTAGATGCGATCTTTAGACGTTATGGGGGATGCTATCACTGCGGATATGGGCGTCTCACGCAGGCTATCACGATTGCTATGGTTTGATCAGAATGTGTGGATTGTGATGACACCGGTTGGATGGTAGCTGTTATTGAGGTGAATTAATTTGTACAAAAAAGTAATAATTAAAGCAGTAAAAACTATGTTATCCATCAAGCAAGTAAATTGCTTTTTCTAGTAGAGTGATAAATCATCATCTATACCTCCTATGTATCACAGTTTGGCCCAAACAAATATATTCTTGCTACGACAATGCCACATGCTCCCAAGAAGCATTCATTATTTAGCAAGTGAAGGTAATTTCTCAGAATATAGCCACAATACCAGAAAACAGGAGCTAATTCTTGTCAGCACTGCCGTAGCTCATTTTTAAATATTATACATTCTCAGCACAAGGGATTAGAATTGAAGCACCAGCAAACCCTGATCAACCAGTGTACCCAGCTATTCCCCTGGCAATGTTTTATTAAATGCATCACCAGTATGGCTAATGGTAAAATGTGGTTGTGGTGTATGTTGTGTGGTGTGCCGTCAAGGTTCTGCTCCGAGCTGTCAGCCGAGGAGGCGAGGGAGCGCAACTCCTTCCTGTCGGAGTACGCAGTGGAGCCTGGCCTGCGAGACCGACTCTCCATCTTGACTCGCTCCTTCCAGCAGCGCCGGCACATGATAAAGAGCGACCCCATGCACTTCTCCAGTGACGTCATCAGCATAGAACCACTGGTGAGATTGCAGCATGGTTCGCAACCACTGCACTGTGAAACATCTTGCGTCCACGACCCTATTATTACAACCCTCCCAATACTTGTGCCTCAAATCGCTCCGTGAAAATTTGTATTATCAGTGAAAACTTATTACAAATGTTTCACTCCCAGAAGGCAGTGGGGCCTATGGATGGCAGCACTTATCCATGGATGAGTCATTCAGAATTGCTCTCCAGGAAGTGCTAAATATTTTCTATTACCCGATGATAAGTGTGGATAAGAGGAATGCCTAGACGTGTTGACGTTCTTTCCATTACCCAAATTGATCCTGTTCGTACCCAGTGATGTGAAAATCACTAGGTACGAACAGGATGCTTTCTTGATTTGACCATTGCTGCATATAATGTGCATACAAAGTGGCAACGTCGACTTTTTCTATCCTAGTGGGAGAGATGAAATAATTATGGAGTGACATTCTTAAGCCCTTGCGGAATTAAACAGTTTTCCAATTAACATTAAGGCTCTCAAACCACTGAAACTTGAAGATTATTCAAATGTATATATATATTGAACTTCATTCGCACAATACGTAGCCCACCGTACTAATCGGAGGTGCAAATGTGCTTCAAACATAATCTTTGAAGACATACAAGTAGACCAAATGAATAAAGAAAATAAGACAACTTCTAATTGAGGGCAAAACACATTTCAAAATCATAACAGGTAACTTTAATACAAAAGCAGGTAAAATGAACAGAGATGAGAGGCTGATTGGGCAGTTTGACACTGGAGTGTGCATTGAGAGAGGAGAACATCTATTAGAGTTTGCAGCCAGCAGGGACATGAAGATAATGAACACCTTTCCAGAGAGATAGAATCTGGGAACCGTACATAGAAGGACTCAAATGGAAAAACTAGACTTGACTTGATTCGAATTTACTTGATTCAAACTGACAATCTCCAGATTGTCAGAGACATCTCTATCCCAAGGAATTTGAGAACAGGAAGTGATCACAGGTTTATGTAATTAAAGTTATACTTCAACATTGCCGAAGAGGGAACAAAGCTAATTATAGACAATTTCAAGGGCAGTAAATGTCTGTCTGCATAGCCGCATATGAGTGAATTCAAACTGCATATAGCAAATTATTAGTAGTAATAGGTTGCCGCATATACGCGAAATCGCACAAATCCTGGGACTCAAACTCTTTTTCAGATGAAGATGGTGGAGTTCGAGACACTGCGCTTTGTGCAGATTTCTAAGAGCAGTGAAAGTATATGATTCAGATGGAATAACTATGGACACCATTATGGTAAAAATTCGCAATGCCAGTGTAATCAACTTCTTGGTTCTTTCGGTAAAGTCACGTAGAAGGGAAGTAATAAAATAATAAAAATAAAACATAATAAAACAATTCTCACGACGTTTCGGCCACAACGCAAGCAGCCGTCCTCAGGTGAAAACCAGGTCCGTCGAGGCGACAGAGTCTGAATGAAACAGCACACGGGCTTAGAGCATATATATAAGCTGGGCGCATTGACAAATGAATTTGCATATCAACAGGAATTTAGCATATTTATGGGAAATGCAGGAATGTAATTAGTACTGCATATGCATGTGCATTATGCAGGATTAACAGCATCAAAGGGAGCTGCAGTTACTGCTGCTGCAGCAGTTGCTGCTGCTGCTGCAGTTTCTGCTGCTGCTGCAGTTGCTGCTGCTGCTGCAGTTGCTGCTGCTGCTGCACTTGCTGCTGCTGCACTTGCTGCTGCTGCTGCACTTGCTGCTGCTGCTGCAGTTGCTGCCTTATCCATTTTAATATAACACTATGTATTATTCTACCCACCCTAATGTGTATCATACTGCTATATGTTTACTGTACAATTACGACACCATACATTACTCTGCACACTGCACCATGCCAGTGAGTGGAACGCGGTCTGAAAGTCACCGTTAACGTGAACACAATCAGTTAAGATCCGAAATGGTTTATTACGTCCTTCCAATGATTGCTAAGCCAGAATCCATCTTCTCGGTTGAAATTGTCTCTGTGTTTGTATATGTGGATCGCCTCATGAACGAATCTCTCATGATAGCCAGATGGCTTGCAGAGAACCTCTGTCTTGGAGAAGTCAATGTCATGTGAGCCCACTGAATTGTAACAGTGATCTGCCACGGCTGAGGTGTTTGTCCTACCGTGTTTCAGGTCTGCCTTATGTTCACGGATGTGGTCCGAGACATGTCGTTTGGTTTCTCCAATGTAACTGCTACCACAGAGGCAACTTAGTTTGTAGACGCCAGGGTACTGTATGTCTGGAACCACATCTTTTACAGACGGGACCAGATAACGGATTTTATGTACTGTGTTGAATCGGACCTGGATCTTGTGTTTAATCAGGATTTTGGAGATCTTTTTTGTGACCCCAGCAATGTAGGGTAAGGTGATGGTCTTGAAAGGCTCCTCAACAGGATCCTTCTTGATGGTTGGAGTGATGGCTTTGCGGATTGTGTAGTCGGAGTAACCATTAGCCTTAAGAGCTTGGCGTACGTGTTTGAGTTCACTGGAAATGTGTTCATGGTCGGAGATGCATTGGGCTCTATGATATAGAGTCTTGATGAGGGAATTCTTCTGGGATGGATGGTGGTGGGAATCCGGTTTTAGATAAGCATCCGTGTGGGTGGCTTTCCTGTAGACAGAGTGGCTCATTGAACCATCAGGTCTCCTTTTGATTAGGACATCCAAAAAGGGTAGCTTGCCATCATTTTCGACTTCCATGGTGAATCTGATGGCTGGGTGTATGGAATTGATGTGGTCGAGAAATTGGTCTAGAGCAGGCCGGCCATGTGGCCAGATGACAAAAGTGTCGTCTACGTACCTCTTCCATAAGGTCGGGCGTAGAGTGGCAGTCTGGATGGCGTCCGTCTCAAATTTCTCCATGAAGATGTTGGCTACAACCGGAGATAGGGGGGAGCCCATTGGGGTGCCCTCAATTTGCTTGTAGAAGGTTCCATTCCAGGTGAAGTATGTATTGGTTAAGCAGTGTCTCACCAGGGGGGGTACCCCAGCATTCAGTCCTTGATGAACCAAGTCTTCAATGATTGCGATGGTGTCAGGCACAGGCACCTTGGTGAACAAGGAAACCACATCAAAACTGACAAGCAGGTCGTCTGGGGACAGGGCAATCCCCTTGATTGTCGATACCAGGTCAGTAGAGTTTAGTACTGCAGAGGTGGTTTTTCCAGTGAAAGGCCGTAGGATTTCGGACAAAAAACGAGCCAGTTTGTAAGTGGGGGAGTTGATAGTAGAGACAATGGGACGAAGAGGTGTATCTTCTTTATGTATCTTTGGCAAGCCGTACAATCTTGGTGGCCTGGCTGCAGAAGGTTTCAACGAGAACTGTTTGGTCTGATCAATTAATGCGGTTGAAGCAGAAATGATGTTGTTGGTTTTGGAGACGAGGCTGTTGGTGGGGTCTCTTTTTATTTTGATCAGACCAAACAGTTCTCGTTGAAACCTTCTGCAGCCAGGCCACCAAGATTGTACGGCTTGCCAAAGATACATAAAGAAGATACACCTCTTCGTCCCATTGTCTCTACTATCAACTCCCCCACTTACAAACTGGCTCGTTTTTTGTCCGAAATCCTACGGCCTTTCACTGGAAAAACCACCTCTGCAGTACTAAACTCTACTGACCTGGTATCGACAATCAAGGGGATTGCCCTGTCCCCAGACGACCTGCTTGTCAGTTTTGATGTGGTTTCCTTGTTCACCAAGGTGCCTGTGCCTGACACCATCGCAATCATTGAAGACTTGGTTCATCAAGGACTGAATGCTGGGGTACCCCCCCTGGTGAGACACTGCTTAACCAATACATACTTCACCTGGAATGGAACCTTCTACAAGCAAATTGAGGGCACCCCAATGGGCTCCCCCCTATCTCCGGTTGTAGCCAACATCTTCATGGAGAAATTTGAGACGGACGCCATCCAGACTGCCACTCTACGCCCGACCTTATGGAAGAGGTACGTAGACGACACTTTTGTCATCTGGCCACATGGCCGGCCTGCTCTAGACCAATTTCTCGACCACATCAATTCCATACACCCAGCCATCAGATTCACCATGGAAGTCGAAAATGATGGCAAGCTACCCTTTTTGGATGTCCTAATCAAAAGGAGACCTGATGGTTCAATGAGCCACTCTGTCTACAGGAAAGCCACCCACACGGATGCTTATCTAAAACCGGATTCCCACCACCATCCATCCCAGAAGAATTCCCTCATCAAGACTCTATATCATAGAGCCCAATGCATCTCCGACCATGAACACATTTCCAGTGAACTCAAACACGTACGCCAAGCTCTTAAGGCTAATGGTTACTCCGACTACACAATCCGCAAAGCCATCACTCCAACCATCAAGAAGGATCCTGTTGAGGAGCCTTTCAAGACCATCACCTTACCCTACATTGCTGGGGTCACAAAAAAGATCTCCAAAATCCTGATTAAACACAAGATCCAGGTCCGATTCAACACAGTACATAAAATCCGTGATCTGGTCCCGTCTGTAAAAGATGTGGTTCCAGACATACAGTACCCTGGCGTCTACAAACTAAGTTGCCTCTGTGGTAGCAGTTACATTGGAGAAACCAAACGACATGTCTCGGACCGCATCCGTGAACATAAGGCAGACCTGAAACACGGTAGGACAAACACCTCAGCCGTGGCAGATCACTGTTACAATTCAGTGGGCTCACATGACATTGACTTCTCCAAGACAGAGGTTCTCTGCAAGCCATCTGGCTATCATGAGAGATTCGTTCATGAGGCGATCCACATATACAAACACAGAGACAATTTCAACCGAGAAGATGGATTCTGGCTTAGCAATCATTGGAAGGACGTAATAAACCATTTCGGATCTTAACTGATTGTGTTCACGTTAACGGTGACTTTCAGACCGCGTTCCACTCACTGGCATGGTGCAGTGTGCAGAGTAATGTATGGTGTCGTAATTGTACAGTAAACATATAGCAGTATGATACACATTAGGGTGGGTAGAATAATACATAGTGTTATATTAAAATGGATAAGGCAGCAACTGCAGCAGCAGCAGCAAGTGCAGCAGCAGCAGCAAGTGCAGCAGCAGCAAGTGCAGCAGCAGCAGCAACTGCAGCAGCAGCAGCAACTGCAGCAGCAGCAGAAACTGCAGCAGCAGCAGCAACTGCTGCAGCAGCAGTAACTGCAGCTCCCTTTGATGCTGTTAATCCTGCATAATGCACATGCATATGCAGTACTAATTACATTCCTGCATTTCCCATAAATATGCTAAATTCCTGTTGATATGCAAATTCCTTTGTCAATGCGCCCAGTTTATATATATGCTCTAAGCCCGTGTGCTGTTTCATTCAGACTCTGTCGCCTCGACGGACCTGGTTTTCACCTGAGGACGGCTGCTTGCGTTGTGGCCGAAACGTCGTGAGAATTGTTTTATTATGTTTTATTTTTATTATTTCATTACTTCCCTTCTACGTGACTTTACCGAAAGAACCAAGAAGATGAATCCCTGCAGTCACGAAAGCTTTAAATCGAAATCCAGTGTAATCAAGTCGGTCAGTGCTTGGCCCTGCAGGCTTTATCATCACTCCAGCTGACCTACAACTGAGAACCACTGGCACTGTACGAGTTACATACGCAGACAACACCTATTTAATTATCCAGAATTCAATTCTGCATCTAACTGCCAAAGAAATTTACCACATTCAGAAGTGGGCCACTTGTAATAACCTCATGCTCGATGGAGGAAAGTCCACAGAACTGATGTTCAGGCCAAAGGGTGAACAAGGCAGCCGCAGCATCAACCACACCCCTGTTCCACCTCCCCCTTCAATTTATCAAGAGAGAGGCGGTGATGAAAAGTTTGGGTGTGGTCATCACCAGTTTTTTTTCAATGGCACCCCACATTGCCTCTATACTCTTTGGTTCTTTCGGTAAAGTCACGTAGGTATAAAAAATAAAATAAAACAGACTGTTTTGAAACAGTCTGCATCATCAGCAGGCCATGCTTTCCCACCTGATGACGGACGCTTGTGTTGCGCCCGATACATCGTGATTTATTTTATTTTTCTACCTACGTGACTTTACCAAAAGAACCAAAGAGTATGGATTCCTGCAGTCACGAAAGCTTCAAATCAAAATTGCCTCTATAGTTGTGTACTTTTTATGCCTTACGCATATTAGGAGCGCGTGGAATGCTTTTAAAGCTGCATATATATTGTGTTTTCGCCTCAACAATTATCGCCAAGATGAGCTCTTGCTCTCCAGCATGGTTGGGGATTTACCAACTCAGCTGAGCGTGATCGGCTTGAGTCAGTTCTGCGCCGCAGCAAAAGAATAGGGTTCTGTGCACCCAGTACACCAGTCTTTAGGGAGACCTGCAGAGCCGCGGATTCATCCCTTTTCACCCCTATTATTTCTGACCATGACCGTGCCTCACCACGTACTAGTATGCTTTATTTTATTTGTTATCTCAATTTCTTGATTGTGGCTACAACCATTGATGTTTGCATTGTATTGTATAGAATAGCACTATCTGACCCCCCTTCCCTTCCCCCCCCCTTTGGCAATGTGTTGTAGCCCTTACCAACTTTCCCCTCTTTGAAATGATGTACGTAGCCGCGGCTTGTCAGCTGCTCTGACTATCTGACTAACGTGAGGATGAGTGTGTGAATAAACGATTATATGTATGTTGACACAGAAATGAAATACCTCGTGCATGGCACGAAGCCTAACTCATTGTATTCCAAAAGGGAGACAAAACTAACTTGGAGAATTACAGAACCATTGGCTTCCTCTCGTGTATACAAATTGTTCACGAAGACCATTGGAAACAATATAATGGACAATTTACATGCCAACCAACCGAATACATTTGATAAATCAGACAAATGAATATCATATACCATTATGCATAGCTACTGTTGACTATGAATTGCATTTGACTCTGGAAATTGATGCATTCATCCCAGCTTGCACAAACCAAAGCCTACATAAATTATATATTTTGCAAAGATAACTAAATAAACAAAACAAGGACGAAATAGAATGGATGTACAGTGGTACCCCAGAGATCGAACTTAATTCGTTCCAGAAGGCCATTCGAACACCGATTTGTTCGAGCACCAAATTAATTTTCCCCATAACAATTTATGTAAGTGACATTAATTGGTTCCAGACATGAGAAATCTCTCATTATGAAGCATTTTTACACAAAGTTTACAGTAATTACATGCATAAAATCATACAAGAAACACAATAAATGGAATAAATGAATAAATATATGGAATAAATGAAATAAATGAACATTGAACTTCACTTTACATGTAGTAAGGAAAGTTGATGGCTTGAGTGGAAGGTGGTGAGGAGGAGGTGGTAAAACCTTTGTCTGGGCAAGCGTCATGTACGCTGGCCATACGCGTCTCAGCCGTACAGGTTCTTTCAAGTCGCGATTGCGCGATCGCCCTCCGAATTTCGTTCGGTTTCCGGGGCAAAAAATGGTCGGAAATATCATTCGAACACCTATTCGTTCGAGTTCGGGTGCGTTTGATCTCCGAGGTTTTACTGTACTTACATTCTGTAAGGTTTTTTAACATGTGTTTGTCCTTGGAATTATATCATGAGCAATCATAATGTTACCTTGGAGAACAAAGTATTCTGCCAGCTATGAGATGGATCAGAAACATGGGCACTTGACCAATAAAAAGGAACAGAAGCTGGAAAGTACACAAATGAGCATGGAGAGATTCATACCTGGAATCACAATGATAGAACAAGCAACACATGATTTGGAGAACATATGCGATTTCGAAACATATTGAATTTTAAGGTAAATTAGGCTTGAACAAGGTATGATGGCCAGCAGTTAAGACTAAAAATTGATTTGCAGCCAAAGTAGGGAACACACCCAAGAAGAAGACCATCTCAGAGATGGACTGGTGAGTTCAGCTTATGTACAAGAGGACTGGCAACAGTTTGGGGGAGGAATTCATCGACCAGTGCTTCATCATCATCACGATCCTTGGACAGGTGTCCACTGCAAATTTAGTTATTTGTTTCCACTTTCCTCTGACTTGTGTCAAAAATCATATCTACCAGTGGATAGATGTGATTTTTTTCTGGCAAAACAGGAATATACTCTCATTTTAAAAGTTCTTAGACACATTTGCATGGTATTTTTTTTATCTTACAGTTCAGTTTTCCGGACAAAATTCACGAATTTGACTTAATGCCTGGGCAAGTGCTGGCGGCCCACTAATAGCCAACATCCAACTGTGTCTGTGTAGCCTATCTACTTCTGGAAGTACGACTACCAGTTCCAGACAATCTTCTTTGATGTTATTGATCCTATTTTCCTCACATGTCCTTTAGTCCTTGTTCCTCTGATGTTGCCAAGCAAAGGGATATCGGGAAATGTCACATTACACTAGAGATGGTGATGGAATTGGTAACGGTGTTAGTCTCTCCAACCTCAGGTTTTCCGACAATATTGCTCTACTGGCAGGTAATGAAGTGCATCTTCAAAGTCTGACAAACAACATTACTGAGAATATATTTTCTATAGTTCCTAATAGGCAGAATATATACAGTACTCTATTTTATCTCTGTAGCAAGTTTTGTATTCACTTTGGCAATATGACTAATAAACATTTGATACATCACATTTATTGTTTGGGTTATTGTAGAATACACAATGGAAAATAATTTTCACGAGGAAATATGTTCTGCATATATATGTCATGGTTGTTACTTATATTGCATATGCATAGTTAAAATTCTACAAAAAATTAAGGTTTACAATATGACTCCGACTTAAGCTTTGTTCATGCAAGGTATTAATTAAATGTACAGCCCTGTACAAGCGGTGGAAATTCCACATTCCTATGATGGAGGTGAGTCTCTCCATCGGACAACCACTGTTGACTTTCCCCACAAAGTGTCACTCATTCATTTTATTTACCCCGGAGAGACAATTGGATGGGTCAACTCCTAACCACGACCACGATTAGAACTCACAACTTTCCAATTGCGAGCCCGCTCGCTTTACTGCTGAACCACGTGGCTACTTCATGGGCATGTGGAAGAAATTGTCCATGAAGCAGGACTGATTAAATAACTTAAAATATGCTATACTTTGACAATGAGTGGTCATTATGGCTCAAAATACATGGCAAAATATGTTCATAAACGAGCACCCACTTAGAAAACGATAACATTTTACAGCTGTTCCTTTATTTAATGTTGTTTTTGCCAGAACTCATTGTGGTTTCCATCCCATTTTGTGTTGTAGTTCATGTAATGCCATATGGTGAAATATCACTGAATGCAGGACCCATTAAACATGTTTAAAAAGGCCATATGTAAGGAAATGTATCTATTTATAACAATGTAGCTTACATTAATGTGAAAACAATTATACCGATGTGACCATGTAAATTATGCGTTTTGTGAAAATGTTTTGTTTGGTAAGCATGTAAAAATACGTGACAATAGTAGAATATGTGACGATGGGATATTTGTGTTAAAACTTTTCCCAATAAAGCACACAGAGATCTCGAGATGGGCGAGTGAGTGAGCAGTGTGATATTTCTCTGTCTCCCGATTCCCCTAGGAAGGTGATATCTGGCCCAACTCATCAGCTGAGATCACTGTTGTTTTTAAACCTCGGGAGGCCAGGGTTTATCAGCACACAGCCTACTGTGACGTTACAGGTACCCCCTGGACAATTCTCTCCTCAAGTTGTTTTGATGTAAATTTCAATGACACACATGGTGCTTGTGCAAATGATGCCATTCAATTTCAATTCCAATGTCATTTAAATCATTTAGGGAGAAGCAGCTTTTTAAAAGCTCTTGCCAATGAATGATGGTAATAAAAATGTTAATAATGTAGGAGTATAAATAAATAAACATTATTAAGCTTTATTAAACAGTATTTGTATTACATATGGGAAATGCAGGTTTCATCTCATGCTTGTGATAATGCTTTAAACATACTTTTTTACATATTCAGTCTTATTAAATGTTATTTTTCCATCTTTTTTTATACAGCCGATATATTAGTATAATTTGCAATCTTTATGCTTTTGTATTGCTACAATAATCCAGTGCTATTCAGCAACCAGACATGCAGCCTGAACAATACAGGCTGTTGTACATCCACCTACATATTTAAATAAGATAGTGAATTATTAAATAAAGCAAGAAATGTATCCCCTGGCAAGTGAAGCATGTTGTTTTACTCTTAGGTGCTTTACATGCCCAAAACAACATTTCATTCAAAATAAATATCAGTGCTTCTCTTGCAGCATCAGTATATCTCTTTTCTTCACAGGATCACAATGTTACGGTATGAATGTAAATAAAATAACCATTTATATCTTCTTTGGGTCTTTCGGTAAAATCACGTAAATCGGTTAAAATAAAAAACTACGACGTTTCGATCACAACACAAGCGATCATAAACGAAGTGGGCGGGGCTAGTGATGTTCATGTTTATGACCCTTGGGCTACACCAATTTTAAACCTTTAAAACAGTCTGCTTTTAGCAGCTTTCCCCCTCTGTTTTCCTCCTGATGACGATTGCTTGTGTTGTGATCGAAACGTCGTAGTTTTTTGTTGATTTTTATTAATTTGAACCTATTTCCGTGACTTTACCGAAAGACCCAAATAATATGAATTCCTGCAGTCACGAAAGCTTTAAGTCAAAATAACCATTGCTTTATATATACTGTTGTCATTGTTACTTTATGTGATAAATAAAAAAAATAAACTTGGCCACATCTATTTAAGCATGGCTGCATACAATTGCTACACTGCAGAATAAGATATATGAACAATTACATTCAAAATGTCAAAAATACAAGAACCATGGACTCAAACATTGTCGTCTGTTGCACTTACACCGATATATTAATCATGATTATCGTCATCAGATAGCTCGTAGATATCCACTGCACATTTCATCATTTGAATATATAAAAATGATGGCTATGAGGTAGTTGAGAGACAATTCTAATGTTCCTGCTCAGTCCATGTCTCCTGTTTTGCAGGCCGGGAAACTCGTCTCCCTCTGCGGATTCGAGGCGAGGGGATAGGGCCCTGCCTCCTCTTCAACTGTGACCAGCTGGACATCGGCAACGTGTTCATGTCATCGCAACATTCATACGAGGTACTGGCCTTTCCGCAGGGGCACTTGCATGCTCTTTGTAACAGACACAGTTGGACTAATAGAGCATTTACCATCTTTACGTGTCACTCAACGAGGAGGCGGTGTGTGCGCCGTCTGCCACTTTGTATGGAAATCGTGACAGGCTGGCCATTGTGTGTTGATAAGGTGACCAAGTTTAAAGAATTCTATGAATAAATAAATGACTAAATTAGCCATTCCCGAATGCTTGCCTGGGCTAAATTCCCTTGCTGAATTGTAAATATTGATCCAAACATCCTGAAACCAACATTTTAGCATATAGATTAAGATTGTGGGGAATGTGATGTTAACAATTATGATATATATTGCTGCTCTGATTTATAGTGCGCTTAGCATTGATGAAACATATTGTACTTGAATCTGCAGAACACGGCCATATACATAGAACTTTGGCAATGTGCTAAGGTGAGCTGTGGCCTTTTCGTGCAGGTTATCTTGGCAAACAAAGGGGAGATTGATGGCATCTTCAGCCTCGATTCGACACTCTCCCTATTTGGACGCTGCTTCACGTTGGAAGCCCTTTGAGGGCATCGTTCTACCCAGAGGACACCAGGCAATCGTCATCTCCTTCCAGAGCCAAGCCATTGGAAACTTCAGCGAAGATCTCCTGTTCACTGTTGACGGCTCTTCGGAAAAGATTAAATTGACCATCAGGTTGGCCCGAAAAATGATGTTACTTATTATGCGTATTTTTTTAAACCATAAAACTATGAATGCGATAATTTAACAGATTCCATCTTTTCGTGAATCTACTGCTAGGTGAAGGCCTCCCCACTTCTGTCACAGTAGTTTGACCATATTTCACCATACTGGTCAGCATGGATTGGTGATGGCAGACCGACGACCAGCTCAGATATCTTATGCCATTGATATTAGCTGTGGGCGAGAATCAAACAGCTTGGGCATTTTTATGTAACCCTCTACCTGTATCACCATTGTAATGTGGCTGTTGCCTGTGTTTCTTGACAGTGGCCGCGTGATTGGACCTACATTTAACTTTGATGTTCCAAGTCTCGATTTTGGAGATGTATCCTTTGGTAAGAAATACTCACTCATTTATATTGAAATGTGTTGTTTTTTAAAGCAAGTAAATTATTATTCATAAGTCACACTAGTTTATGCCAGGGCACGAGTATTTATAATATTTACGAATCGTATTTTCAATTACACTCGAGTTCTAAGCATGTGTAGTGTTGAACACGGAGGCACACACTTGACTTTGAGGCAACACGTTTGTAACACAGCCCCAACAGGGCTAACTACATAACGTACACTCACTACACTAGACCCCAACAGGGTTACTACGTAACCGGGTCAGTCAGTAACATTCTCTGACTGACCCATGATGCCGAGCGAAGACCGAAGATCGGAGAGACGTAGCGCTGAGGTTTGATTCCAGAGAACAGCCAAGAACGCTATCGGGACTGCCCCTTTATGCCCCTGGGCGTGGCCTCGCTCCAGCCCTCGACCATGCCCTCTTCGAGACCTTTCCCGAAGGATCTCGACCGAGCATCACGTGTCCCTCAAGCCCCCCCCTCGGGCCACTCTCACTACCCTGTCCCGGTCACGTGCCCTCCCGGGTTCACCCAGACTACCACGTCCTGACTTGCCCTCTCTCACGCCGTCACCAGGACTATGTCCCCTAGGGCCCGTTTGCATGCCGTACTCACTCTGGCCCCAGAGAGAGGTTCCAGACGCACAGTATAACTCTTGTGACAGTGCCCTGGCGCTAACACCAGAGTGACACCCTTAACGTCACTACATATCTATGTATGCTTGTTGAACTTCTTTTGCACCCTACGTAGCCAGCCGTGCTAATCGGAGGTGCGGGGGAAGGACAACACACTAAACACAAAAAAAACACCATATGGGGGAACGTTATGTGGAAATATTGTGTCTAAACATTTTTCTTTGATCATCATCATTGTTGTCGTGCGTAGGGTTTCCAGGTACGCAGCAGTGTACACTCATCAACACATCCCTGGTTGCTATGGAGTTTGCACTTCGCGTGCCAGGTGATGGTGCCGGCAGCCCCAGCGTGTCCTAGCCTTGGCAAGGAGCACATGACCAGGCAGGGCCTGACATCCCGACAGCCGCGTGAGTTCTCCATCACGCCCTCCAGTGGCAAGCTGCAACCCCAGGAGAAAATTGCCATCCAGGTGAGTGTCTGTGTCCGTTAAGCGTCGTGGTGACTGAAAGCTCGTGTCAGGCCACAGCCACATTTCAGGGAATTCAATGAACGTGCTATAACGAGTAGCGTTGTATAACAGTGTGTAGGTTTATATTTTGGCGAATAAAAAATATATATAATTTGTAGATGTTGCTGTGAACGTAAACATCATAAATACTTTGACAGTGAAATAATCAACTTATTTTAGATATAACATGCACCTTTGTCCCGCACCTCTGATTAGCACAGTTTGCTACGTACGATGCAAAATAAGTTTAATATACGTACAAAACATGTGAAGAATTGCCCTCTCTTTGAAGTATATGTTACTATGTTTGTTGTAGAAGTGTTTATTGTTTAAGAAATATACAAAGCGACAAATAACTTTCTGATTTCACAAATAAATTATTTTAAAGCTTTGTTCTTGAAAAAAAATACTTCAATAGAAGCGTAGTACTTTTAGCAGTATCACAGAATTGTAATTTCCATACTGTTGATTACAATGTCACTACAGTGCCATTACCAGAACACTTATTTTTTTTATCTAGCTGAAAGGTATTTTTATTTTATTATTAATGATACTTTAAAGTTATGGCAGACAGCCTAGAACGTACAACCTCTGTGTTTATTTGTAAAATAATAACTGCTTTTTTGTTGTATCTTCCTTGAATAACAACGTTCAAAAATACATGTTTTGTCCCTCTTACAGTGTATTGTAATTTAATGAGATCTCCCATAGTTTATAGAAATGCAGAAATTTCCTCCCTTACAAAAATATGTTATACGCTTTGCAATTTCTGTAGCCGTGGCGTATTGTCAATACAATTATAATTTAAACTTTATTTGAAGCTTCCGTGACTGCAGGAATTACTCTTTGGTTATTTCGATAAAGTCACGTAGAAATAAAATAAAATAAAGAATAGAATACGACGTTTCGATTGCAACACAAGCAACCGTCATCAGGTGTGAATGCAAGCTCGGAGAGAGACACACATACAGAGAGAGAGACAAACAACAGACACGGAGAGAGACATACACAGAGAGAGAGACACAGAGAGAGACAAACACAGAGAGAGAGACACACACAGAGATACACATATAGAGGAGAGACATAGAGAGACACACACAGAGACACACAGAGAAACAACGCCTCTGTGACGAGGTATTATATTTCGATTTAAAGCTTTCGTGACTGCAGGGATTCATCTTCTTGGTTCTTTCGGTAAAGTCACGTAGAAGGGAAGTAATAAAATAATAAAAATAAAACATAATAAAATAAAATAATTCTCACGACGTTTCGGCTACAACGCAAGCAGCCGTCTTCAGGTGAAGAATGAGACAATGCCAAGCTAGTGCCAAGCTATATATATAAGCTCCTAGCTTGGCATTGTCTCATTCTTCACCTGAAGACGGCTGCTTGCGTTGTAGCCGAAACGTCGTGAGAATTATTTTATTTTATTATGTTTTATTTTTATTATTTTATTACTTCCCTTCTACGTGACTTTACCGAAAGAACCAAGAAGAGGTATTATATATAGAGAGAGGGGGGGGGGGGCAGAACAAATTAGCATGCCAATGAGAGCGGCAGGGGGAGAGAAATTGGAAGTTTGAGAAAACAAACCGAGTAAACTTAGAAATGTAATGCAATGCAACACAGAGAGTCGGCTAACACAACAGTTAACACTTTACCTGGTTGATTACGTTCTTCCAAAGATTGTTAAATTTGAAGTTAAGTATGAGTTGTGTGGAAATCCTCCCCGTATAGGTGGTTCAAACTTGACTTGAAGCTTTCGTGACTGCAGGAATTACTCTTTGGTTCTTTCGGTAAAGGCACGTAGAAAGAATGTGTATGTGTCTCTCTCTCCGTGTCTGTGTTTGTCTCTCTCTCTCTGTAGGTGTCTCTCTCCGTGTCTGTGTTTGTCTCTCTCTCTCTGTAGATGTGTCTCTCTCCGTGTCTGTGTTTGTCTCTCTCTGTAGATGTGTCTCTCTCCGTGTCTGTGTTTGTCTCTCTCTCTCTGTAGATGTGTCTCTCTCCGTGTCTGTGTTTGTCTCTCTCTCTCTCTGTAGATGTGTCTCTCTCCGTGTCTGTGTTTGTCTCTCTCTCTTTGTAGATGCTCTTTGCTGTACCGATGCACTTTTTTATATTATTGTGGCATATCTCATTTTGATGCAGCAAGTTGTTCGTGGTAATGTGCTGTTAATGACCAAATGTTTTTCCCAACTTTACAAACAGGTGACACTGTGCTCCAACACAGTGACGTCATATGAAGGGGCCCTAGTTGTGGACGTGAAAGGGGTGGGCGAGGAGGTGCTGGCATTGCCCATCTCAGCCAAGTATGACCCGCAACATTGTGCAGTTTAACACACGTAATTTTCCGACTCTCCATTACGGTAAGTCCTCTATTTACATGGTTTCACTAAAATGTCACCAACGAATTAGGGACTATAGTTAAGTTTAAAACGCATTGATTCACTACAACGTTGTTTTGAAAAATTGAAAGAAAAGAAAGCAGTCGTTTGGGCAGCGTGCATGACGAAGCACCACTCTGCCCCAAACTTGTTATTTAACATGTTTTTGGGTATCTTTTTTTGGTACAAATGTCATGTTTTTTCAGAAAATGTTGACAAAAATTACCCCAGGAATGGATCCTAAATTTATATCATTAAGTCAATAATAAAATAGGTTTTGATTTACAGTTTCACCTAACGTCGCGTTTTCCAGGGATGCATCCCCAACGTAAATAGAGGACTTACCGTACATTTAACCAATTGGTTTTCACGAATGAAAAATGGACCACAGGTAAACCATAGTTGTTTATAAAATGGAGCCACATTTTAGCTTATTTGAACATTGCAGCTTGTGATTTACCACCAGATGCCGCGTTTTTATCACAATAGCTCTTATGGTAATCAGAGATGTCCTCTTCGTATTAATGGAGAAGTGTCTTCACTCTAATCTTACGGATCAGAATTTTTGGCTCTACGTGTTGTGTAAGCTTTAGAAATGCTGAAAAATCTGAAACTTCTTTAAAACAGAGGCCACACATGGCTATACATTTACAGGCTGTGTTTGCTGTGGGTATTTTAACCCCTTGTTTTGTTTGTTATGTATTGTATATTGCTGTCACATTACACTGTGTAACAAAAAAAATGTTCCTGGGTTAGTAAGTGTTATTTTCCAATTGCTCATGCCTCAAAAGTACAGAAAATGGCTATTATTCCCCACAAACTTTGCTTTTGTGACCAGGACAGTGATATTTTGAAATGTATCTATTTTCAATGAGAAAACGTGGTGTGCATTTATGTCATTCCTTCACGTAAAGTCCTGGTCACAAAAGCACACTTTGTGTGGAATAATAATAGCTATTTTCTATACTTACGAGGCATAAGCAATTAGAAAATAACGCTACCCAGGAACAAAAATCGTGTTACATAGTGTTATCTAGTTTAATGCCACATTTTATGTTTTACACATTGCATTTTTGAGACCCATTGTTGTAGAATAAGTATGTTTAACATCCTAATTCTATAATCTTGGTTCTTTCAGTAAAGTCACGTAGAAGGGAAATAATAAAATAATGAAAATATCAAACACGTGACTTTACCGAAAGAACCAAGAATATGAATCCCTGCAGTCACGAAAGCTTTAAATCAAAAATCCTCGTTCTAATTTAATGATGATTCTTTACGTACAAAGTTTAATCGGCGATTTTTTGTTTGTGTTTTTGTGTGTAGCTGTGTAGTACCACAGATTGATCCCAGCGAGGGAGAGCTGGACTTTGGCCGTTGTTTCCTTCGCTATTCGTACAGGAGGATGCTGCTTCTCATCAATGCCTCGCCACTACCTGCCCGCTACGACCTGCAATTGCAGGTGTGAAATTTGTAACTGCTTTCTTTCTGACTCATTTTAAATTATATTCTTGGTTCTTTCGGTAAAGTCACGTAGAAGGGAAATAATAAAATAATACAAATAAAACAATAAAATTCTCACGACGTTTCGATTGCAACACAAGCAATCATCATCAGGTGTGAAAACCGCAGCAAGAAAATGTAATTGTTTGATTTTTATTATTTTATTACTTCCCTTCTACGTGACTTTACCGAAAGAACCAAGAATATGAATCCCTGCAGTCACGAAAGCTTTAAATCGAAATTCATTCTACATTGTTATCCCAGTCGTTGCTGTGGGCATCCATTCGAATTTCACGCAGAAAATTGCAACCCATTTGTGTAAGAGAACTGACTATGGAAGTGGATGTCACCTCTCACATCCACTCAAGTGGTCTCTGGTCCACGCAATAGGGGGCAGCACTAACAATGCCATTCGATTAATGTTTTCCATATATCATCTGACCTCTGAACTACCCAGCCACCTCTATTGTCTTGAAAAAACACAAATCATTGGTAGGACTTTTCTTTGGTTCTTTCAGTAAAGTCATGTAGATTAAAAAAATAAAAAAATAAATAGAACACTAATGTAGACTGTAGCCTGGTTCTTAATCAGAGTGAATGTACTGGCAGTCTATAATGTAGACTGTAGCCTGGTTATTAAGCTAGGTGAGTGTACTGGCAGTTTATAATGTAGACTGGAGCCTGGTTCTTAATCGGAATGAGTGTACTGGAAATCTATAATGTAGACTGTAGCAATGGTTATTAAGCTAGGTGAGTGTACTGGTAGTCTATACAGTAGACTGTAGCCTGGTTCTTAACCTGAGTGAGTGTACTGGCAGTCTATAATGTAGACTGTAGCAATGGTTATTAAGCTATGTGAGTGTACTGGCAGTCTATAATGTAGACTGTAGCCTGGTGCTTAACCTGAGTGAGTGTACTGGCAGTCTATAATGTAGACTGTAGCCTGGTTCTTAATCGGAGTGAGTGTACTGGCAATCTATAATGTAGACTGTAGCCTGGTTATTAAGTTTGGTGAGTGTACCGGTAGTTTATAATGTAGACTGTAGCAATGGTTATTAAGCTGAGTGAGTGCACTGGCAGTCTATAATGTAGACTGTAGCCTGGTTCTTAACCTCGGTGAGTGTACTGACAGTCTATAATGTAGACTGTTGCCTGATTCTTAACCTGAGTGAGCGTACTGGCAGTCTAATAAAAATAAAATTTAAAAAACTTAATAACCAGGCTAGTCTACTTTATAGATTGCCAGTACACTCACTCCGATTAAGAAAGAGGCTACAGTCTACATTAGTGTTTTTTTTCTATTTGTATGCACTTTATTTTATTATTATTATATATTTTTTTCTATTTACGTGACTTTAACGAAAGAACCAAAGAATATAAATTCATGACGTCCCGAAAGTTTTAAGTCAAAATTGGTAGTACTGTACTTAACTTCAAATAACACGTAGCACTGGAAGATTTGTGCCTTTGTATACAACCACAAACCAGTATGCACCCACAAATAGGTATGAAAATGTCTACTCAGCTTGTCAATGAACACCATTTTTTTAAAACATGCAGAACGAGCATTTTCTGTGGCCAGTTTATCATATCATACCTGCTGATAATCACCGTCATCAGTCGCAAACTCTTCGGAGTGTAGCGGTCGCCACGAGATGCCTACCACATGTTAGACTATCACACGTTTTTGTTTTAAGTGGTCATTGTCCTGCTCCTATTGTTTTTAACTTACAATTTTATTTTTTACACCAAAACTGACTTTGTATACAAGGAAGACAATTGTATATTTAATAATTTCAAGGCAATGTGATGTGTGTATACTGACACGTTTAGTTTTATAATAATATATTTTCCATTACATTTACCTATTGTTACGGAACACACTTCGATTAATCTATAGCATGTTAAAATAATACATTTCTAACACCTTACAACAATCATGTAAAAGTATGTGTAACATTTTTAATATTAATTATGATATTTATGATTGCAAATATTAAGGACCTCTGAGAGATACCCGAGTAGATTTCCATTATAATTTTGATTAAAATATGGGCCAGTTCTAGTCTCTATATACTTTACAGGGATGGAACAGTGACACAGTGGTTAATACACTGCTCTGTCAACTCCTATTCTTAGGTAACATCAGGGGCACGAGTGATATCTGAACTAATCCTGGGGCTGCCTACATCAACTGATCAATATGATCAACTGACATGGCATGGGGAGGCCTTTGTCCCATAGTGAATGGACAAAGACCTGGAAATTACAAACACATTTTTAAAATCTCATTTTTATTTGATGCTCAAACAAACGTACACACGCGCAAATCTGCCGTCCACCTTTAGCCCTTTTCACAGCATGGTATATAACAAACAAATTTGGCATCAGTCCCCAGATGAAGTGCATGGAATAACTTTTGGAAGCCCATCTGCGTTCGGCGTGCTGGAGCCTGCCTCGCAGACAGAACTGCCGCTGTTGGTGCATGCACAGCAGCTGGGGGAGCAAAGCGTCACCGCCAACATCGTCGTCTTTGGTAGCAAAGAGCCTCCTGTGGTGAGTACGAGGGATGTAACCCTTCACTTTTCCAGGAGCTTCATGAGTCGGTGTGGCTCGAGCTCATGATTGCAATTGCGTATGAATTATTTCTGGCCTACTTTGTACTGTCCCATTGTAATTGTCTTGTTTGGTTTATGTGCTGCATACCTCACGTGCATTGACTAATTTGTTCGCTCTATCTTGTGCATACTGTCTGCCTTATCTGTACTGTCTATGTTATATTTTGTCTTGTGTGTACTGCCTCGTTTCTGTTATATATCTCATGTTTACTGCTTTATTTGTTATGTGTTGTTTTTTTCATTCGACTAAATTACTATCGGCATATAATTTGTATACACAATTTACATTCCTGCACAATGTTAGGCTTGTATCGTGAGCATAGCAATCGATTTTAACTGATGAAGACAATGCATTGTTAAATGCTCGAGTACCAAGGTGCCAAGCAGGAGCCACCGATGGATGAGATTGAGTTGAGGTTCAAAAGTTTTGATGTTGAGTACTGGAAGTGTGCTTAATTCTAGAGAGAGTGATGACTCAATGTGATAGCCTATGAAAAGTCATTGCTAGGCATTGGGATAAGCCTGTTTCTTAATGTATTAGTCACTGCACTAGTTTGGGTGGGATTGATGACTTAATTCCCACAGATGCCCAGTCGGGCTGTAGGGCTTTAGCAAAGTATGCCCTCTGCTATAATGTGGATGTTGAAGATCCCATGAGATGAGGCACAACAGTAGGCCGTGCTTGCGAATATTCCACATCAATTTCCAAATTTGGAAATATTCAAGAGCTATCTTGGCTATGAGTGACGTAAAAGTTTCCTGTTAAAGAGATATATCTCATCAAGCTATTATATGGTTAGAAACAAAATGTATTTAAATTTCATTACATGACCGTCACTTATTCTTAGTCCTGTATGTACTGTGCATTGAGTCTTCACTCCAATTATTTCCCTTAGCACGCAAAGAAATACAAGGTCTATAATACAAACCATTGGAAGAGCAAAACTCGCGTATAAATTACTAATTGTTTGAACATTTCATAGCGGCAAAGTGCTTTGAATCCCACTGCCTATTTTTTTCCTTTTGCAGGGATAGTATAAGTATAACTAACACTGTCCTCTTCTTGGTTCTTTCGGTAAAGTCACGTAGAATGGAAATGATAAAATAATACAAATAAAACATAATAAAATAATTCTCACGACGTTTCGGCAACAACGCAAGCAGCCGTCCTCAGGTGGAGAACAGCTTAAATAGACGCACCAAGCCTGGGGTGTGTCATTCAAACTCTCTCTTCTCGACAGACCTGTTCTCCACCTGAGGACGGCTGCTTGCGTTGTGGCCGAAACGTCGTGAGAATTATTTTATTATGTTTTATTTTTATTAATTTTATTATTTCCATTCTACGTGACTTTACCGAAAGAACCAAGAAGATGAATCCCTGCAGTCACGAAAGCTTTAAATCGAAATGTAACGCTGTCCTCACGAGTGATATTGCGATGGACACTAATATTACATTTATGCCACACAATCTCAGGGTTTGTATTCACAAAAATACCTCAGCAAATGTTCAACAATCTATTTACCATCATCATTCGAGTCTATGACATGTTGTGCACACAAGCATGCACTTACATTGCAAACCAAAAATACAGAGTGATATATTTTTTACTTGACAATAATATTTTTTATTGCATTTTGACTTTTTATTTATTATCCTATAGGTCATGCGAATAGTGAGGCATTTTTTGTTAATTATACATATATTATGGCCAATGATTTACCTTCTGCAGTGAGTCTCAAGTATCAGTCTTCTGGCTTTTACCATGGGACAGCTTTCCTATCTTAGCCGTTCAAGTGTTACATATGAATCCATTCAATTGTGAATTAGGTAGTATTGGCTGCACACACCTATTGATTGGTAGACATAAGACACAGGACCATGGTGATCTCTGCAAAAGTGGATGTCATTGCATTTTATCGTGTGTTAGCTCCTGCCTGAAGTAAACATATATTTTTCCCATTTAACAGTATTGAAAATATTGTCACGAGGTAATGTCTTATTGTCATGTTTCATTACTGTCCCAAGGCATGGACATGATGTTCTTTATCCCATTTAACATGTTATTTCAACCATTGCAGATACATTTTAAAAATGGTATATTGATGGTCGGAAGGTGTTACCCATTAGTGATGGATCATGATTTTCATAATTAGTAGACTATTACGTAGCTAGATAATGAAAAGAGTCACCCCCTTTTTACCAATTTGTGTCACAATTGCTAACTGCACCGGGTTGTTATGAGATTAGGTGAAGTCTATTTCGCATAATTTAATATTTTAGAATTTTCAAGGTGTTTCCCTTGGTTCATTAAATTGCATGTGCTTACTCCTAAAACATATCATTGGTGGTCATACAGTCTGGTGAGGTTTACCAGGAGAGGGCATTAAACCAATGGCAGCACTTGATCATTTTTGAAGGGTATATGAAAGGGTTAAGTTTGATTTGTTTAGCTGCCACAGAACTTACCTTGAGGCATGTAATTGCATCAAAGTATACAGTCTACTGATATATTGAAATATCCATCATTTAAGTTAATACATATTATATGCAGAGAGGAGTGAAACCTAATGTTCGTGTACCCTCCAGTGAGCTATATATCATTAGTTAATTTAGTTTCAAGGAGTTTCAGTAATACGATTGGAACTGGTGGCATATCCAGACTTCAACTCCACGCACATATTATAGTGCTTGTCCATTTCGCAGTCACTCTGGCTGTGTGTACAAACGGCGGTCAACACATCGGCAAACCACAGCCCAATAAAGAAGTCTTAGCAGAAAAGGTTGGGGGTCACTAATTCCCCCTCCTCCCATTCTCATAACTCATTGTTATGCACCACGGGATGCTAATGAAAGTGGTTTATGTGTGCATGTCCCTAGACGCTATTTATATTTACTGTAATGCATGGATATTATTGAAAAAATGCTAATGCTTTCAAAGCAGAAAAAATAGCTAAATTAGATCAACTAAAATAGCAATTTCCATGACAGATAAAATTACAAAGGCGGAATCCTAGCATTAACAAGTTCCATATAATATTTTTAAAAAACATAATGCATTCATATGTAGAATTTAAATTTCACATTTTTCCATATTTCAGTGCTGCTCCCTTTTATCTTGAGGCATGTTTACATGTGCTTAAATTTTAAAAACGTAAAATAATTGCAGTGATTATATATATAAAAAAAGGTTTTTTTGTTTGTCCATTGTGCACACAAGACTAACCTTCGTGCTTGTTTTATCTTTAGCGAGTTAGACTCCTGTGCATGGGCCAGGGCCCGGTGGTACACGTGACGCCAGCAGAAGTGTCGTGGGGCCCGGTGTCCGTGCTGGATGAGCACACCCGCACGCTCAAACTCTCCAATCAGTCGCCAATACCCGCACACTTCAGCGCCAAGACGGTAAAGTCATTGCCTTCGAAAATCCATGCACAATGGGTGGGGAACTTTGTATCTTACTCAAGGCTCAATGAGACTGTCAAATGCATTTAGCGGCAGCCACGAATTTACATAGACCTGAGTGTTTTCCAATGATAGCGCGAAAAATTGTTATGGCTCACCTTTACAGCACAAAGGGTTATTCCTGCACCTGCTTTCCTCTCGCTAACACATTCATATTAGCTCACTCTTTCTAAGTAGGCGCACGGCTGAGATGCTTGCAGGGACAGATAAATATTGTTTCAAAGTGGAAGGCCTAATGTGGCTGTGAACTGTATTAAATGGAGTAGTGGGCCATAAATTACATATCCATGCCCTAGACCCTGCTTATGAGGGGAAACTCAGATATAACAAGTTCAAGAAGGCACTTAATTCATTGGCAAATGAACCTTATGGCGGGACCCCGGGGTCCCGAATAAACGGAAGTCAAAATCGTAAGAAATGTATTTATTTTTGGCGACTTCGTCCCACCTCGCACATAAACGCCGCGACCCATCAGAAATCTATCCTCTCTTTTATTCACCTGAGCACCCGTCGTTGCCAAAATTGCCGTAGTCATAAGCAAAACTTTTAAACTTTGATTAGCGCATCGTGTAGAGCTCGTCGAGAGGAATAGATTGCCGTATCAGTTCGCCTTCAACAGATATAAAATGACGTCAGCAATGCAATTTATGCGAAAGCCGGGGGCTCATGGGACCCCGGGGTCCCGCCATAAGGTTCAAATGTAAAACGTATCGCTTCATTTAGGGAGGATGTATCGTTTATCATCCCTGCTTTCAATAAATTGTAGGATGTGATACATATTTTAAATTGAACTTAAACATTGTGTCAATAGCATACACCCTCCACGGATAGACATTATGAATCACAAAGACTTTGGCCAAAGGAGACCCTTAAATAGCTTCAGCCAACCGTTGCTACGATGCTCACAATACTACACAGTGCAATTGACCAGCAACGATAGTCAGTGGCTTGGTATTGTATCTAGCAACATAGAATTCCAGACCTTTACAACTGGGTTGTGCCATTATTCTCTCTGGGGGTTCCTCGTTCCATGAAGAGTTTTGTGTGCTCAACTTTATAATTGCAAGTAATTTTGCATGTATCTTTAATTTTACACCAACACACAATGGCATGATTTTGAGAAAATACCAGTATATTTAATATCCATAGGTTGGTTTGCAGACCCTTTTCTCCATAATGTTTGGATTAAAGTGACACAAATGATTGGTAATGATATGACGTAATGTTATTTAGTGAGTGAGATGGAACTTTCAACAGGTATAACTTCATTCAATTGTTCAACTACTATAAAAAGTATCATTTTACTGTTGTTGTACTCAATAAATAGGCAAGAAGCTGCGTGCAATGAGTTGACACGAGTACTTGTGCATTGGCTTGGAAACTTAATGCATAGATCCCCTGAGGTATACCAAAGCGAGTATTGAACTTAGAGAAATGATTTTGATTAAACATGAAGAAAATTGTCAGCCTTTATGTTCATGGCAATTTCATTGGTTATGGGTTCTCTATAAAGTTTGGCAGCTGTCTGAACTGTGAGTCTATAGTTGATTTTGAAAGTTTTTTTGAAAGGGAAACATGCCATATATTTTGGTATGTTTTATCATATGATGACTTAAACATCGGCCGTTGTTCAGTGCTATAACACCAGTTTTTCAGACCAGTATGTTCTACAAATGTGCCAAACAAAACGTCTGGGTAAATGGTGACGGGGGATTTTGCAGCCTCGGATGAATGTGTGCCGATAACAGGAAATAAATTCGGACCTTGTTAGCGTTGGCAATCCATTGGGATTTCGGTAATCTGCAGAGGTGCCTGTAGCCCAACCGAGGATAGAATGAAGGACTGTGCATTTGATAAGGCCACGTGAAGGTGTTGTGATCCCCGCTCTCTATTAGGGTGAGGGCTATCTCTTTGCAAACACCCATGACCTCACGACCACAACGAAGAGCATGTAAGAGATTTGTGGCTCGCCAGGTGGTGTCGTACACACGTGTCATTTGGCATTGTGGTGAAACAAATTCAGCTCCATTATAATGTGACTGGACATGCTCGCTGAACAATGCCCCATATAAAACGTGGATGTCCAGCCAGATGAGCTGGCAAGCAGCTGTAGGGTGACCGCATAGCCAGGTGATATCACACTCCTCCATAATCTTGTTGATGTGCTCAGTTGAGGTGATGCCTACCTGTAGTTCTACTGATCGGAGGCTGACACTCATTGATCATTTGAAGACGAGAACAATTCACTTTAATGGGCAACATCGAGTGCACAGATCCTCATACGCTGTTATCTCAATTTTGTATCGCCTCGGTGATTTAGTTAGATTGCAATGAAGAGAAATGTGTATGAATCAGACAAACGTGTGCTCAACAGTATAGATATAAATAGACCTGATTGTTTTATGCTCTACTGACAAACCATGACTTTATTTACCAATATATATTTTAAAATATATATATACAGATAAAAAATAGAAGTTGTTGCTTGACTGCTGCTGCTTATCTTGTTTAAATGAAGCCTCTTTCATTTCTGGCACTCACTCTCAGCAATAAAAAAAAAGACTTGGCACTGACTCATGGCCCCTTAAATGGGGAGATGGTCTGAACACTTGCAATGAATACGTTTTCACCCTTAAATGTTAAGTGTTAGGTTCACAAAATGTGTCTGATTCCAATAATTGACGGGATTGTTTGTAGTTGACAAAAATGTTGCACGCATGCAGTTTGAAAATAGGGCCAGAAAACTGAGAGAACATTTTTAAACATTACATCTGGAAAAGCTAATGAAATCGCATTATAATTGTTAAATATGTTGTCTAAATATAACAATAAGATGCATGGGTTGCATTACCTGAAGCAAGTGATTATTATTAATTTGCATGTGCCCTTCAAAGTGATGAAGAGGGCAATTATAGTTAACTTATTTTGCACATGGTTAATAATTCACATCACAAGACATTTTATCCAATCAAAATTAAAGCCAGGCTAAACAAGCAACGGTTTCTGCACTTGAATTTCACTTGACTGCATTTGCTCCAGTATTTATCGCAAAATGTAGTGTTTCGTGCATGCATGACCAGTTAATTTGAGTGCAGTTTCCAGCAGCAAATGCTCGACAATGTGTTTCACCAAAATGAGATTGATCAGCCAGGATAAACACGCTGCAGAACGCTTGCAAACAGCGGCCTAGCATAGCTAATAAGTGGATGAGCAACCTGCAAGGGAATTCCAGGCTGTTGCAAAGATGAAGATTGAAATCCCATTACAGATTTTATATGTTCAGTGATTTTGAGCCTAAAGCTGAAGCACATTCATTTGGGTCACGGGGGATTAGACCTAGATGCCGGTGGTATGGCCTTTAGGTAATGGAGACGACCGATAGAAATGTGCAGAGGCGTCGTTTTTCTTTGACAAAATTGCTTTCTTTTAGACGGAGAAGAACGTGACGGTATTATACAAGTCAAATGCCTTTATGCTCAGTTCTTTTTTATATTTTTCAACCAAAAAGCTCAGTTTCAGAATGAGTAACTGACACTTTTCACTCTCCAGTAACCGGGAGAGCTTTTGTGTCGAATGTTTATTTTTAAACGTAAGACCGTAAGTGGAAACATATTGCAATTTAGTTAATGTACTAACCCACAGTATAATTGGAGTTTTTTGTTGTTGAATAAATGGAAAATATATTTCCATTTTAAAGGCGAGCATTTATAATACTGAAAATGCAATGAAAGTACTAAATCACGTTAAACTGTGTGTAAATATAGGAAAATATTGTAATTAGATACCTAATGAGGACAATTATTCGGCAAAGTAATTGATTACTTTGCCAAAAAACATTGTTAATACTTCAAATAAGTATAAATTTGTCTCAATAGTTTTATAATTCTCCCAAAACCCGACAATGTGAACATGTGAGTTTCAAAACTATTATAAACCATTGCAAACTACTAGCTGCTTGGAAAGTATTGAAATGTATGATTCGTCTTACAAGGTATGCAGGCTATAGAATATGTCATTCGTGTATTGACAACCCATATTTAAAATTATCTCTCAGTTGCAATGATCACAAGATATCTAAGGTTTTATCTACATATTAATTTGTTTTGCAAACAAACACATTTTCTGGGAAAAAATATTGTCAATGCATAATGTTGTGAGTTCATATTGATGAAACAAATGCAAATACAGTCTAATAATGTAGTGAAGATGGCAGCAGCAGCATGCTTGGGCAAATTCCGTTTTCTGCCTTTCGATAATTCCATGCAGTTCCCAGAAATGCACCAATGTCATGGTTGAAAGTTACAAAAAGGGCACCAGTTGCTCACAAAGGGCAAGGCAGGTCTCTTAATCAGCACTGTCATTTGTTCGCTTGCGAAGCCAGGGCCCTGGGGAGGCACTGGAAGGGGTAAGAGAGATCGGTGCGATTTGTTGTCTCGTAGATCTTAGCCAACGGGGCTCTCATTAGTGGCGACACGGTAGGAGCTCAGTGGCTGCCCGCAGTGCACCGTCGGAGCAGTTATGTTCTTGGCGCGAAGTATCTCCGACTGTGGCATTGCTTGACTGCTGTGTGCCCCCCCCCCTCCCACACAGGCACGAGCCAACTCGCTGTGGCGCGTGGTTCCAGCGAAGGGTTCCGTGCCACCGGAAGGCGTTGTGGAGCTCGCCGTGGCAGTTCGCCTGGATGACACGGTGGCTTTCCGTGACAAGTTGCACATCGTAGTGGAGGAAGGGCAGCCGTGCATAGTGCCCCTGCAGGCCGTGGGCATTGGCACTACCATCGTGGCTCAGGCCGCCGATCGTGCCCACCGTCAACCTCGGACATCACTTCAGGTGGTCACATGCTTTTGGCAAGCAAATGGCCATGCAAAGCGCGAAATAAAATGTCCACATACTGGTAAAAGCCAGACTGCCAATCAGCGCCCTACGCAAGGCTTGCTCATCATTTATTTAGAACTGCTTTTTGTGTTTATTTGTAGTCCTTCCCCCACACATCCGATTAGCATGGTTGGCTACATACGGTGCGAATTAAGTTCAACATACATACATACACACTCTAAAAAGTGTAGAACTGAGTTAGTGTGCTGTCGTTTAGGAGGACATTTGGCCACGAGGTACATCTTCTTGCAGCTGTTAAAGATGCCATCCCATTCAATCTCATCCCATTCCATCCCAACCCTTCCAATCTCGTCTTGTCCAATCCAATTTCATCCCATCCCAGTCTCATCCTTTTCCTTCCAATGTCTTCTCATCCCACCACCGTTTGTCTTCGTTTCCCGGATTGACTGTCAGACTCATTACAATAGCAGGGATCCAATGTAAAACGAATACTCTCAGCCACTTGAGACTTGGGTAATTGTCAAATCCCTTAAATGACTTCTGCAGTATTTTGGAGTTTTCATGGGTGTCCTGTTTAATGTATAATTGTCGACATGAATTTGAGGATATAACTTTGGTGGCGAGATAGCCCAGTGGTCATCATGCTCCTAACTGAACCTGTTTACACACAGGCATTGGCTCTGTTGCTGCATCTGCTGGATCATTTTTGTGGGGAACAACCCAAACACACTGGTGTATAGTGGTACTTAATATCTCTGTGATATCATCCTCAAAATTGTGGTATAGTTTGCCAGTGCCAAACCAAATAATTTCAACATTATACAACAAAATGTAATCATGAGCACGCATGGATAAGATGTAATGCTTATCAACATGCGTTTATTCTCGGACGTATGTAATTAGTGATTATAACGGTTGCTCTTGCACCAAACACTGTAAGCAGTGCGTCTAGTGCCCCATTATAAGTTAATGGGACACGGATAGCAGCTCTGCCCAGGAGGGCACTGGAAACCCTTTGAACAATTTGGCCAGTTTTCATGTAGGAAGTCCCTAATAGCAGCACAGCTCTCTTCTAAAGTTGTGTTCATACTGGTAGGAACCTCCTGGTTACACCAGCCCACAGGGGATTATTGTGTCCGTCCGCAGGAGTGGCTGGGTGGGGAGGGGAGGGTGGGGAGGGGCTGGGTGGGGAGGGGCTGGGTGGGGAGGGTGGGGCTGGGTGGGGGGTGGGAGGGAGGGGTGGGGCTGGGTGGGGAGGGGCTGGTCACCCCGTGGTGCCCTTATAAAACTCAACGTTTAACCTACTCACGCCGGCTTGTGCCCGCCCTCACTGTCGGGCATATTTGCGGAATACACCACGCGGCCGTTGACCCTGGCCATTGACCGAGCAACCCAACGTTCCTACCAGCTCCCTCCGCAGGAATGTGTTCATATTGAGAGTGAATGTCCACTTGTTGCAGACAAATGGATGGAGGAGACATATCAACAAGGTCAATGCATTAAGGCTTTCAGCATCGTATATTTTTTGTTTAAGAGTTAAATAATAAACACCGTCCAAGGCTAACTATAGGCATCCTTGTCCCTTGTAAAACAAAGAAGCTGATGAATGTCAGTGAGCTCTCACATCATTAAAGGATATTGCAATGAATAATTAATGTACAGTAAATAATAATCTCCACTGCGCTGCGTATAGCAAGGGGGTCCTGCGATATCCTTCATGTTGAGAGTATGAAGCTCTTCAATGTTATCATGAATGAACCTTTCCAGAAGCCCTGTTACCATGGCAGCAAGGTACAAGCACATAGTAGGGCATCATAATGAGAACATATTACATCCTCAAATTATGCAAGTGGTATTTGGTGAAATTGTAGGGCATCTGTGTTCTTGTTGTAGTAAAGTACCGCTGGTGTTTTAGCAGCTAATCTCGTTGGCAACAAGACTTCGGTAAGCCACGCTGTTTATAACTTATTTTATTGTAAACTGAGCTTCAGGGCTTTCTTACCACCCTGGGCAATTCTTTGTTTATACTTTGACTCGCTCTCAATGTAAATCCCCAGGCAGAGTGTTATAAACATGAGCACATGAGCACATTTAAAATACAAGCATGAAATATTCACTTCTTTATACTTGGAAGATAACATGTAAAATTACACTCAACATTTGTGTTATATCATTAAAAGTTTTGAAATATAACTCATCAGCCATAATCTATCTGCTACTGAATGAAATCATCCCCAAGCAATCGATATCACTCATGGTTACGCAACGCAACAATCATACTTCACACACAAGCCGATTTCATCGCTCCATCTCCATAATGTACACTCTCTTATAGGGCACGTTCCCTCATTTTGCTGCCACTAAATTGTCAGTCTCAACCATCAGCCAGCTTCCCTTCCAAAGATGTGTCCAGTCTAAGCCCACTTACTTTTATTTCCAGTCAATAGGATGTATTCAACTTGTATTTCATCTCTAGTGCATGTTCCTCTTCCTGTCTCAGCGTACTTCCAAACAGGGTGCAATGGTGGCATGGATGTTAACTACCTCGCTCGGTATACAGGAGGTCGTGGGTTTGATCCCGACCCTGACACCTGTTGTATATTTGGAGTTTGCATGTCTCTCTCCCCTTGGTTGTGTGGATTTTTCTCTGGGTCCTCCGGTTTTCCCCTCCACATTTATAATCAACATGCATTTAAAGTACAGGTAGTCCCCGACTTACGATGGAGATGCGTTACGACGACCCTATTGTAAGTCGAAAATATTGTAAGTCGAAAATGGCCTAGCCTACCCAGGAGTCTTAAAGAATGGTGATAATTTAGCAAAACAGAGCAATTTACAGTACCGTGCTGTATAAACTATATGCGTACAGTACATCCCGGCAGCGTCCCAACGTACAGTATCGTACCTCGTACGCTGCTGCGTTTGTCTGCCGCGCGAAATGTAAAATATTTTACAATTTTGTAATATCGCTATCGCCATCGTAGGATCGAAATATCGTTAGTCGGACCATCGTAAGTCGGGGACTACCTGTATTTGGCCTCTATTAATTTCCACATGATAAGCCACTTCATTGAGCTCTCATTTGTGGCCTGGTAGTTTCTTGGAAAGAGCTACATAGCTCAGTGGCCTTTACCTGGTAATTATTTAAAAAATAAAAACATGCACCTCTCTATGCTTGTTTGCGCACCTTACAGCATTTGTTCTAAATTGTTTTTGTAAATGCCCATGTTTCTGAACTAAATGAAAAGCAACATACCAATTTGGCAAAATAAGAACGTTTTTAATCGGTGTATATTACCTTCTATGACATATAATACAATGGAAACAAATAATGTATGTTCAAATGAAATGTAGGCTTTGTTTGGGTTTATATTTTTAGTAATGAACACCCTTAAAATTGCTTTGTGTTTGAAAAACTCAACACATTCCTTCAATATCATTGTCGTATGGTATTAGACGTAAACATTAATTTTATGTACTATCAAGAAGGGCCACTGCTCGAAACATCAACAATTATTTAATTGTCCTTTTTAAGACAGTGTTATTGTTGAATGTGTTGACGTTTTTTATTTGACTGTGTATAGTTCCAATGGAGTATCACCAAATTTATGTATTTGGATCAGCACGACTGCAGAGGTGTGGGGTGTGTGTTTTGAAATGTCCCATTGTTGTACATTGGGGAACAATAATACAGTCAATTATTCTCCAGTGTGGACTCATGGGTTCCATTCACTAATTCACTCACCATCCTATCGTCTCCAAAGCTCCAGTCCGTGCCAGTTCCACTTTACGCTCACCAACATGGGCCGGCGCGCCCACCAGCTCTACTGGATGAGCGAGAGCTTCCCCGTTCCTCGGTCGAATGCCAAAAAGCCGGGTCATCGCGCCACAGGAAGGGGCAGCTGGGCCCACGACGGCACGACCGCGGGCCCCCAGCCGCCGTCAACACGTGCCGTCTTCTCGTTGCACCCAACGCGCATGGAGTTGGCTCCTGGGGAGAGCATTGACGTGCTTCTGCAGGGCTTGGCTGACGTCCCCAAGGTGGGCGCTGGTGATAACCAGCTGGCTCTACCGCATCGCTCCGGGCTGACATTTGTGTTTATTGAGTTCAATAACATTTGCGGAATTCGCTTGAATGCCCAAGGGCTTAGGGGAATCAAGCTGCACCACGGTGACGTATATGAATATACGTGGAAAACACAATCAATACTCCTGCCTCTTGGCCTGGAATTTGGAACCAACTTTTTAAACTAATGACCTCTTTTTCTCACTCCGTTTAAACTATTTAGTTTGATATAATTAAACACCTTATAACGTGGCTCTTTTTTTCCACTTGCCTGGTATACTGCTTAACAATGGGCCTGCGTGCTGTTGGGGCACATGTGTTTTCATGCTTGTTGCAAAGTCAGCCTGACACTGGGGCAATGTAAGGCTCTGATTTTGAACTTTTCGCAAATAATGTCAGGATGACTTTACTTTGAGTATGATAATGATTACTTCCATGTATTTTATGCATTCCTTTATTAGTTAATATTATTAAATACAACACAATTTGTGAATTTTCCTGCACATAGCACAGTGTAAGACCCTTCGTACGTGATTTTGTGTGGAAGCAGCCATAATGTTTGGTAAGAATTTAACAAGCTGAATTCTTAAACAGCACGCATCAGTCTTCTTGGTTCTTTCGGTAAAGTCACGTAGAAGGAAAATAATAAAATAATAAAAATTGAACATAATAAAATAATTCTCACGACGTTTCAGCCACAACGCAAGCAGCCGTCTTCCTGTCGAGAAGGCAGAGTCTGAATGATTCATTCAGACTCTGCCTTCTCGACAGGCCTGTTCTCCACCTGAAGACGGCTGCTTGCGTTGTGGCTGAAACGTGAGAATTATTATGTTTTATTTTTATTATTTTATTATTTTCCTTCTACGTGACTTTACCGAAAGAACCAAGAAGATGAATCTCTGCAGTCACGAAAGCTTTAAATCGAAAGCACGCATCAGCTTGTACATTTCATTGTAATTTAATAACTGGAATAACTTCAATTGTAATAACATTTAATTATTATGCTTTAAAAGGTTTTTGTGGTGCTGCAGTTATTAAGATGACATTTGAATCTGCAATCAGCATTTAATACTTTACAATCTATATCATTTTTTGGGGTCAAGGAGTGGCATTGTGGTTCGTGAACTGTGCAATGAACCTGGCAACCTGAGTATTATTCCTGGCCATGGCTAACATCATTGGAAATTAATATCTAAACTGGTGCTCGCCCCCCACACCCCCACCTTCTTTACCCTTCACCCCAGCACTGATCAACAGGGTGAAGTATGGTTAAACAACCCCATGACAACCACGGCGATGGGGGACGCCTTTATCCAGGAGGGAATTGACAAAGGGGCATAGTTGACACATCATTCAAACTTAATTCCATTGAATGTATATTTCTTGCCTTATTAAAATTATATATGTACTCTCTTGTAGTAGAAGTATGTGCATGTAATGTGCACAGATGTGATATATACTCACCAAATGATATATAATATTAAACTTACTGCACTCTTTTACGTGAGATGTAAATCAAAGTTGGAGTTGGTGGGTGGGTTATTTTTAGCAGAGGCTGATGTGTTACAGTGCATGATGGCAATGGCAACTGTTCCTTTGATGGCTGTCACAGAAGTTAGAGGTCTAAATCACAATGATTAGGGAGAGTGAAAAAGTTTCAAAAGCCCCATCAGATGGGTGGGACTTGTTGGGGAGAGCAAGCGATATTAAAATGGCGCTCTGGTGAGTAATTGGACCCAGTGCCCACCGCAATAGCCGGTGGCCTCTGCCACTTGGTATGCTTGGCCGAATGTCATTATGAGTGCTTCAAAGGGTTGCAAATATACATACGCATTGTGTAGCTTCTGACAAAATCACCTGAAATGCACCCGATCCCGTCAGATCTCAAAAGCTAAGCAGGTTTGAGCGTGGATAGTGTGTGGATGGGTGACCACCATGCACAGCAGGGTTTTATAGGCGATGTTATGTGACAGCAGAAGGTAGTGCATCAAAACTGATTGGGCCATTGCTCCCCACCATCACCAACTCGCACTGACCAGCATGATGAAGTATGATTTTTTTTTAAGTAACCGACTTGATACGCACAGGATGGGGGAGACCACTATTCCAGAAGTGAATTGACTCAAGGCTGTACATGTACATGAGTAAATAACATGTGATACATGTGTAATATGCTATGCACTTCATATGCTTTTCTGCATGTGTTCATAATCATGTGTCTGTTAATCATATATCTATCATATATATTGTTATAGTTTACTGTTCGTGCATACGTATATTCTGCCTATTGTTATTGTTTGAATACATGCGCACTTTATGATAATTTGAGTAACTCAAAAGTGAGTTTATTCGGATATTCTCGATTTTTATTTGAAACTTAGAGAATGCCTATCTTCAATACTTGTTAACAAAAGCATTCATTTGGCAATTAAAAATTCAAGACAGTGCTATGGTGTAAATGAGTTAATATCTATAATTTTACAGATTATTCTATGTTACATGCCTTCACCGAATGTTGCATGGTGGTGCTACATTGATATTGCAAGCACAGAGTGACTCACATTGCATGCCTCTTTGTCTCTCTTTGGCCACCATCAGGTGGTAAGCGAGCAGATGGTGTGCCATGCCATTATTGGTAAGCAGTCGGGCAAAGAGAGGATCATGCGAATGAACATTAGGTGCGAGTTCATCCAGCCGCTGTTGGAACTTTCATCGCGGCAAATCAGCTTTGTGGTGGAGAAGGTACTTAGCATGCAATTCTCAATGATATTGTTATCGCTAGGGACATCATCCTCATCCACATCGTCTTTGTCTTTATGGTAACTTTCATAGTCTTCATATCCCTGCTCTGCTCCATTGTGCCATTTGCAGCAACGTCTAGGGCAACAAAAACCTGCTCTATATTTTGCGTCAAAATGCTAAATAAATGTCGTGATATGGAGGTGCCAAACATGCATAAAAGTTTGTGCGACATGGGCCACTGCGTTGTGTCAGCACTCCCACAGTGTGGACTCCCCATAGTGTGATTTTCATAATTCTCCACAATGGTAAAATATTCCACATTTATAATAGTTTCACTCCCAAACTCCACTCGAACCCTGCCTACTTTGGACCCTTGATCAATTTGGCATAAGGAGATGCAGGATTATTGTAATTGTTGTGTTGTATCGGCCACATGTCAATTTGGAAAGTGCTGAATTGTCCCGATTTTCCTGCGAAAACGACCATCATTCTACCAAAAATTGTCAGAATGATGGACAAAATAGCTATATGAATTGCACCCAATGTCATCTATTAGCATACTTACTCCATATTACACTGGCATATCATCGAATTCAAGAGAATTGTTTTTCTCTATGATGTAGCCAGAGGGGATGTTTGCCACATTAAATTAAATAGCTTTTTTTTGGCTTTGGGATTGTTAAAGCAGCAGTCTCCAGATTTGGTTACAGCGCATGTTTGTGACAAGGTCACCTTTAGGCTCCAAAATATATTATATGAGCATAAGGTTCGTGCCATATAATCCTAGAGGATAATATGCACCCACCAGCAGCACCATGGATAGATAATGAAATGAGAGGGAATTTAGAAAGGATTGTTTAATTTCAGAGAGGTGGATGATTGTTCATACACAGTATATGATGATCACACACATTCAGCGACAGTTGTGAGGGGCTGGCTTTCTCAGCTATAATTGCCTGCCACTCATGAGATGAAAAGTAGGTGTTGCGGAAAAAAAATCACACCTAAGATATATAACTGGTGTTTTCTAATTGTTGCGTTTGAGTGACAAATGGAAGAGCTGACAATTCACCGCTTTATTAAAATGTCTGCTCACAACATGGATGCGTATAGCTATCTATATTTATTTACGCTACGTATATACATGGTGATAATATATTGAGATCGGATTATTTATTGTAAGGATAAACTCACATGTTATGTAAAACAATTATTTTTAAAAATATAATCCACACAGTTCATGGTGTTTGCATAAAAAAATGTGATTTCACAATAAACCTCATCCAGTATTTGAAACTTTTATATCTCACGTATAAATATACAAATAGGGTGTATTATTCTTATAACTATAGCCAACTGTTAAGATACTTTGAATACAAATCTTTGTTATGTTATGTCCATGCCATTTTTGCCACGATATTGAATCCCTGCATCATAGAGCATGAGTCATCATTAATATAAACATGAATATACCTTGTCTCCTTATGTGCCAGCGACCAGAGGACACCCTACAACCACAGTACGAGCAACTGAAACTTAAGAATGTGTCATCACTGCCGCTGGCCATGAACCTGAGCCTGGAGTTTCCTTTCAGTATCATCCTCCCAGAGGACTGCCCTGCTGATCCCAGCGCCACAGTGAGTGCCCCTGCTAGAGGCCAGCGTGTCTACACCTGTGTGGGGTCAGTTACACGCACAAGGCAATGCAGCACATTACCCGATAGCTCTCTGATGTGTTTTCGAGTTGTGCCGCATGCTTCTCAAGAAGCTGCCGACCCGTGGAGCAAGAAGTCGGACATCAGGTCAAGCAACATGCGGTACAACGCAAAAATATCAGAGCTGTACAGAATAACCGCCAAAGTCTATGCAGCAACATTGCCTGATTCCTAATTACATTGTATGGTTTGAATGTGTTAAAAAGAAAGTTTGTTTTCCTATTTTAAGTTACAAGACACACTTGACATACACGATGGAACGTTCAATACTTTTTTCAAATTGAATTTGTAATCTTGTGCCATACATATTTGCACAGCTTTTTTTGTGTGGTGGTTTTGTTCTACTTTTCTCCCACTCAGTCTTGTTTCATTAGGCCCCTTGTCTCACATTGGTCATATTTAGATATGATATAGATGCACTGCTTTGCCACAAAGCTCGTTTAATTTTCCAAATTGAAAACGTGTATGTAATGAATTAACTTTAAAATTATTAAATAACCGGCAGATTATTTCAAGAAATGTGATACTTTTAAAGTATTCTTGTGCTTGTTTACACAGGCAAGACTCACTAATTCAGAAGACTTATTTTTCAGGAAGGTCCTGCCAAGTTTTTTTTCTGGAGGAGTCATTTTGCGATGTCTAATCCCATTGAGTAATGTTCAGCATTTTTTTTTTCATTTGGCCAATACCGTTGACAACGTATGTTTTTAGCTATGGGAGGAAACCAGAGAACTCAGAGCAAAGTCATGAAAAACACGTGACTTTCCTCCTGCTATATTGTAAATGCAATTTCTATGCGTGTGGACCACATAATACACGTTAATAAAGACACGTCCATCCAACCACGCATTGCAATGTAATATTCACTGTACCTCACTTAAATACAATACCTCTATGATAGGACCACTCTTTGATCTAACGTACACCTGACATTTTTCACCCACCAAAGAATCTCTGACGTAATATCTGCGCGACCAATTGACAGTACGTCAAAATACATGTTGAACATGATGGCTATGTAGCCTTCGACAATAGCAAGATGTCAAAACATAAAATTCGTCTCAGATAGTTTGTTGATTTGTTTTTATATAAAATTCAGCTGTGTGACTTGTCCCACGAAAGGCCTATACAGTATGTTTCTGCCACAGCATAAATATTATTTCTTATTTTTGTTTATATCAGTTGTAAGAATTATTTTTAATATAGAAACTAATATATGTTCGCTGGTTAATGTTTAATCTTGCACAATTGTTCATCAGTCAGCATTGTCTGATGGAACCATCTTCAGCATGTGAAGGACCAGTGTGATATGCCAAAGTCTTATCAATTGATAGCCATTGTTATTCTTAAATGACAAAAACACTGCTATAATTTTTACTTGATTTTAAAATGCAGTTGTTTTTACTATAATAGACATAAATAATCTGTGTTTAATGAGATGTTGATCACAGCCGAGTTAAAATTTGGTTCTTTTTTGCGTTGCTGAACGTTGTGATTTACAGTGTGTTTTGTTATCTGATTGTGGTATACAACATGTATATTTTCTTCTTACCCGCATGGTTATTTAAAAATGATTGCTCATGTTTATAAATGTATGCAATTATGCATGTGTCATTATTTTCTCCAATGCCACCTGCATCAAAGCTGTGTCCAGATGGATCTAGCAACAAATAAAATAACCAATGCTTGTGTCATTCAGGAAAGCATGCATTTATCGCTGCTCTATTTTTAATATATATAAAACAACATATTTTTGGTTTTCAATACTATGTTATGATGCAGTATAATAATATACTACTACTAAAATTAATGTAGTGAAAAACATACAGAGAACATGATACTCTGAATGTATTGCTCTGAAAGAGCGCATTTTTATTATGAGTGTAATACAAACACAAGGGAGAGTCTTACAACAGACAGTTTCCCACTTGTTCAAGGCAAACCCCACAGCAGGGAAAGGTACAAAATGAACATGCATATAGAATAGCCATTTATCTTTTTTAATAAAGGGTATGGTGTGACAGCTGTTATTACTCCCTTTTTATTGTTCTCAAAATTATAATAACCCAATTATAACCTCTGCTATGAGACCTCACACAGTCAACATACCAAAAACAATTTTCTCTGCACGGCTGCAGCAATAAACAAACACATTCGTCTTGATATCCAGCAAGGTTTGTTTTTTTTTCTTTGGAATCATATCGCCCCTAGCTTTCACTATCTGTTCTCATAAGTGACATTATAGACCCTTGTCATTGGGTCAGTGTTCATTTGTTTATTTTGTAAGTTATTCCTAGAGGAGGCCAGTCATCCAATGCATCATGATCTTACTTTCTTTTCATTGACCGTATTAAAAGGAACCTGTTATAATTTTTAATCAACCCTGTTATTTTTCACATCGGTTCACTGAAACAGCGGCTTAGGCGTTTGTATATTTTGTACGTATAAGCTTGGTGTGAGCTCTTTTCTTGCAATGGTACACGTGTCAAGGTTCAGCATCAGGGGGCTTAATATAGTTAATGTTATACTCATCCACCTATTCTAGATGGTGCAATATTTAGAAATATTTCACACCCGTGGTTGTGAATTGACTGAGCAGCTGCATAAGGATCATTTCTTGGGAATTTTCTAATTCATTGGTGGCCGAGGGATGTTTTTTTTACTGTGTTAACAGAAACATTTTTCGATTGCATCTCGGTTTTCATTCCTTCAAGATTGCATTACATGACACGCTAAACTAAATTATGTGGCTGTTTAACTTATCCCTTTAAATACCATTTGGTAAGTTTAATATCTTTAAACATCTCCAACAATGTGAGGTCAATGGGTTTTAAATGCATTTCCTTGTAATCGTTACACTTTCCATTCTTTTTCAGTCACTTAATTTAAGTAAATGTCTTGTGTCCAAGTTGACTTCAGTGTTAAAATTGGAAATTCCACGATGATTTTACATGTTTACTATTCAGATATATACGTACAATACAGTATATATTTTTGTATCAATAATTACTTAAGTGTATCACATTTGTGATATTTCTGTTAACCTTCCTATCCATTTACCAAGTCACTTTACAGCACGTGATTATTTTCAAGTAACCAAGCCATGTACGTTTCAATAACTTTTTGCTGTGTGGTAGGTGGTGACAATTTTTGGTAGCGTGCCATGTATTCAGTGTTGTGTGTGGCTGGTAGAAACCTGATGGCATGTGCTGTTTTGCGTGCCGCGTGCCAGGCCCTGAAGCTGGGCATCGGAGAAGAGCAGGAGGTGACGGTGGCGTTTGAGCCAGGGTACCGGGACGACGCAGCGTCACGCATCGCCACGGGCCTTCTTACCATCGAGCACGCTCACCACCCTCACCGTGATCACGTGGCGCTGCTCGGACACACACATTTCCCCAACCTCTCCTTCGATCACACGAGCGTTGACTTTGGGTGCGTGCTCAACCACACGGAGGTGGAACGGCGCATCACAATGGTCAACTGCAGCCCACTGCCCGTGTCCTTCTGTTGGTCCTTTCTACAACACGACGGGACCACACCTATCAGGTGCCTTAACATGCGGACTACATTTTTTGGGTATTGTGAGTCTTGTTTAATGGACCGGTCAATTGCTAGGATGAAAATTCTTGAGTGGTCTGGGCAAATTTCAGGCACGTGCATATCCTGAGTGTATAGATCATTTGCAAAGTTGGTAGCAGCTCATGCTGAATAAATCCAAAATACATTGAGCAAATGTGCCACAGGTTTACAATGCCTGGTCCTGATGCCTTCACACAATTACCGCTGCAACTACCACTATTCTCCTGACAAATTCCCATTGCCATGTGCATCTACGATTTTTATGGCAAGAGTAGGTCACTGTAAATAACCCACTGTTCAGCTGCCTCTTGTCCATATTTTACACTGTTTTTTTTATCCTGATGCAGATCACAATAAGGGTGTGTAAAAGAAACCATTAATTACTTTTATTTATCACAGGTCATATCTGCAAATAATGCAAAAATAAATTTAACCCCCAACCACTGGAAAGCAACTCACTGGCTATAAGGAACCAACATTAAAGGGGGTGCATAGAACGTTTTTATTATGTTTTCATGGTACTTCACTTTATAATAACGTCTATACCCTAGTGACACACACATAAAATGAGTACGCTTTCAAAAACAACCATCAATTCAGATGGTGTGCTCAGATATATAGAACTCTAGTGCCTACAATGTACGGGTGCTAGTGCTTAGGTCATATCTTTTTATCACCGTGCGAAGTGATTTTAAGTGCAGTTGGACCATTTGGACAATACGGAGCTTCAACTCATCCAGCCAACTCTCCATTATCTGGGGTAATGGGAGAAGGGATGGCCAGGTGAAAACAAAACCTCGGATAATGCAAAATGTATGTAAAATTGGCTAAAAGTGCATTTTAATAATTCACCTACTTAGAAATTAGGGCGAAGACAAGCCTCACAGTGCTCGCCAAAGCCACATTTAGTATTCTTGGGGTTCAACATTAATGCTTAAAACACTGGTAGCTGGTATCAAGAGTGGTATTACAGGAAACCATATAGTACATGATAATACATATAGTACATGATAATACATAGAGTACATGTACACAGCCCTTTGTTATTCCACTGCTGAGTGAAGGCCACCCCACGCTATGTGAATACTTTACCACCCTGAGCAGTGTGGGTTGATGAGGCAGAGCACATAGACGTGAGGGCATAGAAGTACAGAACAACAATGGATGTTGCTGCAATACCCTCTGTTGCCCACTACGTAGCTGTGCAACCTATAACGCTGGTTATGCATCTTGGTCACCCATCAAAAAACTATCGAGGTACAATCCTGCTCTGAGATCTGATGATATTGGGCGCATTCCCAGTGGTTTTGGCAGAGTCAACCACCTAGTAATAATACATAAATCGACTGTCGTTGCTTCGATGTCATTGTTGTCTTTTTTTACGACATGTATTTTTGGATCAGTCACCGAGGAGAGGGGGCGGCCGTGCACAGCTCCCTGCCGAAGCCGTTTGAGGACGATGAGCACAGGAGCCGGCCGCACGTGGGAGAAGTCCGTGCCACGCCAGCCAGCAGAAGCAGGTGCGCTAGTGGGAGGGCCGCAGGGTGTTCGAGACTGTTTGGCGAGTTGCAACGCCGCTTGCACAGTTCCGTGCCACGTAGGCATTGCTGCCAAATGCAGACACCCACGGGTCCCCTGGCTCTCGCTCGTGTACGTGGCCGTGTTGTGGGGCAACAAAGAAAACAAAGGAGTTGGGGGGAGAGTTGTCGTGAGTTCCTGTGCGCTAGCGATTCAAAGATTGGTAAATGTAATACAATGTGTGAGTGCGGAGAAGTCGGTGACATGGGGTAGATTAAGCATGTGGGCAGCAAATGCCACATATTGGGAATTCTGTGTTTTATTTTTACAGTATATTAGTTTATACCACGGCATGTTCTTTAGTAACAAATTATAGTAGCTAAATCAGTTGCTTTTACAGAATATCCCTCAGAAATCTGCTGCATATCATTCCAGAATAGTATTGTATTGATAGAGTGCAATACGAAATTGAATGCTAATATTGTAATGAGTTGTGTAGCAATATTGTTCGATGCGGCGTAAAGTTAATTTTTACTAAGATGGAACACCGAATAATATAAAAGTAAATTAGTCTTATTTTTCCTTTCATTGTGTTTCTCAGAATACAATCTTTTTCACAATAACCATTTAATTGCGAGACATCATACGAGTATACAGTTTACCTCCTGTATGAATAATTTGTGATTGGCATTGAATAAAACATCATGCCTCATGCATTCATTAATTCTGTCTGACTTTCCACCCATTGGTAATGTATCTAGAAGGGCCTCTAGGGGAATCTGACGCTCGGCCCTGCACACAGTGGCACTCGTTAGCGCCTTCCCAGGAGATACACACAAGTTAGTCATGTTGAGGTACAGAGGATATTCCAGTGAACAGACAGAGATCCTGTTTCCAGGCCACCAAAGTGCACTACTATCTAATGACAATAGGGTGAGGGGGATTTATTATGGCTTGCTGACCAGACATCCAATGCGGTGATTCACTCAGGTTCAATTGCAGCCCTTCAATGCTGACGTTTCTATCATATTTAATTGTTGGTGAGTACCCTTCTTGATCTAGACTCGGCTTGTTGCCATATTGGTGATTCACAGCAAAGCAAACAGACAGATGGTTGTCGTGCTGATCCATGTGTTTGGCATGAGTGACTCAGCCCTCACATATAGGAATCACTCACGAAGAAAACACACATACAAGTGAAACCTATTGTGCCAGCTACACATCTTGACAAAATGGGAAAAAAACGTTATTTTCGTGATTTGCCCCCTTGTTGATGATTCAGACATCAGCAGCACATTTTCACCAAATATTGGACGAAAATTTACGTTGATCAAAATGTGAATCTGGCTCCAAGAAACATTAAATCATTCTCATCTATTCACATTGTATAAGAAATTATTTCCAAATATAGAGAGCAGTGGTACTCCATGTCAAACGGTTATCATTCAAACTTCCCCTGATATACTTGTTTGTTGTACACGCATGCTGTGGTTTCTCCCAAGCATGGAGATTTATTTGGAGTGTATACTGTAGGGATCCACGTCAATCAGTCGTCTACCTTCACAACTAATATTCCTGCCTGACACTGCTGTAGGCTTGAGAGAAAAGTTGGTGAAATATTTATTTCGTCACCAAACTGTAGAAAAACAACAAATAAACTGTGCCTCTGTAACATTGCACTCAGTATTTCTATTTAGGTTTATTAAAAATGAAGGCAGCTTGAAAAATGCAGTGGCCACACTGCCATGGATGTAATTTCCATTTGGATTGTGATTCTGTTTTTTTTATTCAGGTGCCGTATTGTAATGCTCACTGACATGAATCATCACGATTCATTTAAATTCATATTGGAGTATTTAATACACGTTAAACCCACATTGTCGGTATTACATTAACTTCTAAGCAGCCCATATGCAATGATCCAATATGGGTTGCTGTAGTAACTATACCAACACTGTTTAATTTAAAATGCCACCCCTTGTTTACTGTAGGTTATTAAAAGAACGAAGCAGCCTTCAATCACTGGACGGTGATAATGTAAACCAGGATGAAGAGGAGGTAAATACACGCAATATGGTATTAATCTTTTCTTTATCATTTGAAGCCTCCATATTTGCCATGTGCTTTAAATGTACACACAGACAGTTGTCATGTCAAAATGCCAATCAAGACGTGTTGCCTGCAGGAGGGTGTGAATACATCAGCGGACTTCGGAGTCTCAAAGCATCTGATGGTGCCTGACGAGGGCGAGGTTCCCTCTACTGGTCTTCAAGAGGTAAGTCCATTCAGAGCTCACACTCCTCTCTCTACCTCTGCCTGTCCTCGTGCATTTGCCGTCCTGCCTTTATGCCCCTTTGTAGCTTTCAACGTCTGGTCCTCGTCCAGTAAATTTAACTTCCTATTCCGAGCGTCGCCTACATCTACAATGATCCGTTTTTTGGTAATTTAAATCTTTTTAAAGTTGAAAACTGTCACGTTTGAGATGGCTAGGTGTTTCAGAGGTTAGCACTGAGCTGACAATGATATACTGGGTGTAAATCCAGACAGATGCCTGTGATTAAACGGGGTTATCAAATGTAGAAAGTTAATGGTCTCGGCCTGGCCATTGCTAACGACACAAGAAAACATGTTCAATCTGGTTCCGAACAAAATTCGGCTTATTTCTAGCTTGGAGCATTACAAACATTGCTTAGACTGTCATGTATGTATGTATGTTGAACTTCTTTCACACCATACGGAACCAACTATGCTAATCTCTCAGTGGCAGAGTGAGTGGAAATATACTTCTGTACCGTATTAACCAGAGGTCAATTGAAGGGATCTCTGAGGTATCTCTGTGGTGTGTGCTCCTGTGGGCAGTTCTCTTATATGAAGGGCTGTGGTGCTCTGGGGGGAGTAAAACAATGCATGGACAATGCTGTGTTCCAAGGAAAAACTGTGGTGAGATAGACACACGACAATTGTGCACAGTACTCACATTTGCATGCCCACATGTGCATGCTTACGTTTCTCCCTCACCGCCAGGTGTTTGACATCCTGCCACTCTACGGGCAGCTACAACCGGGTGAGAGCCAGGCTGTCACCGTCAGCTTCTTTGGGCATGCGGGCCTGCGTGCCCGGGCTACCGCGCTGTGCCGCGTGGTTGGAGGGCCCACCTATGAGATCAGCCTGCTGGGAGAGGCAGCAGACATGAGCTACCAGCTCAGCACCACTGAGGTGGACTACGGGAAGGTGGTAAGTGTCTCGGTGGCCACTGCAGTGGATGTGGTGATCTCAGGATCGACCACAAGGCTACATGATGGAGAAAGTGTAAAGTCGTGGGTTTCCTTCACCAATCAATATCTTCCAACATATGAACTTATGATGTTTCATTCACAACTGACTTGATTGACACTCATAATAAACGTTTTTGGGTTAGATCGCGTTATTTATAAATGTGTCGTAACCCTCTACCACCCGACACGGCCAATCAGTAAAAAAGTGTCACGTTGACAAAATACAAATAGTTCACTACTTTAGCCCACCGGTGTGTTGACACTATTCACTTACTGATCTCTGTGGCTTTTATCAAGGTTTTTATTGAAAGTTCATAATTCACCACAGACAGTAAGGTCTCACTCTTGAAGAGGCCCACAGAAGCATGGACTTTCTTAAAATTCTTGTTTTTTTTAGCCCAATACCCGACCTTATAAACTATTTTTGCTAGGCAGCTGCATTTTAGCTCACTGAGATCAGTGTAAATGGATAGGAGGAGCCTATTCCAACAGATATTTGTGGGACGATCCAATATTTTTGTACCTTTGGTCCCTTTACAACCTGAACTGAGGTCTGGTTTTGGTCATAGAGCCCACGAGATTTATGTGTTTTTTTTGTTTAATTCCTTGTGTTCAGTGCCCCCCCCCCCCTCCAGTTGAAAAAGACAAATCTCATAACACAGCTAGAAGGTGAAATGGGGTCAAAAGAAATCCCCATTTACCTCCCATACCCTTGGCTTAGCACAGTTTGAGAATGAGCCTTTCCTGCACTTTGAGATTAACTCTATTCAGCACCGACTGAAAATAGCATGGTTGGACAGATACATATTCTGTTTCCTATATATTGCACACTTTTTAAAAATACTTCCTATGAAATAGGTGATAATTTCTTATCCAAGAATGCTCTAAAAAGCTCTTAAAGTTACGTGTAGAAATTCTATAGTTTAATGCGTAAGTATTTGTCTTTAGGCCCATCATCTCTTCTGCGGACAGTGGCCGAAAAAATTTGCACAAACAAATGCGGACACTACATATCTTGTGTCTGCACAAGTTGAAATCAAATGACTTGAGAAAAGAAAATCTGAATTCAGCTAAATCACATAAATTCCCAGCAGTTGTAATCTTCATGATCTCAGTACACTTTGATCCTATTGTTTCTCAGAGCCAAGGTATGAATTAGATCATCAGGCTTTTTGATTTGCAGTAAGTCCAATTGATAGGTTACTTCTTAAAAAAGATATATTAAGCTCTTGAGTATGACTGAAATGTGAAAATTACTTGTAAAGTTGGAAAAGTGATGACTATATGCCAAGTGAAGCAAGGGAGCAATTACAATGGCTTGGATATACATTTAAATACATTGCATGAAATGTTGATTCCAGTATTAATGTTATGAACAGGATTTAGCCCCAAAGTAACCTTGACACATTATTGAAACGATTTAATCTTACAATAGTTCCTGAATGTTGTTTGCGTTTCCCCATGATATTTTCTATCTGATCACAAAACCTCATTGAAACGGTGATGTGAAGCGTGGGAGGACATACTGCTGATTGGGACGCTGCACTAGGCCGCTGTAATCACCAGCCTGATTGCTGCTGCTGCTGCTGTTGTCACAGCTTTTTGACCGCGTCGCTGAGGTGGAAATCACCCTGAGGAACACAGGCAGCGTTGGCTTTTGGTTCACGGGACCTGGGGAGGCACGAGGAATGGAAGGCCTTGCTAGTGGTGTCCCTTACATCTGCCCGCACACTGTGAGCACGCACAGCACTTGCACCAATCACTCACTCGGCACCGTTGCTCTTTACTGAAAATTACCGCGTTAATTTTTTTGGCCTTTTTTTGTAGTTTTATTATAGGAGCACTGTTTTGGTCATGATTCAGAATTGGGGGCAACATTTTAAAGTGTAAAATCTTTAGGCAGCAGAGAAAAGTGTGCTCGCTGACGTTCTGTCATCTTACACTCCCTCTTCTCTCACTGAATGGGGAAGCTGCCGTGAGTATAATTGAACGTATCATTACGTTATGTGTTATCGAGTTTGCAGACAGTTACATGAAGGAAACAAATCTTGTGTAATAAGTTTGGAAAAATAAGTTCAGTGCAATAATGTATCATGTTTTTGCAGAAATTGTGTTGTTAATTTATTTAACTGTTATGGGTATTCATTGAAAAGTTACAAACAATTACTACATCACCTTCTTGGAATGTTGTAAAAAATGAAACAATGCTCACATGCAACCGGCATTCATCAAGTCAGACTAGGCCTGGGGTCGTGTGTGCAGGTCAGTGAGTTTTGGATCGGCCGGAGTCTGCAGTGGTGCATGAGAGAGCACGATGCAGGAAATTTATGTGAACAAGGCTCGTTGCCTGTAATGGAAAGATCTCCTCTGTCTTTCCTATTTTCAGTAAAAAAAATGTAATTAGCTTGCTCTTTTTACATTTGATATACTAATGCAGCTTCATGGTTTGTTCATGAAACATATTTAACTTACCCTTAAGTTGTCGTGCTTTGGGAGACTTAACAGCTAGAAAATGTTATCTGAAGTACTGTACTAAAACTCTTGGATTCCCAGAGTCACTAAGAATCCCATGCTCACTTCATTTTGTCATTTTCGCTAGGGTACAAAAAGTTTAAACTATCTAAAGCGATGGATTTCTCACCTTTTCTCTGCACTTCAATAAGTCCAATTATATTCATTTTATTTCTCCCAATTCTGTCTCAAGTAAAAAATATTTAATTTGCCTCGCAGAGTCCGCACGATGTACGTAGCTGTGATTAAATCTAGAAGGCAACCTTAGCACCTCCTGTTCCTTCAGCATGCATAGCATATGCCATGGCTGAGCTGCTGGGATTTGGGGTTCGTGGTTTAAACATGTTGGTCATGGGGGTTTTTGGGCCATGCTTCACCACACTACTCAGTGCGGATTGGTCAAGGGCGGGCATTTTGACTTGAGTACCAAAATGCTATGGGTTCCCCTGTTCAGTATAGTTCTTCAGGTATTCAAGGCGTTTAGTCTTCTTCGTCACATCAATGCAGAAGGAGTTATTTGAAGCTACTCGTTTACAAAATAATAGTATAAAAATCTTAAAATGTTACGATATTTATTTGATAGTAAATTTTGATATTTTAATGGCTACACGTGTATTAAACGAACAGATGTATTGATAGACATCTGGATTAAGGACAGTGAACCAGGTGGCGTATGCATGAAATATTTTGAACAAAATTCACATTTGCCTTCCAAATAAGTGGAGAGCCACGCCTGGTCTCACGGACATGAATCAACTAACACAATCTGTCGGCACCCGCGCAATATTTCATGCCGTTTTCCCATTAGGGATTTGTGGGGGCAGCCACGGAGCAAATTGTGAAGGTACTGCTCCTGCCCGGCGTGCCAGAGCCGTTTCAGCATGCTGTGGCCCTGCGCATCGCTCACTTTGAGCCCGAGGTGCTGAAAGTGTACGGGGAGGGCGTCTTCCCCATTGTCCACCTCGATCTGCCACGCAACATGGACGGTACGTCACTTCCTTCCCATCTTCTTCTAGCGGGCAACATTTTGAGGAGCCTCATTCTGTTAATACTGAATGGATGCCACGGTGGGGGTGGGGGAGGGGAGCCCAGCGGTGGCTGATTAAAGTCATGAAGCTGCTCTGGGTGGTTGGGAATGTTTCCAGTGATTGAATAAAAGAGCTTGGCTTCGTGGTGGATGATGAGAGCGTTATTTACTACTATATTTACCCAAGAATGTCAGTGTGTAACGCGCGTGACGTCACTCCACATCGAACAGCCCCCCTCATTAATAATCATGAACAGGTGACGTCATCCACATGGACCCGCCCCTCATTATTAATCTTCACTCCGCATCGAACAGCCCCCCTCATTAATAATCATGAACAGGTGACGTCCTCCACATGGACCCACCCCTCATTATTAATCGTCACTCCACGTCGACCAGCCCCCTTCATTAATAATCATGAACAGGTGACGCCCTCCAAATGAACACCGCCCCTCCATTAATAATAATTAGCGGGTGACGTCACTCCACATGGGGGGCGAGGCGCCTCCTCCCCCCTCCTCGGCGTCAACTTAGAACCCTCACTACAAAGGCAGAACCCTCACGTCACGTGATCTCCGTCACGCTGTTGAGACATAGAAGTCAAAAAGGACGTCATGGTGAACCTTTAAATGAAATAAGTCTGTCACCGCAGCCTTACAAATTGCACACGAATTAATGCAATTAATACCATGTCGCGGTCTGCTTTTCGCTTGCAAGTTTCAGATTTACTGCAATACACCCGTCCTTGGACGGGCAAAAGTCTAGTTTGTAAATATTTCGATAAATGGCATGTTAAATTAATTATCTACCCACTGCTGGGAAAATATGTACAATGCTATGTAACCCTTTGTTGAGTATTTCTAGAACAACATTTTTGACTGGCAGTGTTTTTATAGTTACAGATTGTGATTGGCAGGTGTTTTTTTCTTACGAGGAAATATATTAATACTTACTAAAATTGGAATGTTTTGATATTTTTCATGGCAATTCCAAGATTACCATTAAGTAAAAAAAACCTGAGTATTTAATCAAGAGGTATCTCTTTCAAGATGCTACAAGCAAAATAAATGTGTAAAAGTTAAGGTTATTGCTATTAGTCCTGCTTGTGACATTTATGGGTTGGACAGATACATATTCTGTTTCCTATATATTGCACACTTTTTAAAAATACTTCCTATGAAATAGGTGATAATTTCTTATCCAAGAATGCTCTAAAAAGCTCTTAAAGTTACGTGTAGAAATTCTATAGTTTAATGCGTAAGTATTTGTCTTTAGGCCCATCATCTCTTCTGCGGACAGTGGCCGAAAAAATTTGCACAAACAAAAAGTCTCGCCGCCATTTACCTTCGTGTTGTAAATCATTAACGAGCAATTTAAAAAAACGTTTAAAAGATTGAAGTGTGGTCTTTCAACTAAAAGAACGTGAGCCATGTTAATTTTGGATCTCCAACGAGTGGCACGAAGCAGCAGTCCTAATTGCTCTGACCGTGACTGCTTGAGCTGCAGGCTACGAGAGGTTCCAGGCTTTCTTGAAGGAGGCCGCTAAAGGGGGTGCAGAGTGCGAAACGAGCCAAGAGGAGCACCCCAGTCGCCCTGGCACATCCCTGAGGGAGCAGCAGCCAGATGAATCTTGCCTATGTGTGAGACCTTGCACCATCACACATCTCCTGCTGACCAACTCTGCGTCTCAATGGGAACTCCGATTCTTCTTGCATGCACACGTTCCGTAATTGACTTCAATTTTGTAATAGCAGTGCAGGCCAGCACCGGGAGGCCCATTCTCTGTTATTTTCTTGCCCGATTGACCAGTAGATGATAGTTTTACTGTCAAATCACATTAAACAGGAACTCGGTCTGCATATTTTTATATTTGTCTGTGATAACTTAATAATGTAAAGAAGCCTCTTGCATCAGGTCATTGAACTCCAATGCAGACAATACTCCTGCACTACTCTGTATAAACCAAGAGAAAAGCTGCATGTTGACAGGCTTTTGCAGAAATGGCCCCATGTGTTGAGAGCTCCACTGTTGACGGTCCCATGTGAAGACAGCCGCATGTGTCTAATGTCTCACGCCATGACACGTACCCCCTTCTGCTCTTAGCCCGAGGTGCTGTTGGAGCATGGCATGCAGCTGGAGCTGGAGCGGTTGATAATCAGCGAACACGCGCGTCTGCAAGCCTCCCTCCTCGGCACACAGCACTCGCCCGCCTCCTCCACATCAGAGCACACACTGCCTGGCAGACAATCATGGAAAAAGCTTAGCAGGTTAGTTCTGCCGTGACTGCTCAAACTGACCAATCGGCACAAAGGAGACATCGGGTGCTGTCCTGTAGATATTGCTCATTCAAGTGATATTGTGTGGGCATTTTTGGCTTATAAGTCATCGTTATAGTATTTTAATTATCTCTCGGTATTTGGTATCTTTCCGTGGCCATTGTAGGGTCCGTCTGCCAGAGTACATATTGGACTTTAAACACGTGATCTTGGGAAACGTGCGCACGCACATAGTGAAGATCAGCAACCCGGGCTGCTTTCCTGTGTCCTTCCAAGTGGAAAGAAATGCCTTGGCACACACAGGTGAGTAATGAATCTTCAATTGCAGACTCCAAAAAATATAAACTCAGCAATGCGCGCAATTTTATTTTCATTGCGAATAATACAAATATAGAATTATTAACTACGCACAGTATGGAATGTTATTTTCATGGAGGATATATTCATGAAGATATACGGTATTGTGACGTCGCAGTGATAAAAATGTATAAGAGGGCAGACTATCAACAGTTAACTGAAGTGATTTGGGGGGAATGGGTTAAGTGTTTGTCAACAGCAATGCCACGGTGCTGGCAATGAGTTCACTGCTGCCGCACTCATAGCCGGGTCGAGCTGTGCCTGAAATGAACTCGTAGGTAACATGGAAGTTGGATCTCCCGCGACAGGATTCAGTGCCGAGCTTTACCGCATGAAGAACTTCCCGCCGTCCGAGACGGAGACGTTCGAAGTGCGCTTTGATCCACGCGGCGCAAGTCTGGGCCTAGGCCCAGTGGACGTCCTCCTGAATATCCAGGTGTGCACGCTCGGCAGTGACCTAAGGCATTGGTCGTGTAAAGGAGAGATTCGACCCAAAAATAAATACCTCTCATCGTATAGATGTGTATCCAGGCTGTGTTAGCAGAAACGTTGTTACAGAGACACAAAACCTTAAAGTTGCATTTTTCGATTTAAAGCTTTCGTGACTGCAGGGATTCATCTTCTTGGTTCTTTCAGTAAAGTCACGTAGAATGGAAATAATAAAATAATAAAAATAAAACAATTAAATAATTCTCACGACGTTTCGGCCACAACGCAAGCAACCACCTGAGGACGGCTGCTTGCGTTGTGGCCGAAACGTCGTGAGAATTATTTTATTATCTTAATTTTGGAGCTTTCGTGACTGCAGGAATTATTCTTTGGTTCTTTCGGTTAAGTCACGTCTAAAGATAAAATAATAAATTAAATAATAGCATATTACGACGTTTCGATTGCAACACAAGCAATCATCATCAGGCATAAAAGAAATAGCAACAAAAATCTAACTAGTCTATAGTTTTCTAGTTAAATTTTTGTTGCTATTTCTTTTATGCCTGATGATGATTGCTTGTGTTGCAATCGAAACGTCGTAATATGCTATTATTTAATTTATTATTTTATCTTTAGACGTGACTTAACCGAAAGAACCAAAGAATTATTTTATTATGTTTTATTTGTATTATTTTATTATTTCCATTCTACGTGACTTTACCGAAAGAACCAAGAAAGAAACTTCAAGTTGCAGTCGAGCACATCATTATAACACTCCAATGATCTAACTCCCATACTGTTTAGTACAATGTCAACACAGTGACGTCGCTAGAGTGGTATGATGAAGAACCTGACCGTCATTTTCAAGTTTGTATTTTCTCATCAGAATAGCTTCAAACTCATGTCAGACAATTCAGCACACACAGCCTAGTTGTGTATCTACTAGAGCTGTTTTTTAATCGTGTCTTCATTTAAACCAGGGTTAGTCTGACCCAACAGCAGAATTTGGGAGGTGATCTGTGGCTATGGCGGTAATTTGAGTGACATACGCGCTCAGATTAATGCAAATGCAGGCCTTAATTTGTTTTACATTTGTTAATTTCACAGCTGCTTCCATATTTTGTGTATATTTGCTGAATTCGTGTAATGTGATATACACTATGCTTCTGCATGTCCTATTTACATGAATATGTATTGATATACATCATATGCAATACACGAGTATTAATATATGGACTATATATGCATGCAAGTAAAATATGTGCCTTGCACATTGTCACAGCATCCCAATGGGGCCTCCAAAAACAGAAGTTGACAAGGTGTCTCTAGGGCAGCGGTCGGCAACCAAAATAACAAGAAGAGCCATTTCTTTCCAATTCGGTACAAAATTCAGTATTTCAAGAGCCGCAATGCATCTGGGTACATACGTACTCATCGTCAAGAAGCAGCCCGTAAAGAGCCGCATGCGGCTCCGGAGCCGTAGGTTGCCGACCCCTGCTCTAGGGCTAATACCATGTCAGAATAATGAGCCGGTACCACTGAGATCTTGTATTCAAATGCAGACAACTGTCCATGATTAAAATGGGTTTCCAAGTGTAGCAACTTGATAGTGATTATTGGTTTTTTACCCTTTTATCTGGCAACAAAACTGACACCTTTTTTTTTACAAGGAATCATGTTTCATCAATTTCAAGGACAGTGCATACATTATCAGAGTTGTGTTTTTTGTATGCATTCCGACCGCAGGTATTGTGGTCAATGCAAACATGACTCCTTGTAAAAAAAGGTGTCAGTTTTGTTGCCAGTTAAAAGGGTAAAAAAACAATTATCATATTTTGCTACTGGCAAAGGAGGTTCCAATGGTGTAAATCAACTTGATAGTCTTAATTAGGTACCATTGACTGCACAAAAAACCCATAATTAAATTTCAGTTTTCACTCAATTCAGCAAAGTCCATTTGTAAAAATAAAAAAATCTGCCATTCAGCAAACATGGCATGTCAGAAGGTACACGCCACCTTATGTGATCAAATTAATTGAAGAGACCTCATAAGAATTTATGTGATGTCATTTTCCAAAGGCCGATTCTCTAACATTTGCTGAGGCACAGTTTTCTGAGATGCCTCCAAACGGAAATGCATTCCTTTCTTGTCATGACGCCAATAGCGTAATATAAATAATAGCGAAATTGAGAGAAACGAAAAGCTCATTGATGCCCCGACCAAATCACTGCACTGAAGACAGATGTATCGTGCATTGCATCGTTTGCTCGCGCGTGCACAGGTGGTGGGAGGGCCGATCGTGGGTCTGCGTTTGCGCGCCATCGTGACCATGCCTGATCTGGAGGTGTCGAGCGAGGAGCTCGAATTTGGCGACGTTCAGTGCGGGCAGTGCCACATCGTCAATGTGCAGCTGCACAACAAGCAGGCTGTCACCTGCGAGTGGACCTTCACGCCGCCCGACACCTCTTCCAAGCAGGTCAGGTCCAGCGTACAGCTCGGCTTGCTGGCATGTTACACTTAATTTGAGGTGTGCGGGATGGTTGGCAGCCTCCCACAGAGTAGACTATTAAAAGGTGGAACCCAAAAAAACCAAAGTTTTTTTAGATATGTAATAAGAAATCTTTTTATATCTAATGATTAACCAGGAAAGCTTCGCTGAGTCAACATTGAGATGTTCGGGAAAATTCAATTCTTGAACATTTGAATACTCCATCCCAACGTGTGGGAGTGATATCAAGTGGATGTTATTCGATTGCCGTATACCAAGTCCATTTATTCATTATCGAAGCTTCAATATAATGTGGGACAGCCGAGGTAAAGCAGCCTAGTTATGACTTTATGAGATAAGAGCCATTGCTTTCATCTTCTTGGTTCTTTCGGTAAAGTCACATAGAATGGAAATAATAAAATGATAAAAATAAAACATCATAAAATAATTCTCACGACGTTTCGGTCACAACACAGGCAGCCGTCCTCAGGTGAAGAACAGGGCTGTCGGGAAGACAGCGTCTGAATGATAATAATTCAGACGCTGTCTTCGCGACAGACCTGTTCTTCATTCAGACGCTGTCTTCCCGACAGACCTGTTCTTCACCTGAGGACGGCTGCTTGCGTTGTGACCGAAACGTCGTGAGAATTATTTTATTATGTTTTATTTTTATTATTTCCATTCTACGTGACTTTACCGAAAGAACCAAGAAGATGAATCCCTGCAGTCACGAAAGCTTTAAATCGAAAGCCATTGCTTTATTTAGGTTGCATCTTTAAACGCCCACTATGTAAATTTGTATCTCATGGTGGCGGGATAAAACACAGGCTGACACACCTGTAGCAGCCCTGCTGCGCCGCAAGGTGCGTGCCACCGCGCCTCCTCCCCCAGAGCCACCACGCGTCTTTGAGCTGCTTCCTGCAAGTGGCACACTGACCCCAGGTCAAAGGATGAACGTGCAGGTCAAGTTCACGCCGACCCAGGAGGTATACTTTGCTCGCTCACATCACGCACCATCACCCTTGCTACTGCTATTAATCACAGGCTTTGCTTGGCGTCTCTCCATATAAACCCTGAGCCCATTCTAAATCAACCAGAACACCGTGATTATATACGTGTGCATGTGTCTTTCGGTAAAATGTGTGTTCCGATTCTGTTTAGTTTTGTATTGTATGAAAACTAAAAATAAAATCTAAAATAAAGTAACCAGCTGGACACTGCAGTGATTATGGTGCTCGACTCACAATTGGATGATTGTGATTTCAAATCCCGGTCGAGGATCAACTCCAGCATTCATTCCTCTGTGGTTGATAAAATTAATACCGCTTTGGAGGAAGTTATCAGTGTCTTATGGATAGCCTTCATACAATTGTGGAATTTACAGCACCTGCTAAGGGTTAACAGGAGGTGAATATGGCTCCACATTCTTCTTAGAAGAAACTGCAGGTGCAACTTTACGTGTCATTCGTGAGTTGAACTTGATAGCTTAGTAAGACATTTTCCTAATCTGGTAACATCTGATTTGTACTATGTATGTACTACTACTGCAAAGTTTCACTGCTATATGTTTGCTGTACGGGGGGCAGCTTCTCACCCTTGGTTCTTTCGGTAAAGTCACGTAGAATGGAAATAATAAAATAATTAAAATAAAACATAATAAAATCATTCTCACGACGTTTCGGCCACAACGCAAGAAGCCGTCCTCAGGTGAAGAACAGGTCTGTCGAGAAGACAGATTCTGAATGACACACCTCAGGCTTGGAACGTCTATTTAAGCTGGGATGGAGGGGGAAGAGCGCCTTGATAAAAGAGTTTGCATATCAAGAGGAATTTAGCATATTTATGGGAAATGCAGATATGCGATTAGTACTACATTCTACGTGACTTTACCGAAAGAACCAAGAAGATGAATCCCTGCACTCACGAAAGCTTTAAATCGAAATCTTTTTCTGTTTCTGAACAATATTCCGTTTTCGGTCTGCACCGCAGAAACGCTACTGCAAGCGGCTGGCACTCCGCATCGCGCAAAGCAGCCGGCGTGTGCTCCTCGTCGCCTTGGGCCGTGGGCTGGAGCCACGGCTGGAGCTGTCGGCCACCGTGCTGGAGTTCACGCCCATGCTGCCGCAGAGCACCGGGAACACGCACCACGTCACCGTGCGCAACCCCTGTCCCTTCCCCATCGAGTTCTACTCGCTCGAGTTTGACACGCAGTACCTGGAGGAGGAAAAGGTGGGTCTATTTCTTTGTGTGCAACAGTGTCGTCGTTTTCTTGGTTCTTTCGGTAAAGTCAATTATTTTATTTTATTATGTTTTATTTTTATTATTTTATTATTTCCATTCTACGTGACTTTACCAAAAGAACCAAGAAGATGAATCCCTGCAGTCACGAAAGCTTTAAATCGAAATTTAGTGTCGTCGTTGTGTACTCGTTGAAATTCTGTCTGGAGAATATTGGCATCTGTGCCTTGTCATATGTCACTGCAAAAATTGAGTGCGCACATTTCTGTCATGTGTCAACACCACTGCTGATTTGGCAAAGAATAGTGTTAACACCCCCTCCGCTGCAAACGGTGATCGCATTATGTCACTTTTTACAACAGTTTGACAATGCTGAGATGTTTAATTTAGTAGAGAGTACTTGATTGTTTAATCTCGGAACGTTAAAGTGGTTAACGTAATAGTGCCTTGGCCTTGTGGGAGCCTCGGGAAGTTATTTTATTTTTCTTCTGGTTCCGTTCCGTACACGTACATCATCAGTGGCGTACACGTACATCATCGGAACGGAATCGGAAGAAAAACTGATGATGTACACGTACGCCATTCCAATGACGTACATAAAGGGTTAACAACCCGTTTAATCACAGTTGGCTAAAACCCAGCTATGAACTCACAATCTTAGTGGTTGCCGGGTCCAGTGCTTTGACCCCTGAGGCCCCCTGGCCACGTCTAATTTTGTGATTTTGTTGTTGTATTTTGACACTTATGCTCAGATCCTGCGTCACGTGAAGGGGTACCATGATGGAGTGTTGTTGCTGCCCCCACGGTTGCCGGGTGAGAAGCTGCCCCCCGAGATCCTCCAGGACTACGAGGAGAAGCTCCGGAAAAAGGGAGAAGCAGCAGCGGATACACAGCTGCCCAACGGAGAAACCACGTGGCCGAGCACAGGTGCAGCAACCATGCGTGCGTACCTCAGCAACATGCATCTCGAATCCTCAAGACAATGATTACATGAATTATATTGTCCTTATGATTCGTTTGTAGTTATAATTTCACATCGGAGTGTTATTAATGTTTTACCCACAATGGTCATGTTGCATCAATAGTTATAGAGCATTGCCGAGGTTGCTAGATTTAAAGAAAGGCTCAAGTAGAAGCTAAAGGGCCAGCGCTGCAATAGCTTGCTCATGCCACTCCACTCGATGGAGCTACAGAGAGCACCTCTAGAATGTATTTGTCTGACTCTTGCACGCTGGCCAGACATCTTGGAAGAGGTGGGGGATTTAATAAAGCTGTTTCAAACTTGCCGTGCTCCGGAGATGGATCTGCCGACCTCCGGATTGTAAAATGTCTTAACTTACAGTTAAGACGTTTAAATTAAACCCATAAAATAGGATGAAGATGAGTGTAAAAACATTTTATTTAATATTATTCTGCCATCCAAACTTGTTCAAATAATTTATGATTTAAGGAGATTTTAAGCAAGATGAAAACATATGTTAGGTTTTAAGCGGAAAGACTGATTTCGGTTTCGGCAAACACGAGCACGCGACCAAATGAGTGTTCAATGTCGCCTGCACACGTGGCAGCACTGCGAGAGGAGGATGAAAGTGAGGCGATCGTGAAGCCGGACGATCAGGATGGCGCGACGGGCCCACCGGCCACGGAGGCGAGCGTCGTCCCACGGCTGGAGGGGATCGGCTCGCCAAAGGGCGACAAGAACGGAGAGGTCCCACCAGGGCTTCGAGAGGACAGTGATGGTAACTAGGGGGGTGCAACCTTTTTAGAGGGCACTTTGATATTAATTCTACCATTGATACGCGTAATAATACGTATCAATAATATTCAGTCCCCTGCCATTCATTACTGTAGAGTCTATGCAAGTCACATCTGCTTATATATAGTGTGTTTGATAAGCTATTTTAACCTCTACCCCCCCCCTCCATTCTACCCTTTTTAATCTGATTTAAATAATCAATAGTTAATTTAAAAGGCACAGATCTAATTAGAAATTCATCTATCCATCCTCAGACTTGAACTAGCATTGACCTTAAATGAAAATCTCAAATTAACCTTTTATAGGTAAGACACTTTACATAGGCAGTATGTTTTCTGCTTCTGTCTTTATTTCCGACCTGAGGATGCTTGATGCAGTGTCAGGTGAAATGTCATTTAATTGTTAAATATTTTGATGCAAATTATTATTAAACTTACTGGTGAGCTGAAGAAATAATAAATTGCCGCATTAAATGCTTGTATGTGTGACTATTTCATTTGTTTTGCTCTGTCAGCTGGTAGAGGGTTACACCACAATATTTTAAATAAATTATGAATCAGTATATGTTCAGTTGTTGTTTGGACTATGCACTTATCAGTTGGCCACAGCCAGCCCAATCAAAGCTGCCCATCACTGCGTACTAACAACATTCCTCAACGTGTGTGCCTGTATGGCACAGGGAAGCAGCGGGAGGCATCGAAAGGAAGGGCGAACAGTGGAGTGGGAGACCTGGAGCTGACACCCGTGGCCGCTGCTCTAGCACGACACCTGGGCATCGACCTGTCCCCGGAAGGTCGCGCCGCCCAGAACCGGCGTGGCATCGCCATTGTGGTGCACGGGGCGCCCAGCTCTGGTAGGGGCTCGCACCATACTTGGCACCATTTTTAAAACACTGTGCTGGAAGGACAAAAGTGGGGAGGTGGATTGACAAAGGACACTAAATTATAATTTTTAGACATCATTCCTTAGTGTTCAATGCCAGAATCAGCAGTACTTTATCCCAGTGATTCACCAAGATAAGACGGATCCTTTCTAACTGCAGTGCTTTGTACATTCGTGTGTGTGTGTGTGCGCGCATGTGCGTGCGTGGCAGGCAAGACAAGCGCAGCGGTGTGGCTGGCGCGGCGGTATGGCGCGGCACGCCTCACGCTGGATGGGGTGGTGCTGGATTGCCTATCAAGTGGCACCACGGTGGCCGGGCTGCGTGCGCGACAGCTCTGCGCTGACGCTGCACACCGAAAGGCCGTGCGAGAGGCCGAAGAAGGTCCGTCCTGCCGAAGGAAAACGGAATGTCCTTCCTGCCTTACTCACAGGCATTAGACGATGTGTCAATTCATTATTCAAAGTAAACTTTTACACCCAAGATGCATGCATCATATTGAAGAAATACAGATTTATATTCTAGATTTGAAGCTTTCGTGACTGCAAGGATTCACACTCTTAGGTTTTTTCTGTAAAGTCACGTAGGTAAAAAATAAAATTTAAAGTTAATAATTTCCATTATTACTTTTATTAACTTTTAATTGAATTTTTTACCTGCGTGACTTTTTCCGAAAAAACCTAAGAGTATAGATTTATATATTTTTTAAGAGTCGAATATTTAAAATTTTTACACATTTTATTGATATTAAATACTAATGTTACATTTTACTGAACGGAGAAAATAAAACTGCACCGACACAAGAGAGAAATGAGAAACAATACAATTGAGATGGTAAAATCGAGACAAAAAAGAATACATAATTGAATCACTTTGTGACCTTGGATTGTGGCAATTCATGGGTTTGCTGGGCCAGAGTTACTTAACTCGATACATTACACTCACCTGCAGAATGTATATAATGATAACGTCCAGGAAAGCTTCACTGAGTCTCAAGACTCTTTCAGGATACGCCGTGCATTGGGATTTTTTTGTCAGTTCCTTTTTAAAGAGTGTTTTGCACATGCTGCCCTGCCATCTTCTGGCGACCTCAGTCCATCAAGTTTGGGAGTTTCTCAAACTCTACCTCGAATACTCTGGATTACAGCAATGTCATATCTTTAATAATTACCTATAAATTCTAGATTTTAAGGTCACTCATGTACATTTTCAGCATATCATAGGGTTTGCAACTGGTTTAAATGATGGATTTTATGTATAGATATAGATTTGAAATAATGGAAGTGTTTTAGAGCGATGATAGATGAGTGGGTGTATGAATGAGTTAACTGGTCTGTTTCTCATCAGTTAAATAACTGCCCTAACCCCGGCATCTCTCCCACTTTAGTAAAAAAATTATTTGCTGTGGTTGTCACACCTGATGATGATTGCTTGTGTTGCAATCGAAACGTCGTGATTAAAAAAAAAAATTCACCTACGTGACTTTACCGAAAGAACCAAAGAATATGGATCCTTGCAGTCACGAAAACTTCCAATCTTGAATGGTCTGTTTCTTTTTGACAAATGAAAAAATGGATGGATGAATGAATGGATTTGTGTTCAGCCCAAATGAATAATTGGTCGTGTGTTTAGACAGATGGCTAAATGAGCTGACACATGAGTGGAAGTCAGCTGGATGAATGAGATAGTACAGAACCCCCTCCTATTGGCTGCTGTGTGCAATTGCCTTGGCAGCTGGCCTTACAGATCCGAGTGCACCATCAAGAGCGACCCCGGCACTATCAACTGTGGGTGGCAGCATGGGGGGGTTGAGCATGGAGGCGGTGGCCAAGCACTCTGCATATGGCATGGAGTCTGGCGTCGGCGGGGCAGACATCCGCACGGCACCATCTTCCATTTCCATACGGCATAAGGGCAGCACGATCGTGGGAAAGTCACGCGCCGAGGCTCACAGCGTCGCCACGCGACCGCTGCCCTCCGAGCCTACTGGATCACAGGTGCTGTCGGTGTTACCCACTCTGTCTGCAGGTCCGACTGAGAGAGCCACTGTGGACATTAACAGTGTGGACCAGTGATTCTCATCTCACTCTGCTCCCCTCCACACACTCTCCACTCCAGAAACTAAAGATTTCTAATGAAGCCCCCAACCAACCTTTGAAAGTGAAAGGTTGCTCATTCTCCTCTGATGTCCACATAATCTGAAGCTCCCTTCTCCTGTTTCTATTTGGCTCCCGATATGACTGACTGCCTCTCTATAAAATATACAATACCACTGTTTCTATATAGCAACGTGAGATGAACTCACATTTAGATGTTATATAAATCCATATTGTATTGTATTCATTTAAACATAACTTTGATAATTTAAAAAATTACTGATTTTATACAGCTACATGGTATCAAGAATTTTGCCATTTGTGCCATCCAGACATTTTTGCATAAAGGACTTGATTCAGGTGAGAGAATTTTACCTTTTTCTGATTGCTGGTAAACACATTCCAATGTCTCCATCATCGTCAATGAGATGAAACCACGGAGGTGATATTCTTTTACCCTTTTTATCACATATTTGTGAATCGAACTCGAAATGCATTCATGTTGCATACTCGTGTTGTAGTTTTTTGGCCTAAACAAATCAGGATGCGTAGTAAAACGCGGTACAATTTTATCCACTGTAAAAAGCGTGCTTGGAACCTGCAGCTTGCCTATATTTGTTCACATGGTGCTGTTCTATTCCATGCTACCGCCTACAAAAGGAATTGGGAGAAGGGCGCTGAGCAGGGAATAGAGGTTATAATGACCAGTGGCAGGCATGACCAGAGCTTTGGATATGAAGGTTGGGGACCGATAATAATGCCAAACAGCCCCCGCAAGAAATCCTTCCTGGGAATTAATTCACCCCCGAATGTGGCCCTCATAAGTCCCATACACTCACGTGGCACTGTAGGTCGCCTTTGTTTTGTTTGCTTTAGGGTTATATGGAATTGAGAAAGACTGGCCATGGTTCAGGTCTGGATGCGAGGTGCTCATCTAGCTGTGGCATCATTAGAAGAGAGTAAGGGATCCCGCCACTGAGGAGGGCATTGAATACGCACGTCAATATGGGAATTGTCTTTTAAGGAGAGGCATTTTCTTTTGCTGCAGGCTTTTTAAGAAATTCTAGCAGTCACTTGGGGTATCAGTACAGTTTTGGGAAATGTGTGTTTAAAATAAATAATTGTTAAAAAAATTATGACTGGTGTCTGTGACACCTTTTAACAATGTACAATGTAAAATTAAATAATGTTGGATTAAGTCAATATGCGTAGGTTAACGACATCTTTATCATGAATGTAGCGGGGAGTGATAGCACAGTTGTTAGTGCAGTTGTTGGCACTGCCCTTTAAGCCTGGCAAGCAGAGGTTGATTCCCAGCCATGGCTAACATCAGTGGGGAGTGATATCTTAACTGGTCCTGAGCCCCCTTGCCAATGTCAAACAACCCCCATGACCAACACAGTCTGTGGAGACAAAGGGATGTACATTATAAATGATCATGAATGTCAACTAAAATTGTAATTTTAGGTCTGCTGTAAAATTTAGTTTCAAATTATGCTGCATACGCTGTACTGTAATGCATGTGAACAAATGTACCGTATCAACAAATTAGCAGCCCGTCTGCATAAATGTGTTAGTCTATGTTTTTTTAGAACTAATTGCTTCCCCGACGGAAGGTGAGCTTGCCAAGGCTGGAAAGCACCCACCCGCGCCCAGCTGCAGGAGCAGGGATAGAGGAGATATCCCTCTAGCAGCCATGGTGTGTGCCGCCCCGTGTCCCCATGCGCGCAGGCTCCGAGCGTGTCCATGGTGGGCGCGCCGCTGCAGCGTCGGCTGAGCGTAAGCGCCAGCGTCGCGGGTGAGGACGGCCTCCTGAGCTGTGTGCTGCCCGAGGAGCTGCTCATCGACATCCTCGCCGAGAGGCTGCAGGTCGCTACCACCGTACTCACCGTACTCACCGTACTCACCGGTTCATCGCAGACTCGTCGGCTGTAGCAAGCAGCGACAATTACAGGCTCGCGTCAGACTAAGACGGCATGAACTTTCCAAACTAATATTGATCCATAGTCACAAATTTGCTGACCCTTCTTAACTGTTGGCTAATTTTTTACTCACTATTTTTTTTTTACCAGGTAAGGCCCACTGAGCTATATAGCTCTTTTTCAGAAGCGGCCTGGCCACAAATGATAGCTCAACGAAGTGGCTTATCATGTGGAAATGTATAGCAGCCAAATACTCTAGACGCATGTTAATTGTGGGGAGAAAATGCAAAATCTAAATATAAAGGCGTCAGGGACGGAATCGAAACCACGACCTGTATTCCAGGCAAGGGAGTTATCATTTTGCCACCATGGCATCGATTATTCATCTTAGGATTGCAACAATGCATCGATTATTCATCGAAATAATGTCTTATGCCCACCATATATGTGCATTGAAACGTGCATGAAAACATTAATTATTTTCGATTTATGCAAATTATATGGAATTATTTTTTTAGTTGCATTGAAAATACAGAAGTGAGATAGTAAATATGAGTGGCAAAATAATCAATACTTCAATCACATTGTGAACACGAATTGTGACAATTAATCTAATCGCTGAGGAGCGGAGGATCAATCAATCAATCAACCTTCTCACAGCCCAGTTATAACACTCATAAATCCGGCTGATCTGTTTAATCATGCACGCTTTTGAAATAGTTTGGATCACTGTGGCTGCACCTGTTAATCATGCATTCTGTTGGAACGGTCGTTGACAATTAAAGTGATGCATTGTGGCTTCTGCGTACAGTATTCCCTCGCTATTCACGACCTTGCTCTCCGCTATTTTGGCTACGCGTGAATCGCATCTGGAACTCTACACGACTGGATCGAGAGAGAGAAAGAAAGTGATGTGATAAAGTTACGAGAGAGAATGTGATGTGAGAAAGTGATAAGATAAAGTGATGTTTAGCATCATTATAATTTAAGGTAAGTTCCTTCGTATTTACTTTATGTTTATGATAATCACATTTTAATTTTTTTGTATTATGATAATTTTCATGTATTTAATACCTTATGTATTTATTTAAGGTAATTCGTTAAAAATATTTTTCGTCGGCCAATATCATTATCTGATTAATTTTCTATTCACGAGTATCTCCGGAACGTATCCCTCAAGCTGAACGAGCGAATACCGTACGTTGAAAACCGGTTCCCGTTTGTCCCGCGCAGCTGAGTGACTGCCACCGAGGTGTGGTGCTGGACGGGCTGGAGACGCTGTACGCAGCCACCATCGCGAGCGCGGCGCACGTGGTGCTGAAGGCCCTCAACAATCGCCGCTTCATCTTCTTGGTGGACCTGAAACAGGATCTGGCCTCGCTGGAGGCAAACGAGCAGGCCGCACTCAAGAAACGAGGTCAGGGGCACCGGTGCAACAAGAACAGCTGTGATTCCTTGTTGGCCTTATACACAGCATCTTGGGAAATACAGTTTGTATAGTTTTTTTGATTATGATTATCTTATTTTAAACGTTAAGTGAGCTTTGGTGGGACACGTCGCTCGAAGGGATAATGGCGGATGGTCGAGGCTGACATTGGGGTGGCAGCCAGAGAGGAAACGTGCCCGAAGGGGTGCCCACCGCAGAGATGGAGCGGTTAAAACAGGTCCTTTGTAGGGGCTTGGCGGATTGCCGCATTGCAAAACTGTGAGAGTTGGCTACGGATTGAGGAGGCCTTTATCCAGCAGTGGATCGATTTATTGCTGACGGTGATGATAAAATGTCTAATTTCACAGCTTTCAGTTTAAGCTTGTAACTGTGTATTTCATCCTGACACGACGAATGTATCTTTGGTTGTAAAACTATACTGCACTTAACACGCAGTTGGTTGTGCCTGATTGGAGCACCTCCTGTCAAAATGAAGTCATCTAGACAGCTTTGCGCAATGTTTGACCCTATATAGAGGCAGAGCTGGTGCAGAGGCTGGAGGAGAAGAAGAGGTGGCTGGAGGAGATGGACGAGGATGAGTACAATGCTCTTTCAGATGAGAAGCGGATGGAGGTGGACAGTTTGCATCTGGCTGCCCTCAAGGAGCGCAAGGCTTGGTCAGCACCATCCCTCAAAATATCCCCTCCTTGGTTGTCGTTTATTAATTAACATTCATATTATTAGAGATTTAGACACGCGTCCCACTTTTATCACCAACGGAACTCTGGAAGTGCAGCAGGGGACAGTCATTGTGCGTGTGTGAGCTGCCGATTATGGAGTCTGCTGAAACGCGTTTTGCCTCTTCGCATCCTTGTGGTTAGTGAGGAGGCTGACAGGCTAGCGAAGCAGGAGCTAGAGCGTCTGCGGGAAGAGGAGCTCGAGAGGCAGAGGGAGGAGGAGGAGAAGAACAGAAAGCCACGCAAGGGAAAGAAAGACGCCATCATTCGGGATGATCAGACGGCACAGAAGAAGAGCCAAGCTACTCTCAAGCTTGTACGGATCTCACAAAACACCGTACGGGCATCAACATGTATACATGACATTGTGAGCAAAGGATTGAAAGAAGTGGCTCTTCTTTTGTTGTCCAGCAGGTGTCATCTGTTGCGGATCGGTCCGAGTCCCAGGCCTTGGAGGATGGGACACGCAAAAAGAACAAGGGGAAGGAACACAAGGCAGCTGCGCTATGCCTGCAGAGCGACGCCGCTCAGCAGCCAGCGGCGACCATCAGCGAGCCAGACCCGTCAGACGAGAAGAAGGAACTTGAACGTCGCTTCAAGGTGAGAGCAGAGATCGAGGCGGCTGAGTGGCTGAAGGGACTAAGGACATGTCAGAGCACTGCGCCAGCACCACTGAGTTACTGGGCACAAATCCAGGCAACCTGCCGTAATTAAACTGGGTTCCCAAATGTAGTGAGTTGATGGTGTCAACCCAGTCTTTATTGACTGCACACGCAAAAGCAACCATATTAAATTTTCATTTTCACGAGATAGCATTTTTTTTTCTTGGTTCTTTCGGTAAAGTCACGTAGAAGAGATAGCATTTATTACAGCTCTAATACTTAAGAAATAAATTTGGTTTGATTGAAAATTGACGAACAATCCTTGCAGGGCATGTAAAAATGTGTATGTATCCTTAGCATGAGTAAAGAGGTCTTAAAATGACTTAAGATATAGTTCAGTGGCGTTATCTTCTTATAGGTGCGTTATCTGACACAAGCTGATGCACTACCAGATGAGAGTTGTGAAAGTTCTGAACCTCATTGTTGGATTATGCAATAATTATCTTAAAAAATCAAACCTAATTTAAGGGCGATTAGAGCTGCCCTGGTTTAAATATGATTGATCTCATTTAAGTTTGAGTCAAGTCCATTCTTTTGTACATCCGTAGCTATTGAATTAATTCACACTAATGATTGATTCATTGTAGTGTGGGAGCATTCAGCCGAACATCCTGATTTATTATGCAATGCTTTAATTATTTCCCGTCAATCCTGTCCATTGTAATGCTTTTTGAAGGCTGAAATAAATCCATCTAGTGGTTGTTGCATTAATGACAAAGTTTAAATGAATCACCATACATTCTCAGTGATATCATTTAATCATATGAATAACATACTTTCAACTGTAGTTCAAATGCTAACTGCTGGAATTATTCAATGTTGGTCAGCATCCAGTAAAATATTCTTGACAACATAGTAATACGAGTGGAGCTCTATAGTAAATATGCAAATTGAGGTTTGAAAAGCGTAATGTCGTGCAAGTTTTGCATGATGCACGTACATGTCCATATCACTATATTACCAAAAAACAATCTCAGGCAGCATGTTGGTCTCTCCGGCATCCCGAGAACAGTCGAGTTACACGATGTTTGTCAAGTCCTTCAATTGTTAAAAAATTTGATTCCCATTTCATTCGTCAGTTCGGATAATTTATAACTCTCACCTAGATTGCTAGTCCCTTTATCTTGGTTTTGTTGTAGAGTGGAAAGTGATTTAATCAACAAACATTCCCATTGCACCCCCCTTTTTTCTTTTGATCCGCATTTCTTGTTATTGAAATAGTTTCACCCGGAGAGGATCTGACACGCCGAATTGGGAACTTAATGCGATCTCCTAATAATTAGAGAGAACCCAACTCACTTCATTGGGAAACATTGTATATGGTCTGCTACATTGATTCTAACGTAGATAATACAATTAAAACATGGATGTGCGCAGGCATACGAGCAGTCACAGAAAGACGTGCAAAAGCTGCTGGAGTTCTGGGACCGCACGCAGGGCATACTCGTGCTCCCGCCCACACCCGAGACAGAGGACATCGTCGAAGCCGAGGACGAAAAACCTCCACCGTCGGGCAAGAAGAGCAAGAGGGAGAGAGAGAGGGAGCGACTGGAGCGTGAACGCGAACGAGTCGAGCAGCGGGAGAAGGCCGAGAGGGAGCGGCTCGAGAAGTTGAGGAGCGATGAGAAAGGCGAGCCGTCTCCGGCGCCCGGCTCTGCCGATTCAGACAAGGTGGCGCAGGAAAGGCCAGGCTTACGGAAGGCGGTGCTGGGCATCCCACATGTGGCGCTGGAGGTCACGGATCCCCGTGAACCCGTTGCAGAGAAGCTGCTGGCAAGAGAGCTGCTGCCCTCAGTGGACGAAGTAAAGAGGCACCCTTTGACCTTTCCCCTGCTTTTAATAAAATACCGCCGGTACCATATTGGCAGATTGTGCCCCCCTGCGGCTCCCCTAACACCCCTTAAAAATGTGCTATGCCGATGAGCATCTATAACACATTATCGAGATAATAATGCGTGTAACATATTTGCTATATATAACAAATACGATAATTTGAATTCCATCATTACATTGCTGAATGGAAGCCTGTTAATACTGTGAGTCATTGGGGTTGTATGACCATGGGTTAAGTTATCACTTGCAACTGATTTTAGTAATGGTCAGAAATTCAACACAGGTCACTGCATTCATTTGGTAGATTTGATCATACTTCCACGAATATGAAAATCATTATTTGTTTAAAAAAGTGATTGCAATTACTTTACAATGGAACCCTAAACACCATGTTTAGTTCTGTCTACGTCAGTGTCAATTACAACATCCACCATATGCACACCACTGTGATGCTTAATGTATTAAGTATACAGCACAAAAATCGTGTTTATATCTGCATCTTTTATAAGTAACTGCACTACAAATGAATGAGTATTGAGGGGTGAAAAAAAAGTGTCATTTTAAGAATCCTACAAGTGTGGATTTCAGCCCATTTTCCAGTGAATGTCTTCATATCATTTTTCATTTGCACTTTTATGACTCTTGCTGATATGATGATGACTTTTCTCTTTGCAGGTTCTGGACGGACTGGGCCTGGGTCCCAGTGGGCCCCCTATCCCACCACCTGTCACCCTGTCGGTAGTGCCGTTCCCCGGCAAGCGCAAGGGCCTACCTCCCAAACCCATCGAGCGCTTCCAGTTTGTGGAGGCGGTGGAGGAAACGAGCATGGATGAAAAAGATCCAAACGAAGAGGTTCAGCCGGAGCCCGAGCCCTGTATTAAGGTATTGAGTTAGTCTACAAATCCCTCCATGGTCTTGCCCAACCATATCTTGATTCTCTAATATCCTACAATATCTACCGTCCCTCTCTGTTCCTCCGTCGCCCTGCGCCGAGTCTCGCTTTCGTTCCTTTTGCCTTCTCGCTCCCCTTCACTGGAAGAAACTCCCACTGCACATACAACAATCATTTTCACCGACCAGCTTCCATTCCTCCCTTAAAACAAGCCCCGTCTCTTCTTCCTTGCCCACCCTGCTACTGCTACTCCCTGCCGCAGCCCTTCCCCCAGCTATAACCAGGCCTACCCCTACACCTCCTTAACCGCTCCCACCTGCCCTCCTAACTGTCACCATAACTACACCATCACTTTCAATAACCCCACTTTTTATGTGAACCACTATCATCGAACGTACAATTTTATAAATATTGTAAAGCACATTGGACAAAGGAGCTGTATACATCTACGTAAGATAAGATGATGCTGCGCTGCCCGAGAGGTGTTCTTAACGAAGCGGCTGGAGGAAGCAGCGCCCTGCACACGTTACCCCAACTCAGCCTACTCCTCCACTTATTGTAGGTGTATCGTCAATGTATAGAGCAGTTATTCCTCAAACCCCAGTCCTCGTCACCTCCCAAGGTGCAGCGTACTGTGATCAGCAGCCGCCAGGTGCATGCAACACGCAGCGGACTGATTTGCACATGAATAGAAAATATCGGGGTGGAGAAATAGCGCTGTGGTCATCGCACTGTGCCGTGAACACGGCCACCTGACTTCACCACGGCGAACGTCAATGGTGCGCGATATCCGAACGAGTCCTCTGCACCCCTCTTCGCAAATCCGCATTGACTATCATGGTCAAACCACCACCATGACCAACACAGTGGAGGTCGGGCTTCGTCTAACAGTGGATATGCAAAGGGGTGTAAGCTAAATCATGGAAAGCGACACGGAGGGGAGCCGCAATGTGTCGTAACCCTCCACCACCCGACACGGCCAAACAGTAAAAAATGTGTCACGTTTTTTTTTTGCCACCTCTGTTCTGATACTGGCCTCTCTGCAATTTGGGTTTAGAGCACAAGGCAATTTAAAGCTAAGCTGTGTTTTTAGCATCCAGAACTACAATTTTTCATCATGTAATAATACATTACTTTATTCGTTACAATACTCTATTTCTTTCAAGGCATCCTATACTAATATTGCTGCCATCGTAGTGCATGAAATAGTTAATGGAATTTAAATAAAAATGTTACAGACTAGGTTTTGCACTTCGTGTAAATAATATATATTAATAAGCCCTAATTCATGTGAAATACTGTACACGTATCAAATTATATTTGTACATCTGCAACTTGAAAATAATTTTACATATTCAGAAAACAATTTTACTTTGCACTGTTTCTAATGGAAGTTAACTGGTAGTAAGTGTTAATAATTGAATTAGCTGATTAACACATGCTTAATTAATCATGACGTGAGTCATTTAATCAAATTCTCACAGAAGCTGATCCTTATTTCCTGGGTTTGTATATCAACCTGCTTACCGTCACTGTCGGTTCTCACAGTACTTGTATCATATTCAGGACAACAGTTGCTTTCGTACATTTAATTAAAAAAAATGTCTCAGACTATGTTAGCGTACGTTGTGCCCAGTGAAATGACAAGGTCCTACTCTGCAGTGGAAAACAATACAATTGTAATTGGAGAGGAATGAAAAATGATTCTGCATGATGTGACTTACATCATTGGCTGCCATACCAGGAGGAGCTCACGACGCCTACCAGGGGCAAAGGTCGAGGCAAGGACAAACTGGACAGCGCAAGAGAGAAGGTTCGATCTCCGCAGAGAAAGAGCGCCACTCGGTCACCCCCACAGCCTCTGGGCCAGCCCGCAAGCGCTCAGGTGGATGGTGAGATGGGCAGCACGCAGCAAGGCGAAGCGTCAGTAGCAGAAAGCCGTGCAACAAGGTGAGCAAGGCCCACGTACACCCGACACTATTTCCAGCCACGGTCCCTGCATTCATGGTGTAGGCATAGGGTGGAGTTTTACATGGCCACGGTTGCTGATGCAACGCATCGTGTGAGACACGCCTGCTCGTGATCGCACGCCCTTACATTGACGGGGGGCTGTCGGCAGGTTGAAGACTTTCCGCTGGGTGGTCGACGCGGGCAGTCAGGTGGAGCTGCACGTGAGCTTCTCTGCCAACGATGCGGATCAGTTCGACGAGACGCTGAACCTGGAGGTGCTGGGCACTCGTCGCCGCTACCAGCTCTACTGCCGCGGCGTTTGCACCTTCCCAGGCATCAGCCAGAACCCCAGGTGCCGAACTCAGCTATGAAATGGAAGAATAAGCCGGGCAAAGCCAATGTCGTTAAGGGGTCTGGTGCTAGCATTGAAAATTAACGTATAGAATTCTGCTTTCTGTCATAATGAGTCAGGCTTGCAATCTTGTTAAATGCACTTAATCTGTCGCGCAGTGAGTGATATTTCAACCCCTATGTAAATGTAACAAAAATTGTAAGCTTATTTAGCTGCAAATATTATAGTACACAAAACACATTGATTAAATGTCAGATTGAAATGGGAAGGTGCAACCAACACTGTGTTGTTTCGGCATGTGACGATCCAACAATTTATTCGTAAAAATGTATATTCACACTCAAAATACATGTATGGAACTATACACGTTAATAATTATTGTTTCATCATTCATATTTATTGTCTATAATTGGTTCATGGCAACCCTGTGGCCACTAGATATGCTATATGCACCACAGTGTTAAGTATCTAATTAAAATTTTTACCCTGAAATGGGACGATTCGTTGAAGTGTGGAACGGTGAACTCTTACCAGTCTGTTTTGGATAAACGCTTTACCAATGGTTCACATTCCCCGTTGTTTGTCGCATGCAGGATTGTTTTCCCTCACCGGAAGAAGTCTGTGCAACCTAATGAGATTGTGCACAAGCAGTTTGTGTTGAGCACAGACATCTTTGAGTTTGGACCCCTGCTGTGTGGAAAAACAAGAGAGAGGTAGGTAGTTTTCGATTTAAAGCTTTCGTGACTGTAGGGATTCATCTTCTTGGTTCTTTCGGTAAAGTCACGTAGAATGGAAATAATAAAATAATAACAATAAAACATAATAAAATAATTCTCACGACGTTTCGGCCACAACGCAAGCAGCCGTCCTCAGGTGAAGACCAGGTCTGTCGGGGAGACAGCGTCATTCAGACGCGTCATTCAGACGCTGTCTCCCCGACAGACCTGGTCTTCACCTGAAGACGGCTGCTTGCGTTGTGGCCGAAACGTCGTGAGAATTATTTAATTATGTTTTATTTTTATTATTTTATTATTTCCATTCTACGTGACTTTACCGAAAGAACCAAGAAGGTAGGTAGTTGTCGTGATAATTGCTGGAGGGCAAGGACTTCACTGGAATATTTTGTAAAGAGTTTATGACGATAATGTGGATCGTGCCGAACATAAGATCTTCTCTGTATGGATGTGACTGGCAGGTACAAGGACGGCCGCTACCCAGAGAACATGGAGAGGCTAAACATCCAGAACAGCTCGCCCATGTTGGCCAATGTCACCTTCTGCTTCCAAAATGATGCCAAGGCGACGACGTTCTTGCTCGACCCGCCCACCATGACCCTTCAGCCCAAGCAGGAGCAGGTCTTGGAGGAAACATCACCACTCAAAAATAATATAGCTCAGGAATAAGAATAAAATAAATTGTAGATAAAGTAAAATATTAAAGTTTTGAGTCTTGACTTGAACGTGGAAAGGGGAGATACCTCTTGATAGTGCGGGCGGCAGGGGAGATTAATTGACTTTCCATTCAGTGGAGATCGGTGGATGATGTCTTTATTATATTCATTGTGCCAGGTTCAGATATTTTAATACATGACCATAACAAACTTGTATTCGCTCTAAAACAGACTGGCGATTGGACAACAAAAGTCAAATCGAATTTGAAACCGCGTTCGGGAAACTGGTTTCTGTGTGTGTGTGTGCGCCATGGTGACTTCGCCGCTTAGCAGCAAATGGCGGCCGTTGTTGTTGCTGCAGTTGTCATGTGCACCGTTACAGACGCTGACGCTTTGGGCCTATCCGACGTCGCCGGGCTGCTTCGAGGACGTGCTGGTGTGCTGCGTGCACGAGAACCCCGAGCCGGCCATGTTCCGCGTGCGCTGCCACGGAGTGAGACCCGAACTTGAGCTGGAACGCAAGCAGCTACACTTTGACAAGCTGCTGCTGCACAGGTGATGCAGAGTATATGAGCAGCGCTGGATTACACATGCGTAGTGACGCAGATCGGAGGCAGTAACACTTGGAGGCACTTATTTTATTTGACAAGCACCATCGGGATAATACACAACACCCTACGTGGGTGCACACTATTATAATGAAGGCCGTCTATTGTCGGCGGCACTACTTAGAATAGTTGGTAGGCTGTCTGACTAACAGCACCCCGGGATGGTGAAGACGGAGACGATGACGAGATGGTGACGACGATGATGTTGAACGGCACGACGGGGATTCCACTTCCAGCAACAGCCCCGAGCTCCCCCTCAGGGCCCCCTTTTATACTCCCAGAGTGGCCTTGCTCTGCCTTGGCCACGCCCCCTTTCTGGAACCTACTACAACCGAAAGAACCAAAGAATATTAGTTCCTGCAGTCACGAAAGTTTTAAGTCAAAATTCAATTGCCTCTACGGGGAGGGTTTCCACATAACCACCCCTTTTTCTGATGACGACCGCTCGTGTTGCGATAGAAACGTCGTGATATTTGTATTCACTTTATTTTAATTTAATCATTTTTTCTATCTATCTACGTGATTTTACCGAAAGAATCAAAGAATATCATTTCCTGCAGTTACGAAAGTTTTAAGTCGAAGTTTTGTTTGTTGTTTTTGCTGCCTTGTCCAATCTTGATAAATCTGACTTATATAGTTATATAATGCATTACTTAATCATATTTCGTGACTTTCTTTCCATTTTCTCGATTTGGCACTCCTATCAGTTGATTTGTATTGTTTGCTGCTCTAACTTGCTGACCCGCCCATATTGGACATGTCTGAAAAGAGCTTCATAGCTCATCGGATTACTCCGGCATTCTAAATAAAGATTCCGATTCTGTTTGGAGCTGCACTGGATTATGCATTGGCAGAATCCAGGCTCACTGAATCCTCAGGGGGCAACTCTCTTTCACAGACTATTGTTGTTGTGATCACTGGCAACAATAGGCATGTAACAATGTGTAATTATTCTATTATAATTCATTCTTAGACACACAATACATGTTTAAATCACGTGTGGAATAATCTACTGTTTATGATTGATGCAAACGATATGCCAATGTTATATTCAGCCTTAATGGAGAAAACTAAACCATTGAAAACAATACACAAAGTAGCTATAATTTTTTACATTTAACTTTTTGATATTGCAACCCTGAATTGTGACAGTTTATTGAATTACAGAGGGGGTGAATCATTGCATGCCTATCCACCATCAACCATGCTCAATTATTCACTTTCACTATGCTGAAGGCCTCTTGAATATGACTTCTGAAATGTATCCCCTATTATGTTGAAAACTTTCATGGAAACAAAATAAATGATGTGGCATGAAAAGGAATAAGTGCATTATTCTCAGTCACATGAGAACTTACAAATGAAATATAAATGTACAGCCCTTTGTTATTCTTGGTTCTTTCGGTAAAATCAAGTAGAAGGGAAATAATAAAATAATAATAAATATAAAACAATAAAATTATCACGACGTTTCGACTGCAACACAAGCAATCATCATCAGGTGTGAAATCCACAGCAAGAAAATTTGAAAATACCGCCACTTTTTTCAAATTTTCTTGCTGTGGATTTCACACCTGATGATGATTGCTTGTGTTGCAGTCGAAAGGTCGTGAGAATTTTATTGTTTTATATTTTTATTATTTCCCTTCTACGTGACTTTACCGAAAGAACCAAGAATATGAATCCCTGCAGTCACGAAAGCTTTAAATCTAAATTTAGTCCTTTGTTAGTCTACTGCTGGGTGAAGGCCTCCACATGTTTTGTTGGTCATGGCTGTTGATTGGCCATATTCCATCATACTAGCCAGTGTGAATTGAGAAGGGGAAGGTGCAGGATAGTTTAGATGTCACTAACCACTGATGTTAACCAGGCTGGGAATTGAACTCCGATAACCGGGTTTAGTACAGTTGTTAGCGTGATGCACTGCAGTTGTTATAGTGCAGTGAAATTGTACTACAGTTATAGTGCAGTTAAATTGCATAGGCGTTTAGAATAAAACAGTAATAATACTTTCATTTACAGTGCCATAAGAAGCAGCTGAAAAATGTAATAATGCAACACAATAAGAGATGCAGTTGTAAGATATAGCAATCCTGCTCTTGCTTCCTCTTCCTCGGGGGTTCAGTATCAGCAGTGTTTTTTGTAGATGTCCTTGCAAGAGCCTTACCATGCATACTTGCACGCTTGCCATTCAAAAGGAAGGACACAAGGACGCTGACGCTGAAGAACAACACGCTGGCGCCTGTGGCGTGGCATGTGAGCGGCCTGGACAGTCTGGGAGATGAATTCTCCCTGGACGCCGACCAAGGCGTTGTGCCGCCCAGATCCCAGCATACACTGCACGCCTACTTCCGCGCCCTCAAGCCCGTGAACATCAAGAAGATGATTCGCCTGGAGGTCAGGCAGTGCTCGTTGCGATTACAAGTGCAATACTGAAAATGTGTAGGCAGAAGATAGGGCCTTGTGCAAATAAGAACATTTGGAGGCAAACTAAATGAACTTCATAATATGTTTCTAGTCTGGGTCTGTACAGCTTTGTTTCATCGATGAATGTAAAATCCTCTTCACGTTTCAGATTTCAGATGTCGAGAACATAATGGGCATAGTTCATACTGAGAACATACAAGTGATTGCTGAAGCATACGATGTGGCTTTGGACCTCACGTTGCCGAAAGGTAGGTGAAACGATTCCACACTCTACTGCAGCTCCTGCGATGTATAGGGTTCGAGCAAGATAATATATAGAGCCCTTTAAGCCAGGGCATCTCACAAAGTGCTTTGTACAGCGTGATAAATGAAAAACATGTAATGGAAGTTCTTAAAATTATCTGCAGTAATTTATAATGGCCTGTATTTTAGGATGGTGTGACCGTTTCTAATAATTTTCAAGACCAATACTTAAGGTAGAGTGAGCCATACTTATTGCTAATAGTATTACAATCTATGTATGTATGTTTAACTTCTTTTGCACAGTACGGGGAAGGTGCGGGGAAGGACTACAAACTGAACACAAAAAGCAGTAATAAAATTAGTTTTAAATTTAGAAGAAATACGTTTTCAATGACATAACCGAAAAGATACAAATAATTACAACCTATTAAAACTTACTTTATTACCACATTAAACAAACCCAATTAAGTTAATATAAGACAATAAACTGAAAAGAGTGTGTTTACCATGAAAAAAAGTGATATTTTAATCCATCGGCCAATGGGATGATGAGACTCAGATGACAACCAGACAACTGTCAGTTTATTTACCCACAATCCACCACAACTGTCTTAGATTTACTAAATGTATTTTCTTTAAGTCTACGAGGGATCTACATCATAACATCATGTACCGCATTGTTTTTCAACCCCAGGGTCTGACGGCGGACTTGATTTTGGAGTCATACGTGTGTCAGAAGATGCTAAGCAGACTTTCACCATGAAGAACAAAGGGAAATATGAAATTTCATTTAGGTGAGCTAATTTCCCATGTTACACAGTAGCACATCTGCGCACAAATCTGCGCTTTTGCTCACATGGATTTCCTCCCGCAACGATGCAGCTTCGGGCTGGAGGCAGCAGCCGCAGGCGTGCCAGATGTGAGCACGCTCTTCTCCGTGCAGCCACAGAAGGGCACCCTCCTGCCCACGGAGCGACACACGCCCGTCACCATCATGTTCCATGGCAAACGGGAGGTGTCCATCACTGAGCAGCCCATCCTGCGCTGCCAGGTAGGTGACCTGCATAAACGGGGCTCTAGGCTCAGCAGCAAGACCTGCCTGCCCGTGCGCTGGACAAACAACAGATGGGAACATGGCCCGCTCGAAGGTCAATTCTTGTGTCGTTGAGTACACAAGCAGGCGCTTGGGATAAATCAGTACACCCTTACTCTTTGGTTCTTTCGGTAAAGTCACATATAAAGATAAAATAATAAATTAAATAATAGTATACGACGTTTCGATTGCAACACAAGCAATCATCATCAGGTATAAATGAAATAGCAACAAAAATCTAACCAGATTGATTCAGTACACCCTTAGTTTAACACATTCCTTGTAAATAATATAATATACAAAGTGTGTCTGTAAAGCTGGCACTGTAAGGTTCTTCAAATATTTACTCCCTTATATTGACCAGTCGATGATTAAGATGTAGAACTTATGCAAGAAAAATAAATGCTCTGTCGGACAAAGAGGCACGCAATCAGTCAAAAGACACTTAAAGACAGACGCAGACAGACAAAGAGACAGTCAGACAGACAGATAAAGAGAAATAGTAAGACAGGCAGACAATCTTATTTTTGTGTGATTCCTGTAGGTGATCGAACCCAGCGTGGGACATGGGGAGGCTATCGCGAGCATCCCCGTGAAGTTGTCGGCGTGCGCCGTCTACAGCAAGTATTCTATCTGCCCTGCCAACGACATCAACTTCGGGCCACTGGTGGTGAACACACGCAAGACATGCACCTTCACGATCGAGAACCGTGGCGACTTTGACTTCAAGTACTCCATCCAGAAGCTGGCGCTGGACCCACCGGTTTCATCTCAGCGCAAGGGGTAAACATCGTCTCATCAGCGGCAGATTGAACAACAATCACAGTCGGTTACTTATTAGTATTATCACAAGGATCGGTGATGACAAAATTATTGTATGCATGTATGTATGTGTGTTGAACTTCTTTCGCACCGTACATAGCCAACGGTGATAATCGGAGGTGCGGGGGAAGAACAACAAACCAACCTAGTAACAGGTGTTTGTGTGTTACGAGTGCCGATGGTGGTGTTATTTGATGGTGTATTGGGCGTGTGCTGTCTGGTCGTTCAGGATGGCAGCGAAGAGAGTCAAGGCCCATGAGACGCACGGCCCGGGAAGGTTAGGCAACAAACAGAAGCGTGACTCCCTACGACCTGAAGCCCCCGCTGCTGTCGTCCAGGTCATACATCTGCACTGGACATGTCACAGTGCAACACGTCATGGGATTCATATTTATTATTGCGCTCACGATGCACGCAAAAGAGAAAAGAATAGCGTAAATGCGTGATATAAGAATGATGTGAATACCAAATGTCAACTTATTTCATAAGAATCTGCTGATTTAGTGCATGTGTCTGCACATTCAAACGTAGCCCAACTATATCCAAATGTCAGTGGCTCAACTCAATTACACGTGTGTATTTTGTGTGGAATTTAACTTTGATATGGGTCTGGTGTTTGTGTTCGAATCCTAATCATGGCCAATACCTATTATGATTAGCTTAACCAGACCTGGGCATCCCCTAGGTCGACTCAGCCTCAAATAAGTACCTGGTGCGATGTGTAAACATTGTCACTATGGAGACACAGGCAGCCAGGCATGGTACTGGCCACCCACGCTCTCATGTACCATGCTTTCATAGGCCTTAATAGGTGTTCGTGCCCAGCACTTGCCTCAAAATGATGTTAAGGTTACACAGGGGATATTTATCTTTGTCTTGTGCGTGTGTCACGAAGGCTCGGCTGTCGCTGGGCATGTTCACCGTGTTCCCGGGGTTCGGCACGCTGTTGCCGGGCGGCCAGCAGATCGTGACGGTGGAGTGTGCACCGGAGTATGCAGGCAGCACCTCGGAGACCCTGGCCTTAGACATCAGTGAACGCGATCCCAGCGACCACCCCACGGGCATTCCATACAGCCTGTTCGCTGACGCGTGCATCCCCAGTACGCGCAGCCTGGCCCACTTTATCATGCACCAACCACAGAGCACTCTTATAATCACCTCATTAGTTCCTGTAATTAACCATCGCGACTCACTAGTTGATTAATTAATTTACATGCCCATTCGTTACCTGAATAATTTAATGCGAATGCACTGCAATAAATAAGATAAATAATGACATGAATAATTAAGCGAAAAAATTAAACACTCAAGAGGTCACCATGACCACTGGCGGAGCCAGTGGGGGGGGTGGGGGGGGTGAGGGGGGGGCACGTGCCCCCCCAATGATCCGATCGAAATCCCTAATTTCGATAGGATCATTGGGGTTTATTAGTAATAAATCGGCATTTTGCGACCCCCACTGCCACTGTGTAGCATATTATTACGTGCCAGGGACTCTATGAGATGATTATTACGTGCCAGGGACTCTATGAGATGATAGGACATTGGCAATAAGTATCGGCCAAGCAGTTATAAGTGACTCACAGAATTGTTCCCTGAAGGCATCAACACATTCAGCGAGCGCGATGTCGATCACACAACACGGTTCGAATTCGATCCTCGATCGATGGCTGCGCCATCGCCTCACACGCATCGAATAAAAAGCAAGAGACAAGTCCTTACTTACTAACAACTCCTCTATCATTTTTCCATGCTGGAGGGGTTGCCCCCCATACCTGAAAATCCTGGCTCCGCCATTGACCATGACCAATGCCGTTCATGTAACCCCCACATCGCCATCACTTCCTTCCTTCTGCTATATCCAATGGTTGTCACCCGAATTGGCACCCGAATTTCAAGCTGTTCTCGTACACTATCCCACTATCTGGCTGTTTCTGTTCTCTGGATTTGAAATTAAGCTGTTATTCTATATAAGTTGCATTATTATTTAACCCTAAATCAGTCTGCTGATTGTGTACCTCGGAACATTGAAGCTTAATTGAATGTACTTGTCTACATTATCTTTCGTGAAAATTTGTCACATTAACAATCCTAGGTGGGCCAAGTTGATACATTGCAACGCTTGGCACATGAATGTCAGTTATGACTAAAACAATGTAGATGATAACAATTTTGAAACTGTACCCATCTCCTCCTCCCTGCCGAAATGATGAACCCACACTCACAGTGCCCAACTCACTCCGCCCTTTTTTCCATCCTCTAGGCATAGTGATTAACGACTTTGAAGCCATATTTGAGGAGCAGCACATGTGCCGGAGTGCCACGCTGAGCCAGGTGCTGGCGAGCGCGCAGAGCGGCAGCGGCGCGTTTGTGGAGGACGAGAGTCGCTTCGTCTTCCATGGCACCGTCGTGGGCCGCCGTGCCACTGCACGCTTCAAGATCCTTAACTGCAAACGGGTGCCGTGCGACGTCGTCTTCTACGTCAAGCCCGTCTCGAGCAAGGTGCTGCGACACAGGCAACGTGCAATGTTTTGCACCTCCAATTAGCACGGTTGGCTACGTATGGTGGGAAAGAAGTTCAACATACACATACAGAAAACATGGACTAATGAGCTCAGATGTAAATTTCGTAATTGTGTAGCAGTCATATGCCCAGTACCTGGGTGCTCTTGTGCCCATGTGGTTTTGAGTCCTACTCTTAGTTTTTTCGGTAAAGTCAAGTAGGTAAAAAAAATGAAATTAAAATTAATAAAAATGAAATAATAAAAATCACTTGATACAGCAAATCTGGCTGTGACGGTCCCACCTGATGACGGAGACTTGTGTTGCCTCCGAAATGTCGTGATGTTTATTATTTTATTTTTATTAATTTAAATTTTTTACCTACGTGACTTTACCGAAAAAACTAAGAGTATGAATCCTTGCAGTCATGAAAGCTTCAAATCTAGAGTTTTGAGTCCTTATTGCCACGTACGCCTATCCCGCTATACTTTGTGTGCCCCTGTGCCTCTGTCTTCATGTGCCTCATACCTGTGTCCTCCTGTGACCATGTGTCAGTGCTGCCGTGTGCCCCTGTGGCGATGTGTCTCTGTACAGTCGTGCCTTTGTGACCCCATGTGCTTGTGTACCCTTGTGCCTATGTGACCGTGTGCCTTTCTTTGTGCCTGTGACTGAGACCTCAATACCATGTGCGCTTGTGCCTCTGTCTCCGTGTTCTCCGTGTGTGTGTGTATGTGCCTGTACACGTGAGCGATAGTATAGCGGTTAGCGCGCTGCGCTACGAACCTGGCGACCCGGGTTCGATTCCCACTCACGGCCAACACCGGTGACGATTATCTGAATCGGTCCCGGGCCTCCCCTAGGTCGATTCAGCCTCAAATGAGTCCCTGGTGCGGTGTGTAAACATCGTCACTAGGGAGACAAATGCGGTGTGGGCGTGGTGCTGGCCACCCACCCCCTCGTGTGCCGTGCCGGCCTTCATAGGTGCTCGCTAACAGCACTTGCCCCGACAGTCTGTTAAGGCTAAATGGAGGATCTTTATCTTTGTACACGTGTCCTTTTGCTGTATGCCTCTGCGCCCTTATATCTCTGTGCTCTTGTGTCTTTATGCCCTTGTGTCGCTGTGCCTGTGTCCCCATGCCGCTGTGTGCCCCAATGCCTTGTGTGTCCCTGTCTCCATGTGCCCTTGTGCTCCTGTCCCGCTGTAATATGTCCAGGCGGCCGCGCGCATCGGAGACATTTTTAGCGTGGAGCCAGCACGAGCATGCGTCCCCAGCCACTCCCACATGTATGTGGAGGTTTCATTCATCCCACAAGCCATGCAAAGCTACCAGTGCACCTTTGAGGCGAATGTGGAAGGCCTACCCAGGTGCGTTTCATCAGTTAATTACTGTACTATCTGTATACCAAGTTGAACTGTGGCTCATAAAGATTGAATGTGTAACCGGCCCAAGCAAGCGAGAGGCATGCAAAAAAGCATGCGGCAATGAATATTTTACGTGAAAAAAACTTCGAAAAGTAGTTAGACAGATCACTGAGTAATACGTATAGGCTAACAAATATTTTGTTTCCAAAGCAACACAATTTTTGTTAAAGTAATTCAAATTTTTATTTTAAACATTTCCTTCCTCTAAAACACAATCCAACACTTAAAATGTGCTAATTTAAATCATAGTTTGAATGATCGCTGACATCTATTCATTCCAAGTACTGTAAGCTATTTTTGGCAACCAGAAATATGCAATAAAACCATTGCTGATATGAATTTTGAAGTCCCATAGTAAATCATTGTGCTTATGACCCATAGCATCTGATTTCAGTGCAATGCTTAGAGAAAAAAATATCTTTTCAATAATGGCAAGTCAAAATTTATTGCACAGGCCAACTTTCCCTAGAATGATAAATACCACACATAACATCTGTAGTAATGACGGCAGCCTATATGGCCATATATATCCTGAGGATGTATGTTTGTATGTTGAACCTCTTTCGCACCGTACATAGCCAACCGTGCTAATCGGAGGTGCGAGGTGATAGCAGTTGCACCCTGCTGTTCCCTGCTCTTTGAACAACCGTGCCCGTTGTGCATGCGTGCGCTAACTGTGCGTAGCGGAGTCCTGAGGCCACGGGGGCTGATCTTCGACGTGTGTGGGGAGGGCACCCTGCCGCACGTCAGCGTGCTGAGGCCCGCGCTGCGGTGCAAGCAGGGAGCGCCGCTCATGCTGTTTCAGCGCCTGCTGCTCGGCCGCGCCCAGACGCTACCGCTCTCGCTGTGCAATGACAGCACCCTGCCCGCACAGGTGACGCCCCTGAGCTTCAGTATGTGTACACGTACAGCCCTTTGTATCGATCCACGGGCATCCTGACGCCATGGCCGTGACGTTGAACGCCGACTCCAGCGTGAACAGGAACAATCACGATTTAAAGCTTTCGTGACTGTAGGGATTCATCGTCTTGATGGTTCTTTCGGTAAAGTCACGTAGAATGGAAATAATAAAATAATAAAAATAAAACATAATAAAATAATTCTCACGACGTTTCGGCCACAACACAAGCAGCCGTCCTCAGGTGGAGAACAGGTCTGTCGAGAAGACAGAGACAGAGACTCTGTCTTCTCGACAGACCTGTTCTCCACCTGAGGTGAGAATTATTTTATTATTTCCATTCTACGTGACTTTACCGAAAGAACCAAGAAGATGAACAATCACTTTAAGCACTTCACCACTTGTACAACCCCTTTCCATCGCTGGAAGGAGGCCTCCCCACGTCGTGTCGGTTGTCAGGGTTATTTTCTCAAACGTCATCACAATGATCGGTACGGTTTGGTGAAAGGCAGCGAGAAGTAACATGAGAGCATAGAAGTACAGCGTGACAATGGATTGTGCTGCACTGTCCTGTGCTGCCTACAACGCAGTCCCATAGCCCATGAACAACATATTGAGATTGATCGGCTCGGGCACATTCGGGCGATTTAGTCAAAGGAACATTATTAAGATATACACATGATAGATACATAAATAAACAAATAACACTTTGTATTACCACCACAGTATAAGATAGACATTAGAGGCCATCAAACAATGGATGTTTTGGAGCCAATGTTTTCCAGTAATATTTAAGTAGGAAAATTCTTGAGCAGTTTTTCATCTGAGTATGAAAAATGTACTGGGGGTATTACATTTGAAATGGATTTACAAAATTATATTATCATGGATGCAAAAAGCTAAATTAAACCAGCACTGTGGAAGGAATTTGAAGGCCTGAAAATTCTAAAAGAGAAAGTGCACAAAGTAATGAAACAAATGACAAAGCACCTCGTCATTATGAAATAAAATCATTCATATGCCAAGTATTGAATAGGAGGTCACCCACTGATGTGTGTAAAGATTTTATTGGTACTGACCACACTGCTAAAAATACATTTTTGTTTTCAGATAAACGTTGATCTGTTGGATGAAACTGGTGCATTCAAGCTCAAAGTGAAACCAGGAACAAAGTGCTTATACCCTCTCGACAAGGAAGAGGAGGCCAATGAAGGTAAAGTGAACCTCGGAGGGGCTTCGTGAGTTGGCGTTGGGCGCAAACTGCCTTGAAGATTCATTATAAACGTTTTTGGGTTAGAGCGCGTTATTTATAAATGTGTCGTAACACTCCACCACCCGACACGGCCAATCAGTAACAAAAAAGTGTCACATTGACAAAAGACAAATAGTTCACTACTTTAGCCCACCGGTGTGTTGAAGAGTGAATCCACGACATTTACAATTTTTTGAATACGACGTTTCGCTGGTAATTACATCCAGCATCATTGGGCAATTTGCTCTAACCCAAAAACGTTTCTTCTTTGGTTTTTTCGGTAAAGTCACGTATAAAAATAAAATAATAAATTAAATAATTGCATACGACGTCGTATGCTATTATTTAATTTATTATTTTATTTTTATACGTGACTTTACCGAAAAAACCAAAGAAGAATTCCTGCAGTCACGAAAGCTCCAAAATTAAGACCAAAAACGTTTATTACGAATAATATTGGTCGCGAAAGCCTACGTGTTAAACTGCCTTTAAGATGAAACACATAATAGCAACATTTACATCAAGTGCGGGGCATAACCCCAGTTTAGGAACGCTACAAAGTCCGTCCGAGATTTTCACGTCTCAGGCTATGCATGCGGCTGGATAAATGAACTACAATGTGATGGCAGTATCTTCTTTGGTATTTTCTCCACTAGATGGGTGTATGCAGTCAATGCAGCCATCGATGAGAACTAGTTTTAGTGGGAGCTCGGCACTTAATGCCTTTGCATTCAAATGATCAATTAAGCCACTTCAACATGTCATCTGAGACTGGAGTATTCTGTCACCACAGATGAAAATTATAGCTGAAAGCAAAGTAGATCTCAGGCAGCACAAATTTAATTGCATCCAACTGGTATCATTATAGTTGTTCGTTGATTCTTTTTGGCTTCAGACGCATAATGATCTCGCCAAATTTGTGTTACTTAGACCCTCCACCACCTGATATAGACAAACAAATCAGATCGTCGTGTGTAAAAGTATTTAACAAGCCAATTATTAATGTATCAGCTCACCGGTAAATAGAAGAACAATTCTCTCAACCAAATTTAGAGTTAGACTTTGTCAAGCATCATCAGCACAAGATCTAGGAATTCAGTATAAAGACCCAGGAAGTCAGAAGAACCCGTGTCACCTGGTCCGGTTTCTTAATCAGATGTCATGATCACACAGAAACACCCAATAAAATTTAAGCTAGATACTAACAATTACAAATTAATTTATTCAAAAGTATATAGGCGAATTTATGAACATTGTATCCATTAACATTCTCCCTACTCATGAAATTACTCAACTAAAGCAGGGTCACATTAGTATGTTAGCTGGTACTGGTAGGAACCTCCTGGTTATACCAGCCCACAGAGGATTATTGTGTCCGTCCGTCGTGCAGGGAGGCGGCTGGGTGGGGAGGGAGGGGCTGGGTGGGGAGGGGAGGGTGGGGAGGGGCTGGGTGGGGAGGGTGGGGAGGGGCTGGTCACCCCGTGGTGCCCTTATAAAATCAACGTTTAACCTACTCACAGTCGGGCATATTTGCGGAATACACCACGCCGCCGTTGACCCTGGCCATTGACCGAGCAACCCAACGTTCCTACCAGCTCCCTCCGCAGGAATGTGTTATCAATACGGTAAATCTTTTTCAATTAAATTGCGCAGAGCCGGCCAAGAGGGCGCACGCGGCGTCGCTAGTCGTCCGTCCGGGAGAGAGCGCGGATCTGGAGGTGCGGTGCTCGCCCGGGCGAGTGGGGCCATGCCGCGGCAGCGCGCGGCTCACCGTGGTGGACAACCCGTATGCGGTGACGATGGTGCGGCTCGTCGGGGAGGGCTACAGTGACACCGTGACGCTCGACAACTTCCCCAGCCCCCCAGCAGCATCGCCTGACAACACTGACGAGACTTCGTCGGACCCTGATGACGTCCAGGGTAAAAATCGTCGTCATCATCATAACCATCATCATTTTTTGCAATAGTCATCATAACAATGGTTGTCATCATCAACGAGAATGTCACCATCATAATCATCACAATTGTTGACATATTTGTATCATCATTATTGTCATCACCATGGTCATAATAATTGTTATTCTCATCAGAATAATCATCATCATCATCATGATTGTCATCATCACCATCATCTTCTAAATGCCACATTATTATTTCACGAGTTTGATTCATAGAGATGACACCAACTAGCTGACTCCCGGTCAGCGTTGAAGATGGGGCATGGACGTGTGCGTGTATTTTCAGCGGCACGAGCAGAGCACCTGAATTTTGCCGACTGCCACATCGGTCGGCCATACCAGCTCACCTTCACCATGAGCAACCACAGCACCAGCGAAGCTGTGCGCTTCGAGTGGCCCTCCGACCTGCCCCAGCTGAAGTTCTCCCCGCAGGTTTGCAAGGCTCCAATCTGCATAACCTTAGCCCATTTTCCCCACATCGATATAATTACATTCCCAGTTCAGCCTCATATTAGCATTTTTATAGCTGGACAGCTGTAAAGATGTTGTCTGCATGTTTTTTTTTTATTTGCACACAACTGTGGCAAGTGATTTTAACTGGTTAATACTTGGATAGGAGATTTCATGGGTATAACAGGTATTGTAAACATGGGCTACGATGTGGTCCAGAGATGGCAGTGCAGAGATGGATGCTGGGTTGTATCTGTCTTTTGCTTTCTCCAGGAACTCTTGTTTTCTCCCACATGCTAAACAATCATATATACAGGGTGTTTTAAAAAGATGGACCCAATTTCAAAGCAGTACTGCTCTGTATAATTGGCCAAACATCCGAACACGTGACTCTCCCTAAAATACTCTCAAGACTCATTGAGGCTTTCCTGGGTAAAGTACATTATTCTTATTAACAATGCAACTAAATCAACAACATGTTAATTAGGCTAGTGTTTGGAATGCAAAAACCTGCTTTTGCCAGGTGGCACATATCCTATAGTATTTACATTTATAACGTTGAGGTGGGATTGGTGGATAATATAGGGAAGGTTGGACGATAAGTCTGATACACACTTCTCTAGGGCAACAAGATGCCTCTAGGTAGTAATACAATGAGTAGGACCTTGCTGAATATGATTATTAAGACCCAGTTAAAGCTTGAATTTGTAAATATTTAGGCTTTCTAACTACGCATCATGTAATTCATGAACATGTATTTTAACTTTGACAAAACATTCACTGAGTCGTGTAAGAATTAATATGTAAATGTACGATTATTATATGTATATGACAAGTAATGTTACATTTCGGCTTTCAGAGCAGCTACACTGTACAAACAAGAAATAACGATCAAGAATCAATACAAACAAGGCTGTAACAACTATACAATCTAAATTGCTAATTGAATTCAATCACGATCATCATCTTGATCATTCACTGGTGAACCTCGCAGCTCATGCTTCATCCCATTGCGGTTAAGGTCGGGCACCTGCACGCCTCCTGCACCAAGGACGTGACGGCCACCTTCCTTGCGCACGCCCCCGAGGGCCTGCACAGGCGCGCCCTGCACTGCCGCCTGTGGCGTATGGTGCTGCGGGAGCGGCCCGACAGCGTGCCTGACTGGGACGACCGGCTGCATACGGTGCGCTGGGTGGACGCCGTGCGCAGCAGCACCAGTCTGCACTCCGGCACGGGCGCCAAGACCAAGGTGGGCGCGCACGGGGACACGGCGTCGTGACGGGAAGTCCTGCATGACGAGTGCAAGAGCAGGGTTGGCGAGGCCCGCAGACGTAAAGTTTTACGGCTCCGTGAGGCCTACCACTTCGAGAAACGGACCACTACGAATATTTATCAAACACTGGAATGCGTCTTAGCTGCACTTGAACGGGTACTAGAGGGGAATATTTTTTAACTGAAAAACACCTTATAATATGTGCACAAATAACAAACACAAAAATGCAACACATTCATCTTTAACACCGCCTTCAAATTAAAAGTATAATAGGCGACTTTTGGGCAATGACCCTTCATCGCAGAGGCCAGAGAGCTAAAGTGGCCTCTCTATGTTTTGAGCACACAGCCAATGCTTACAGTCCTAGCATGATAACACTTGAGTATCAACTAAAGTGTGTCCCACCAAAGTTATGTGAACACACTTTTCCCACAAGAAGAAAAAGGTTTCCTACCCCTGTGGTAGATATTCACCTGTCCCCCCACCCCCGATTTAAAAAGTGCCACAATTATCTCAAGTCTATAATTCATCGTTTGTTCTGTCTTATTTATCATTGTTTTCTATGAGCCTAAATGTAATATGTTCATATATATTTAGAAAAATCATAAATAAGTGATGCGTACACCCATAATTTAATCAGGAGAGTAAGAATCGATTTTATTTGATAAATGTATTAATCGTATCATTCCTAATAAAGCATACACCATTCACTCTCATTAAATCATGCATGTTTCAGTCAGTACCATTTATTTGCGTTCAGGTCTACTTAAGGGATCTCCATATCATGCTATTGATTTGCTGACATTGCATTGATCCTTAACCCCAAGATTAAGTTTATAACAAGAAAGAGTTTGACAATTTAATAAATAAAACTGGTCGCTTTAATGGATCTCTGAAAGTGAAATGCAATCAGTTTAGATGTAACATCCGACATTTTTTCCTATTGCGTCATATTATTGTCTAATATTTGCATCCTAATTCTCAACACACGGTAGTCCTGGAGCTGTTTGCAGATGTCCTCTACGTGACTTTGCCGAAAGAACCAAGAAGATGAATCCCTACAGTCATGAAAGCTTTAAATCGAAATTTAGTTCTCTAGCTGTTTGCAGATGTCCTCCTTGTCACTCTGCTCATTTAAAGAAGGGAGCCGCACTAGTCAACGTACAAAACTGAATGGACTTGTACACAATAGTCCTCTAGCTTTTTTTTTCTTCTTGGTTCTTTCGGTAAAGTCACGTAGAAGGGAAATAATAAAATAATAAAAATTAAACATAATAAAATAATTCTCACGACGTTTCGGCCACAATGCAAGCAGCCGTCCTCAGGTGAAGAACAGGTCTGTCGGAAAGACAGCGTCTGTCTTTCCGACAGACCTGTTCTTCACCTGAGGACGCCTTCTTTCCGACAGACCTGTTCTTCACCTGAGGACGCTGTCTTTCCGACAGACCTGTTCTTCACCTGAGGATGGCTGCTTGCGTTGTGGCCAAAACGTCGTGAGAATTATTTTATTATGTTTTATTTTTATTACTTTATTATTTCCCTTCTACGTGACTTTACCGAAAGAACCAAGAAGATGAATCCCTGCAGTCACGAAAGCGTTTAATCGAAATTAGTCCTCTAGATGTTTGCAGATGTCCTCCTTGTCACTTTGCCACACGAGTCAACGTCCAGGACTGAATGGCCTTGCACTGAGCTCTGCGTGGCGTGCGTATGGCATGAACCCCGTGGGCAGGTGGTTGAGACGGAGCGGGAACCTCCGCACACCTTGCTGGACTCGGTGCCCCAGGAGCTGGCGCTGACGGTCAGCGCAGTGGCTGACCTTTGCAGGCCTCGGTGTAAGACCGAGCCTGTCCACTTCCGAGACACCCTCATGTTCCAGACGCGCATCTACCAGTAAGTCTTAAGATACAGTCGATCATCGATTATCCGGCGTGCGATTATCCAGCTTTCAGTTTAACACGTAGGCTTTCCCCGACCAATATTATTCATAATCAACGTTTTTGGGTTTAGATCGCGTTATTTATAAATAACGCGATCTAAAACCAAAAATGTTGATTATGAATATCCATCTTTCGATATTATCCAGCAGTCCCGGGCCAATCCGTCAAACACATGTTGTTGAAACAAGAGCGTAGTACATACATCCTCGAAATTAGAGTGGTAAGTAGGATATTTTGTCTATTTGTATGTTTATTTACGCTTAAAACATATACACAACGCCTAAAACACAATGTTACGCAAAAATCAGCTATTTTAAATAATGATGTGATTATCCGGAGTTTTGAAAATCCAGCGCCCCCCCTACCCCCTGAAACAGCCGGATAATCGATGTTATACTGAATAAGAGGTGTTTTTCCCTCACGTGTTCTATCCGTGCTTTCAGCATTATATGACTCTCCGTTCAGAATGAAGTTGATATCAAAGAACTACTTTTAAAGTAACCTCACTTGTCTCTTTCTCCACACTGGAGGCAAAGCTTTGATAAGAATTGCAAAAAGTTGTTATCAAATACATGTATACCTAAATGTTAATTCTCATAGCTGAAATACGCGACATTTAAATTGATGTTTTTTTTTATGTTTGCTGTCATTGATGACAGGTATGAGACCGCCATCTTGGTCTGCTTAATAACATATTTTTAAACAAGACATACATTTAATGTGATGGGTTTGTTTTGTACAGCCAATTGGTGACTGAGCTTAGACCATCAACTCTTCATATTTTAGAACCCGGTTCAGTTTAATCACGGTTGCTCTCCCATGCTGCTTTAACAGGCTGTAACATCGGTGTGGCTTTTTAGTTGGCAATTCATAGCCCTCTACGGTGAATACGGCCGAAGCGTTAGTAACATTATCTGGGTGTACGCAGGCTGGAGCTGGAGAACACGGGCCTGGTGGCATTGCCTCTTCAGCTGGGAGGTGCAAGCAGAGGATGGCAGAAGCAACCAGGACGGACCTCAGGAACATCAAAGTACACAATGCGGTCTCGTGATATTATAAACTTTGGTTAGAATCGTGTCACCTTTGATTGTCCTTCCCCCGCACCTCTGATTAGCACGCTTGGCTACAGATGGTGCAAAAGATGTTCAACATTCATACACACATACGAGTGTTTGTTAGAAATACAGTCAGTTAGTGAGGCACGTTCAGATAGTAGTCTCATGTTTCCTGTCTTCTATGTTCAGTCTCATTTGATCCATTATCCCAAAGGTCTATTAGCATATGATGTGCACAAATTGTCTATTCTTGATTTGAAGCTTTCGTGACTGCACGAAAACTTCAAATCATGACTTTACTCTTTCGGTAAAGTTACGTAGGACGCTTTTATTCCTTATTATTACATGCCTCATGTTTATGGTCCCTGTGTTTCAGAAAACCCACAAAAGCAATGTGCAACATATGAACCTATGTTCAATTTCCATATTTCATACTGATGACAACCTTCAAAACTGGTCATCGTTATCATCCACAGCACTAGTGCTGGTGAGAGAGAAACTTGGCCAGGCATGAAAATGTACGTCCCTTCGGTGAAGTCAAACTAAAATGAGTACCTACATCAACATCAGCGCTGACAATTCAAAGGTGGCACAACTGTGGAGCAGATCACACCTCCTCACCTTCTGCACTAAGTGTTGCCAACTCCGTACCTATAATATAATTACTCCAAAATCTGCGTAACATCCTCATCCCAAAAAGTCGCTACATCTGTTAGTAGTCACTTTGTCGGAATTTTGCCGATAAGGAAACCCAAAAAGTCATGAGACCTCCGGATAAAATCGCAAATGTGGCAACACAGCCATTACCAACCGTATTAGGTGCTCGCTGACAGCGGCTTCCCTGACAAATATGTACGTACTTACATTGAACTTCTTTCGCACCGTACGTAGCCAAACCGTTGTAATTGGAGGTGCGACGTCCTCGAGGCTAAGCTGGGGATCGTTGTCTCCGTGCACCAGGGACCGAGGTGCGGCCGGCGAGCCGGGCGGGCGGGTTGGTGAACGCCGTGCTGGCTTACGGGATGGTGGACGTGGCCCCGGAGGACCTGCCCTTCACCGTGGAGCCCCCCAGTGGCTCCGTGCCCCCCGGTGCCACCCAACAACTTCAGCTGCGGTTCTCGCCGTTGGATGTCGGTGAATTCCGGGCGAGGCTGGTGTGCAGGTGTGAGGCGTAACACCACCAGCAGGAATCACGACGGCATTCATAGATCCCACAAGCAGGGCATTGTACAAAATGTGACATTATACAGCATCCATTGCTGGGGGATCACTCAGATTGTATCATGTCATTGAGACTTAACCTGCTTAGCTACAGCTTGACAATAGATGGCAGTACGGAAAGTGTTTGATAATTATCTATTTCGAGTTTTGAGTGTCATCCCCTCATGTATGTGGGTAGTGTAGGTTTCTCCCACATGCAAAACACCAATGAAAGCATTTGCCACAAAACTCAACTAGAGCCTCTTAAAAAAAGGTCTTGAAAACTGCGAGGGCATTCCTGGCTCCTTCTGGTCAAAACGAGCGCGTATTACTTGACTCTATTCAATGAAAGTTATCCAAGCACTACGGCTGACAGACCGACTCGCAGACTTACAGGCACAGCAATTAAAGTGGCCTCTTCTCTATCGTGACAGCATCCCGAACTTGGGAGGGCAGGCCGCCGAGCCGTCCGTGAGCGTGTCGGGTTGCGGCCTCATGCCGTGGTGTCACTTCGAGGTGGCCGACTCGGACTACCTCTCGGGTGGCCGCCGCAACCCCGAGCTGCCGGGGCGGCTGGGAGCTCCGCCGGGGTCCACGCTGCCGCCCGACACGCGCGTCATCGAGATGCACGCACTGGGCGTGCACACGTGCGTCACGAAGTACGCTCCGCCACCTTCTCCCACTCGCCACTCAAAGCACTGCCAGGCTAAGGGGTGGAAGAGAAAACGCAACTCATTTAATGCAAGAGCTGTAATTATGTACCTCGATTGTGTTTCCTGGGCTGCCCAAAATCGGTTTGAAGCTTCGGTAATGAGAATATAGACTTTAGTGTTTAAGTCAAGTGCATCTTTATAGCACTTTAGTGACATCACTGTGCCATCACTCGTACCTCTGATTAGCACGGTTGGCTATGTATGGTGCAAAGGAAGTTCAACATACATACATTTAATTTAGTGTCAATGCAGTGATGATCATAATTCTAAATTAGTTTTGTCATTAATGGAGCTTCAAACCTGTTTGGAATTGTCTGAAACACACAAGGTTCATATGTAAAATATAGAGTTGGGGTTTTATTTGATCAGGTTCTTCTTTAGTGCATTGCCCTTAGTTAGTGCTATATGAAATAACGACTGCCTTGCTGTAACTCGTTGTTTGTAATGGTCATTCCTGCAGGTCCTTCTACATCCTGAACCCCTCCAGCAGCGCATACTCATTCTCCTGGCAGTGCGAGGATCCACCAGGCACACTCACCCCCTTCACCTGCCGCACCCCTGGGGGCGTCCTGGAGGCTGGGAGGAAATCGCAGGTGATGTCAGCAGCCGGTCTTTGGTGGGAGTCAGTTGTTGGGGTTAAAAACAGACGGCCTGGTTCGCAGGCAGTGCTACGTAAGAGTATGAATCAATCATCTTTATATTTGATACTTTACTCCCTCTGTTTAAGACCGAAACAGGACTTCACAATTATGGCTATCGCCCGATGAAGCTGGTTGTAATCACCAGCAAAACATCGTACTCGAATTGTAAATGTTGTGGGTTTACTCTCCAACACACTGGCGTGTTGAAGTAGTAACTAATTGGCACGTTTTATTTAAATGACAAACCTTACTAATTGGCTGTGTTGCATGGTGGCGGGTTTAACGACACATTTCTATTTACGCAATCTAACCCAAAAAAACCTTCATTATGGATAATATTGGTCGCGAAATCCTACATCTTTATTTTACCTGACAATATCACCCTCAATAAAGTAGGCATCAGTGAACAGTATAAAAGACAATCACAATTGGGACATGAACTGTAGGAAACTATCCTGGCAAAATCTACTACTGGCTTAAAGGCAGGATTTGTGGATCGCACAAAAATGCAGCCTGCGTGACACGCCCACAGGTTCCTGTAGGAAGCAGTATTGTTTGCAAAGCCGATCATGCTAAAAAAAAACTATTGGATACATATGTCAGATCAGAGCCCTCTTACATACGAGTGTTGTAATTCAGTGATGCTTTGATGGATATAATAAAAAGGAGAAATATCTGGGACGTGGTATTAAATGAGTTCAAGTTCATTTCAAGTTCATTTATTAGGTGTAGCCCTGTGAGCCATTCGGCTCTTGAATCGGGTGCAACCGCAACAAACAAAAAACATGAACAAAAAACATCTTAAAGTGAATATGTGACTAAGTGCAAACAGAAAATCCAAGAAAAGACAGCAAAATATTGCAGAAAAAATATGTACGTACTTACATTGAGCCAGTTTCATCAACGGTCTGATGCATCCATATGCATTCCACCCACTTGCCAGGTGGCGTTTGAGTTTGCGCCGACCCAGCTGAACCTGGCCGAGTCGTTTTGGAAATTCGAGGTGGCCGAGCACGGCATGAGCGTCCCCTTCCTGCTGGTGGGGCAGGCGCGGGAGCCGGCCGTCTCGCTCGACCGCTCGCACCTCAACCTCCACTCGCTGCTCGTCGGTAAGGCGCTCCAGCATGAAACGCTGCTCCGCACAACCCATTCAGGCGGTTAAAATGTATCGCATCAGAGCAATTACAGCACCTGCATGGCATTGCTTAATTGAGTGCTTGTTTTTATATATATTGTTGTAATCCCTTGTTAGGTGCTATTTCTTGATGAGAAAGCAGAGCTATCCACCCTTGATGTTGCTTGTCCCCCATGTAGTTTGCTGTGCACTGACTTTGTTAAACAGAATTTTACATACATACTTGCGTGCTATAGCCTACTAGTATAGATACCAGAATCAGCTAAGTTTACATTTGGTATTCACATCATTCTTACATCACACATTTACGCTATTCTTTTCTCTTTTGCGTGCATCATGAGCGCAGGAATCAATTTGAATCCCATTTACGTGTTGCACTGTGATATGTCCAGTGCAGATGTATGACCTGGACGACAGCAGCGGGGGCTTCAGGTCGTAGGGAGTCACGCTTCTGTTTGTTGCCTAACCTTCCCAGGCCGTGCGTCTCATGGGCCTTGACTCTCTTTGCTGCCACCCTGAACGACCAGACAGCACACGCCCAATACACCATCAAATAACACCACCATCGGCACTCGTAACACACAAACACCCGTTACTAGGTTGGTTTGTTGTTCTTCCCACGCACCTCCAATTAGCACCGTTGGCTACGTACGGTGCGAGAGAAGTTCAACTTACATATGTACATATGTAATATGAGGATATATCCGGCTCACTGACGTATCACAACTCGTCATGGTGATTGGCTCTGCCGGTCCTGGTTTACAGCCAATGGGGGGAAGCCTGGGGGCATGGCCCTGACGTGATGGAAAGGCGACAGCTATAAGGATTGGTTCTGCTAGCTTTGGCCTCAGCCAATGGGGAGATGAGTCAGGGGCGTGGTCCCGGGAGCTGACGAGGGAGCCTGGAAGATTCGATGTAGGCTAACGAGGATTGGCGGAAACGTACCACGTGACCCGGGTATTAAATAGGGGTAGAGACGAACGACACGGGGTCAGAACAGGAATGGGCAGAGGAAGAGGGCCACGTGGGAGCGGGGCTCCGAGTTGCCACGTGGCAGGGCGTCTCTCTCTGTCTATCTGTCCCTCTCACGCTGCCTATCAGCAGCGTGAAGTAACTGTAACATAAGTTGAATAAAAGAATGGATTACAGAAGTCGTCTCAACGAGCTTTATTACACATACATGCATACATTGTGCTGCCACTGCAGGCCACGAAGCCGTGGAGGTAGTCGACCTGTGCAACATTGAGCCGGAGGCGTTTTCCTTCTCCTTCCGGGAAGAGTCGTGCCACTCGGAGGGCCGCACCGCCAGCCTCGCCGTGCAGCCCATGGAAGGCACGATCCAAGCAAACAGCAGGTGCTCACTGGTGGTCGAAAGCTCCAAAATCGAGTCAACGAAATTACCAAATTAGAACATTTGTATGTTTATAACCAGGAGACAGCCATGTGTTAATACAGGACCATGTTTTCCACATGGTGTGTAACTTTCTCCATCTGAGTCTCAGTACTGCTGAGACCCGGACTCAAGACTTTCCTCTTCCCTGGCTATGACTGTCTCCATGAAGTGCCTTCCTTATCATCTTTAGTCTCCTTTCTTTTATTCCTTTTCGAAAATAATCGAAATACATATTTTATTTCCCTTGCTCCCAATATTTGCTTGTCTCTCACCCCTTAATTAAATAACATCATGATATATATGAATCCAAATTGTATTGTATTCCACGACATAGTGTTTATTTTTGGTGATCTGGATTTAAACTGCTGCCGTTTCTCTTCAACTTTTTTTGTCATGAATAACACATTGCTGAAGTGCATGTCTGTTTTTCTGCCAGAATTCCAATCCAGGTTTCTTTCAAGCCGTCCCAGGAGGGCCCGGTGAACTTTAACCTGCAGTGTCGTGTGAAGAGGAAGAGCCACTTGCTGACACTGAATGTGAAGGCGGAGGGCTACTCGCTGGGTGCCTCGCTGCGGGCCGAGACGCCCCAGGGGGAGCGCTCCACCCTCTCCGCCACCGCTGTCAATGACCTGGCGCTGGGCCAGGTACAGCTGTCCTGCCCCGATCGGCTATCTCGTAACACGTGCACAAGTGTGGTATGCCACGGTTGTACATGTGCTACGTGTACAGCCCTTTATCAATCCCCTGGTGGCATGAGAGCCGCCCGAGTGATTTGACCTGCATCACCACACTGGTCAGTGCTGGGTGAAGGTGGGTCATCACATAGACTATGCACCACAATGTTCCACAGCCTATAAGACTTGTTATATGCATGGTCACCCATCCAAGCACTATGTTGGCTTGGCGCTGCTCGTCTTAGATCTGATGAGATTGGATGTTCAGGGAGATCTGGTCACGATAACTATTTTACCCGATTTCAAATAAAGGTCATGGATCAATTGTATGTGTGTTGAACTTCTTTTTCGCACCGTACGTAGCCAACCGTGCTAATTGGAGGTGCCGGGAAGGACAACAAACTAAACACAAATAACAATTCTAAATAAATTAGTTTTCAATTTAGAATTACAAGTGCATAGCTGCAATGGCTTCCGAATATCAGAAGCATGAGCATTCCAGATGGCGACAGAAGGAGTATCTGAAAGCGCACAGTACAGTGACCGTCTTTGCTCGATGGCCAGTTTAGTTGATCGAACGGTGCCCGTGTGCAGGTGGACCTCCACTCGAGCACATACCGCCTGCTTGACATCGACAATGAAGGCGCCTTCGACTTCAACTTTGAGTGGGAGCTGCGGACGACGCGCCGCGATCTACGGGCCTGCGTGACCATTTCGCCAAATAGCGGCTCTGTGCAGCGCAGCCAGCGCACCCGCTGCACCCTCACCTTCCAGCCCACGCGGCCTTGCGTCCTGCGGGACGTGCAGCTGCACCTCAAGGTAACGGTCCAGATGGAGGGCCATTGTAACGTAGGGTCGAATACCTGCTTATTTAAATTAGTGCTTAAATAATAGCGCTGAGACCCTTTTGCACATTCAATCTTGTTAGAACATTTTCGTTGTGTGTGGCATGGCCATAATGGCTGAGATTCATTCATGTATCGGATAGGAAGTGGGGAATGTAATTAAACCGGTTTAGTTATGAAAATAAGTAACACGTAGTATGTTTTGAATGACACAGAGGCAAAGTGGATAATTTGGCCACGTGGAATTTATCACACAGATCCAAAATGGGCCGACCTTCGTGTGCACGCTGAACGGCTCCGGTGAGGCCCCCTCCATCTCCGTCAACTTCTCCATGACCACCTTCGACTTTGGGCCGTGCTTCATCCACCAGGCGGGCATGGACCCCCACAGCACGCTCCTGCGCATCTCTAACGGCGAGGACCGCGATATCAGGTGGGCGCCCCTCGGCCAGCCCCACTAAATAGCATCAGAGCCACGTTACCAAGCTGCAGCGTGTACAAAACTCTTTGGCACGTGTCGTCACGGGTGCTGCAAGATCTGACCATGTCCGTCTAGTGCTCGTCTAGCTGCATTGGCTTCTGGTTGCTGAACGAATACATGATTAGGTCGCACTCATTACACATAAAGCGCTTGACACAAATGAACTACAATACCTTGCTGATCTCATCAAGCAGCATAAATCATCACACAAAGTCTGGTCATCCTCGTAGTGGCTTTTGGCAAGCTATTAAACAAAGATGGTCGCTGCATCGCGCGCTTTCAGATGTGCTTCTGTGCAGCCATCTGCAATGCTCTTCTAATATTACGAAGCCATGCTCTCTGGTTCTTTCGGGAAAGTCACGTAGATAGAAAAAAAAATAACACGACGTTTCGGTCGCAACACAAGCGTCCGTCATCAGGTAAGAAAGAATGATCTGCTGTTATGGCTTTATATAGGCACGGGAGGTGGGGGGAGGTTTGTAGAGTGTGTGTACTACTCTGAGCCTTTGTGTTAATAACTAGGTTACTTCAGCATAATTATCATATTGTGTATGATAGCAACCCATTATACTGGTTATCGTGTATAAATCGGCTTGAGTGCCTGAATCGGTGCGTGTGTGCATGGCAGTCTGGAATGCTTGTTTAAGGATGCCCAACACCTGAAGGTGGATTTCAAGCCCACTGTGCTGGTTGCCCGCGGCGATGCCATCGATGTGCCCATCACATTCCATCCACGCCGTGCCATGCGCTATCGTGACGACATCATCTTCGTCGTGAACGGCGTCTCGCGGCACACGCTAGAAGTCCGTGGAGAGGGCACTGAAATGAAGGTTTGATCCGTGAATGGAAGACATCGTGGGCAAGGAAGGCTTAGTTTAGATAGAGGTTAAATTTCGATTTAAAGCTTTCGTGACTGCAGGGATTCATCTTCTTGGTTCTTTCGGTAAAGTCACGTAGAATGGAAATAATAAAATAAATAAAATAAAACATAAAATAATTCTCACGACGTTTCGGCCACAACTTGTTTTATTTTTATTATTTTATTATTTCCATTCTACGTGACTTTACCGAAAGAACCAAGAAGATTAGATAGAGGTGTTTTGAGATCAGAGTTCTTCAACTGCAATATATTTTCCAAAGGGCCGTGTAATAAGATTTACATTTGCTGATGCGCTACATGCCGTCATATAAATGTTACAACGGCATTTGGTGTCAATGTTACACCCCCTACATGCTACACACTCGTAAACTCAGGCTAAGGGGTGGGGCTACCTGAGTAGTGAGTGGGGTGAGAATAGGAGTGGCTGGACATATGAGCACTAGGCAGGGCCAACATCATAAATAACGAGGCCACTCACTGTGCTGGTGTTGCTAGTGGTTGTGTGGGAGTGGAAATGTAAAAGTGAGTGGGATTGACAAAGGGGGAGTGGCTGCCAGACCACAATGTTTACCGGTTGAGCCTCCTGGAAATTTGGTGGCGTTATTACTGACAAACTCACGTGTGTTGGTGCAAACTGCGTGTGTGTGTGTTGACCTTTGTTTTTAAAGATTGAAGTGGCTAATCCCAAGTGGAAGGTTGTGAACCTGGGAGCCCTGCGCGTGGGACAGACCATCAAGAAGACTGTGCCATTGGTCAACAACAGCAGGGCCCCACTCACTTTCTGCCTGGCTCTGCAGAGCAGCCAGCCTGCACTGCAGGACCCCAAGGTAAGATCACAATCAAACCACAGCGAGTTCAAAAGCACAATTGGACGTGCAAAGTTTCGCCCACTTTATGATTCGATAGAGTGACACAATTTTGACTCAAAGATTGATTTTACATTGTTGTGAATCTTGACTTAAAGTTTTCGTGACTGCAGGAATCCATACTCTTTGGGTCTTTCGGTAAAGTCACGTAGATAGAAAAATAAAAATCCCGACGTTTTGATCGCAACACTAGCAATCGTCTTCAGGTGAAAAAATACAGCAGGCGGACTGGTGAGGCAGGAAGAAATATAGGCTGCCTCAGCAGTCCGCCTGCTGTATTTTTTCACCTGAAGACGATTGCTTGTGCTGCGATCGAAACATCGTGATTTTTTTATTATTTTTCTATCTACGTGACTTTACCGAAAGACCCAAAGAGTATTGTAGTGAATGTCGTGCCTCTAGTGGCTGCAGGGATCGCATGAACCAATTACATACAACATACATCACAAACAGTTTGACATTACGTGCCTGCTAATAACCCTCCAAGAGGCCATAACTCCCACCGGTTTCCCGGTGCTTTCTATCACGTTTGCTGCCCCCCTGCGTCGAAAAAGTGGTCTCATCGGTCACGTTCAGCCCCGTGGAAAAGCAACACGGCCGATCACCGGGGCAGGACGTTGCCGACGCATCACAACGTGTGCTCGCTCCCCCCCCCCCCCCCCAGGTGCTGATCCTGTCTCCGTCGGGTGAGGTGACGCTACGCCCGCGCGACGGCACATGTGCCGTGGAAGTGTCATTCAGCCCGTGCGCGAGGGTACCCGCCTTTACGGCAGAGGTGTGCGTCGAGAGCGCCGGCGTGCGCCGGCCCGTCTTCCTGCTCAAGGGCTGCTGCCAGGGGCTGGAGATGGTGCTGGACCAGGAGCAGCTGCCCTTTGGCGCCGTGGTGCTGCGCAGCCAGGCCACGCGCCGGCTGCTCCTGCACAACATGGGCGACGTCGGTGCCAGGTCGGTGACAGCGGCGGCGGCGGCGGCCACGTCATTTCCCCGCTCGCTCTCTTTCTGTCTCTCGTTGCTGCTCCCACGTTTGCGCGATTCGTGCGGTTGATCGTCACAAGAGCGAGTGGGAATGACATTATTCCGTGAGTGGGAGACTGTAACCACACTTCCCGATTGGCGCGGTTGGCTATGTACGGTGTAAAAGAAGTTCAACATACATATGTAAGATGAGACTTTTAGGCGGCAGGTGTCGACTGTGTTCTGGCTGTGGGATTTGGTGGAAGGAAGGAAATGGTAGCAGGTTATGATAGCATCATCAGTGCTGGCCACGATGACGATATTTACTTTGGGTGGCTACCCAAAGGAGTTTGCTGTCCATGGGGGAGCACACAAGGGGTACTGTTGTTCATTTGAGGGACACATGTCCCTCTACAGGCTTCCGTAAAACAAATACCATTGGTTATGTCCTCAAATCCAGAATATCAGAGTTATCAGTTTAGTACTCTGAAGCATTAATTGACTTCCCACTCGAGTTAATTTTCTGTGCAACACCAATTCCACCCCCACCTCGTTAGACACTTTAGAATATTTCACGACCATTGTAACGAAAACAAAATAATCAAATTGAGCCATATCAGAACTGGCCATCATGCCCTTGGTCGTACGTTTTTTTGTTTCACGTGTTACTTGTTCATTCATTTATCTGCATGTTTCTAACCCGCAGCTTCAGCTGGGACGTGAAGCACCTGGCGCCCGACTTCAGCGTGAGCCCCGCACGGGGCTACGCGGCGGCCGGCATGGACGTGCCACTGGACGTCACATTCCACCCCCACGCCCTCGGCTCTGACATCCGCTACGAGGGTGTCAAGTGCAGCGTGGAGGGCAGCCAGCCACTACTGCTGACGCTCACGGGCTCCTGCATCGACCAGCCGCCCTCGCGCGAGGTCACACCCCGAACTGGCAATGCCAGAGCAGTGCCCACCCACGCCTCGCTGATGTGACGTGACGTGACCAGACTTTTCTTTTGTTAAACCAACGGTGCAAAAAAAATACACTCCCAGAAGGTCATGTGGCGAACGGGATGTGTAAACATTTTATTTAGTTTTTGGTGGAGAGGCATATATGGAAAGGAGGCATTATGTCCACTTATTTATTTTGTTGCCTTGTGCTTGCAGGTTACGTTTGTTGCTGGAAGTAACCCGATAGTGAATGATTCTGCCTTTATGCTCAGCCAGGTTTTAATGCGTTTCCTAAATCCTGTGCCAGAGTGCATTCAAACGTTTTTGCATAATTAGAAACAGACGTCTATATCTTGACACTTTTGAATAATCATGTGCCTGGTGACCCTAAAACACCCAATGACATTTTACCAGCATTGGTAAAAGCTCAGCCCAAAAATGATTTGCCTTGACCTTTTCAGATGAGACTGTTCCACGATCAGGACAATAAGAATTCATTACAGCAAACGTATTCATGTTCGTTTGGCCAGCTAAGCAAGATTTAGCATTTGTGATGAAGAGAATCAGTTCAGATGCAAACAAAGAATCGTGTATTTCCATATTAGATCAAGCGTTGGACACATTCTCCGTGCGTCTCATTATTTATGTTGTCATCCTGTGCAGGTGTTGAACTTCAGATGCCCGGTGCGGAGCAGGCAGACGCAGACGATCTCGCTGGCGAACCGCACCAACCAGCGCTGGGTGCTGCGGCCCGTGCTGAAGGGAGAACACTGGACGGGGGCCGACTCTGTCACTGTGGAGGCCCAGCAGCAAGGGAGGCCCTACGAGGTCACCTACGAGCCGCTCACCATGACCAGCATTCGGCAGGAGCACCAGGCACGGGCTCACGCACGCACGCGTGCACACACGCACGCACACGGCAGAAGACAGAGATCCCCCGTGTAAGGCTTTGACAGACTGTTAGGACAAGTACTATTTGTAAGCACCTATAAAGGCCCAGGCACACCAAGGGGGTGAGGAGGTCACATAGCAATGCCCGGCCACCTTTGTTTCCCCAGTGCTGATGATTGGACATTGCTTTCGATATTTATGGCCAAGTCGACGAAGGGAAGGCACAGAACCAGTTTTAATGTGAGCCATGGCTGGGAATTGGAACCAGAAGACTAGGTTCCTTTCATTGTGCACTAATCACTACACCGACATAGAGTGCTGCATGTGGACACAACAACATACACACGCAACCATGCAAACAATTCAGAGAACCACTCGCAAATATGTATACACACCAACACATATATAATAACGCACACACCTACGCTCACACCTATGCACACAAAAAGTCACGCGCAGAATTACACACAACCAGGCAGGCATTAACATGCCTGTAGAGCCTTCGCAGGGAATGATTGTTCCATATGCTGTAGAGTTGCATTGTAAAAGAGAAAGTTAAAACCAATATGTGGCAAGATACACAGACATGGTTGTAATTGGAAAACGACTTTTACCTAGATGCACTCTGCACATGTTAATATGCTACACTCAAATGAACTCTGCGTACACAGACTGGGTATTGGCAGTTGTATATCTTGGTGTCATACGAATCCCTGAGCAAACCTTCCCAAACACAAGACAAAGATTCCCCCTAGAGCCTTAACAGACTGTTGTGGCAAGTGCTGTTCGCGAGCACCTATGAAGCTCACAACAGCATACGAGGGGGTGTGTGGCCAGCGCCACGCCCGGTCGCCTTTGCCTTCCCAATGTTGATGTTTACACACCACACCAGGCACTAATTTGAGGCTGAGTCGACCTAGGGGAATCCCAGGACCGATTTAAGTAATCTTCACCGATGTAGGCCGTGAGCGGGAATCAAAGTCTGGTCGCCAGGTTCATAGCGCAGCGCGCTAACCACTACACTACCGCTCCCACACTCCCACACACACAGACGCATCCACTCATTCACACGTCCCACACTCCCACACACATAGACGCATCCACTCATTCACACGTGCACGCTCTCCATCGTGTTTTGGCACACGCAGGGCTCCATCTTCTTCCCGCTGCCAGACGGGCTTGGACTGCTCTACCCGCTCCAGGGCGTTGCTGAATCACCACGGCCAACCGACACCATCACACGCGACGTTCCGTGCAAGACGACCTACACCGAGCTGCTGCCTGTCGCCAACTGGCTGCGCAAGCCACAGAGGCACGGCGCTCGCACAACCGCAGAGCACACTCGGGTTCCTGAAGGGTTGAATTAGTGTAATTGTGAATCGTAATCAGAATCTTTATTGAGACTGGAGGAATTCTCATGAGCTATGCAGCTTTTTGTTTTTTACAGATGTCCAGTAGGGGCGAGTCAGAAAGTTACAACAATAATATAAAAACTGATAGGAGTGCAAAGTATAGGAAGGTAAGTCACGAAAATGACAACATGAAAATAAAAAAAGGATAGAAGTAAATCAATTCCTGCCCATTTTGCAACGATAAATTCAAGCTTGGGCAAGGCATGAAAACAACAGCAACAGTCCCAGACCACAGCAAGACAACACACAATCCCTCAATAAAACTGCATTTGAAATTTACTAAGTGCACTGAATCAGGCATGACCTATTTAACATGCCTTAACATTTAAACATGTCTATGTACATACTCGATTAAATGCCATAATTTGAGTATATGTTTGGGCCTATGAAACGGCCAGTCGGTTACAGAATTGTGAATATTAACCCCCAAACAACCATGCGTTGCCGTAGGTTCCGCATGACGCTGGAGATGGTGCGCCCCGAGAGGCTGGATCCTTCTACAACCCTGAAGGGGCTGGACTACATCGACGTGCCAGGCTCAGCCACGCGTGACTACAAGCTGACCTTCCACTCGCACAAGGAGGGCCACTTCACTGCCAAGGTCCGCCTCTCTCCGCACCCACCACCAAGTCTTGTGTCATCCCATCTCCACCGCATCGTAACCACTGCCCGCAGTGGTTCATGTTTTTGTTTTCCTATTTTTCATGGTAGTGTTTGAGCTGGTTATATTTGCGTCTTTGGCACACAACCACGCCATTTATTTTGAAGTTGTTAATAGATCAGGTTAAACATGAAAGGTACAGGACAGGGATGAAGATTTGTTGAATGAGACACTGGAACATGTTCTGTGATGTCTTGGCTCAAGACTCTTCCCTGCCAAATTATGAACAGACAAGGTCTGTTTCACCTCCTAAAAATATATTCTGAAACTATAATAACATTTTAGTCCGTCAGTTCTGTAAGCATTCTGGACCAATGTTTTATCGCAGCATTCATTTAAGCAGTGAAACTCTGAACTGGCTTTGACTTTGAGTCTCATCAGCAGAGGCTGGCCTGGAAAAATAATGCATTCCCTGTTCTTTGCTCTGAGTACGGAGTATCTAGCATTAGGTGCATTTGCAGTGGCATCTGCACTTAACACAAAAGGGTTCAGGGGAAACCGGCACCCCAACATATCTTGTAATCATCGACTCTCAAGGGTGCTGGATGTAGCTGGTGCCTGAACGTTTACCGGACTCTCTCTCCGGGCGACAGGTGACCTTCTGTAACGAGGCGACGCAGGAGTTCCTCTTCTACGTGGTGACAATGCGAGCGACGCCCGGGGGGTCGCTGGGCACGGTGGAGCTGTGCACGCCGGTGCGTCGCAGCACGGAGGGGCGCGTGCGCGTGGAGAACCCCCTGCCCACGCCCGTCTCCTTCTCCATCGAGTGCCGCGTGCCAGACATCAGCCTGCCGCCGCAGATTTCCGTGCCGCCCAACGCGAAGAAGGTGGGAGCCTGCTCGGTCGTCAAACGATCAGCCTCGGTGTTCCTGCTCCTGATTGCGGTGATCGAGTGTCATCGCACGGAATGGGCATGAGGTCCACCAGTTTAGTGACTTGGTGACTTCACGAGTGACTTGGTCCCTTTGCATGAGATGGACGTCGAATAAAACAAAATCTGCTGGATGCAAACAAAGAAGGGGGAGCGAGCAAGTGCTAGAAAATGTTCAGATCAGGAGAAATCTAATTGGGACATTTTAGAAGAGGCTAAATATCGAGATTGGGCATATTGTCAAGCGATAGAAGTAACCATGAAACCTGCCCTTAGTCATACAACTCAAAGATGAGAGAATATCCATATCTTGTGCTTCTATATGATTCATGGATTGTGTATACGGTTTAGCAAGAGGATAGTAAGCTTCACTTTAGCTTAAGGGTTTTCCATTTGAAATCCATTGTCATCTTTTTGTTGGAGTAACACTTAATCGGGCCTACAGTATTAAATGTTTATGAAGGCTCCTGACCACGTTATACCATCTGAGCTGTGCATCAGAGCCAAAAGCAAATCAGAAGCGATTTAGAAACCCTTCTTTTACTCGCAATGTGCTTGCCCGGCGGCGGTTAAACGTCCATTTAGCGGCACGTTTTGCCGTGTAACCCACGTTGCGCGCACGGCACAATCCCCGACACCTCCGCCCCTGTGTCGTCGGACAGGACGAGGGCTGGCTCACGCTGGAGTACCTCCCGCTGCGCGTGGGCGAGTCGAGCGGACGGCTCGTGCTGCAGAGCGCCGAGCTGGGTGCCTTCACGTGGGACCTGCAGCTGCGCTCTTTGCCCGCCGCTCACGAGAAGCCGCTGCACTTCCGGGCTTCGCTCGGCGCCAGCCACACGCAGGCGGCGCGCTTCGTCAACTACTCGCGACAGAAAAGCGAATACGCCTGCAAGGTAGGAGCGGGACTCCCGCCCGCCGCCAGACAATAAACCTGCTCGCCAAATAGCAGGGTTGACGTGGGGCTTTGGGGGTTTCCCGTCCCCCCCGCGGAAGGAGGGCTTTTATGAAGTAAGGGGTTGGGTGACCGTGGGGTTTGCTAGTTGGAGAGGACTCGCTTACCTTGCACCTCTGATTAGCACGGTTGGCTACGCACGGTGCAAAAGAAGTTCAACATGCATACCTTGCCATCTCCTGCCTTTAAACGGAGGAGTGCAATTGATCAGATGCGGTTGCCATGTAATTATGCATTGTTTCATCGATTAAGATTGATTACTATGCTCGTGATTGATACATGCATCGAATTGTGCAAGCATGAATTGAATTGATAATTTACATATTATATGCAAAGCATATGCTTATGCTATATTTAGGCGAATTGGAGCGAACACATTGAAACAGAAATAACGAGACCAAAAAATGTTACGTTCTTGAATCAAATGCCAACTCCAAATAGAATGTCACCAAATCATTGCGGGAACGATGTATTGCTTGCCAAATATATGGGTACTTGCTGAAAGACAGCTTTGTTGTTTTGAATGTACACCAAGTCTAAAGCGATGGGTAATGTAAGATGCATATGATGGTAATGTCCTCTTCCTTGGTTCTTTCGGTAAAGTCACGTAGAAGGGAAATAATAAAATAATAAAAATAAAACATGTTTTATTTTTATTATTTCCCTTCTACAAAAAAACCAAGAATATGAATCCCTGCAGTCACGAAAGCTTTAAATCAAAAGGTAATGTCCTTGTTTAGTGTATACATTAATTAACCATCTTGATCTGAAGCTTTCGTGACTACAGGTGGGACGATCGCTTGTGTGGCAATCGAAACGTGGTGATGTATTATTATTTTTCTACGTGACGTTACCGAAAGAACCAAAGAGTATGAATTAACCACTTGCTTCTTATGTCACTGCCGATGTCCATAAGATTTAAGCAGTGGAAAGAAAAGTCTCGTGCTTTGTCTGGGCTCGGGAGCAGATCAACAGCGGGGAGTTCCACGTGGAAAAGACGGTGACAGCTGCTCCAGGGGCAGCTGGAGGCACAGAGGTCAGCGTGGACGTGCTGTACGAACCCAGCCACCTGGGCGACACGCGGGCACTGCTCACGCTGTCCTCGCCACAGGTGAGCCGAGCACCACCGAGGCACAGTAAGCAAAGCCGCAACACAACACGCCAGTCCCAACACAACACCCCAGGTCACCACATTCTGTCTGGAAAGGTAATGGGTACATGTACAGCCCTTTTGTCACTCCACTGCTCGATAAGGGGTTAGTTGACCCTACTTCATGATCAGTGTATGTTTTTGAAGGCAGGGAGCATAGATGTGGGAGCTTATTGTCCTTCCCGCGCACCTCCGATTAGCACGGTTGGCTACGTACGGTGCAAAAGAAGTTCAACATCCGTACATACAATGGATTTTGCTGCACTGCCCTCTGCTGCCCACCACGTAGCCCCGTAGCAACCTATGATGCATGGTCACCCACCCGAGCATTATCTCATCTCAAACTTGATTAGCTTCCGAGATCTGACGTGAATCTGTCGCATTCCGGCGTGACGTGGCCGTGGGCAGCGCGGCGCTAGTGCGGCAATGTCTCGTGCGGAGCCCGCGGCGCCGATAACAACCCATCGGACCGTGTGCACGCGCAGGGCGGGGAGTACACGATCCCGCTGGTGGGCGTCTGCTCGGCGCCGCGGCCCCAGGGCCCCTTCACGGTGCGCGCGGGCTTCACCGTCTCCGTCCCCTTCAAGAACGTGTTCGCGCAGACCGCCTCCTTCGTGGCCGCCGTCGACAGCTCCGCGTTCAGCGTGCGCGCGGCCGGCGAGGCGGTGCGGCCCAAGCGCACCATCACCATCGTCGTGGGGTTCGAGGGAGCCCCCGGGGCGGCCCCCGTCACGGCGCGCCTCACCGTCTCTTGCCCCCAGCAGCCCGCCTCTTCCTGGATCTTCTACCTGCGCGGAGTCTCCGCCGAGAAGTGACCGACGCGTGCCTGCCGGGCTGCCCGACCGCTGGGCGGCGTTCGTTCAGGGTCGTGGTCGTGGTCATTTGGGAAGTCACGAAGCTGCTTTGTTGTCTTTTTTGTTGTCCTGCGGTGATTTTGCGAGTTGGAATCGTTTTGTGATACGTGTGGAAAAAAAGTATGCAGCCATCGTGTAATGGTTAGCACACTCCAGTTGCAATCCAGAGGTCACCAGTTTGATCCGATGTCTCGGGCGTGGCAGTTGAACCAATGGGCAAGTTTCTGAACCCTGATGCAGTCAATCGATGCATTGTTACATACCTAATAATTATTATTGTTTATTAAGGGCAAGCATGAGTCTTGAGATGCTTTCAATGAGGTGTGATGTTTGGCCAATTAATTGAATATCTTGCATTGGCGGTGTTGAATCGACCTCACACACCTCTTGCAAAGCTTTATGAAGAAAAAACCTACGTTTCCAGGTTGAGCGAGGCTGCTCACATCACCTCTTCCTCGTTTGTCACGTGACGTTACAGCCCATGGTGCTGCTGCTACCGATCGGTCTCCACCATACACAAAAAAAAACGTGAAAATTGCACTGTAAACATTTTAAATGTTGTTGTAAAGTGTGTATTTTAGATTGTCAAATTTATTTTGCACAAATTATTTTACTTTAATCGATATTTTATGTTAACATGAGATTGAAGTTATTGAATGTTTTTAATATGTGTGATATTTTATTTAAAACCAACACATTAAAATTGCAGTCAAGCAGCTGACAGCTTCCTTATTCTCCGCACTGAATCTGAATACTCGCTGTTGTTACAATGTCTACCACTTGCTCACCGTAACTTCATCACTTTGGAATACTTAGCCAGTACATACTGCTTCAGAGGCTTTCCATTCACACAATAATTACGACGTTTGTGATGATGTAGTCAGCAGGTTGAGATGTCATGGAGAAGTAACAATCCTTGCAAACGTGGATTTGTTCAAGTCTGTGCTCCAGCACACATTAAGTACAGTACTACTAGCAATATTTAACCATCATAAGCCTGTGGGGGAAACTCCATGTTATTATGACAGGGACCAGATCTTCCAACACCTGGTCCTCGTTTTACCAATCTCGGACATCCAGAGAAACAGAACCATGATGTGCCTGAGTTGACCTTCATGATTTGAAATTACTATCGAACAGGGAGGGGCTTGATAATAAACGTCCACATGTGCATATGAAGGTTTGCGAGTGAGCCAGTGGATGACTTCAGAAGTAGTCTGGAGAATATCTCAAATACTGCCAGTGAATGACTGAAGTGGGCAGTGGTTTTAGGCTCTACGAGTGAACAAGTACATTCATCCAAGTTTATAACCCGTCTTCTAGCAGAACAAGAGTGATGGTGTCCGTGGCCTCTTGCCTACATGTACTCATCCATCTGTTGAGTTTTACAAGCAGATGGTGTGTTGGCGTGGACACAAACTAAACTCGAGTTATCCAAACGTTTATGCTCCTAACGCAGCCAAGAGGACAATAAACAGATCTACGCTCTGTGTCTTTGTATATTAGACGAGCCGACTGTACTGCCCTTTCCAAACCAATATGAATGCAGCAGCATTTGTCTCAGCAAGTAAACTTACTGGACCATCTGGGTCTCATCGGCATTCAGATATGTTAAGGGTCTGTCCATAAATGACGTCACGCACCTAGGGGTGGGGGTCAGACATTTGTGACGATGTGTGACGAGGAGGGGGGGTTTGAGAAATGTGACGTCACATCAAAATGCGCAACTTTAAATAAATATAGACAACACGTTCTACTTAATTAAATAGACGTTTTAATAAATGTTTTCTCCTACAACATCAGAGTGCAGCGCCACATTAAAACGCACTACCATGAACATTTGAAGCACGTGTTATTTGGGGGGGGCAGAGCTTTGTGACGTCATATTTGAGGGGGGGTCTGACTCTGTGACGCCGTGTGACGAGGGGGGGGGGGTTAAAAATCGTCCAAAATCGCGTGACGTCATTTATGGACGGCCCTTAAACGTGTGCCACGCGATTACCAGGTGTGACTTCGACCAGCCCTAAAAGTACCGCGTGTATAAAATATGGGACCCCCCCCCCCAGTGCCGGATTAAGCTAGTGAGGGGCCTGTAGCATATGTTATAATAAAAAAAAGTTAAACTAAATTTTAACTTGCATAGTAAAGTAATTGTAATTTTTCATTTGCTATAAGCCAGATAATACAAGAAATCGATAACCTTAAACACCCAGTCGTTCATAAAAGTTTAAGGCGGTATAGTACTATAGTAATAGAGCAAGTGCAGAATCACTGAATCGGTATTCATAGCTTGAAAGCGTTTAGCGTGGGTCCCTTAGCATATGTAGCTACTTTTGCTACTAGAATAATCCGGCACTGAAACCCCCCGTTAAACGGAGAGAGAGAGAGAGAGGAGGAGGAAACAAGCTTTGCCCCCCTAAACGCAGCCGCCCCGAATGCGAGAAACCCCAAACCCCGCCTCGCCTGCGCCTCCTCGTCCTGCCCCAACCCCCTCGCCCCCGCCGCAGCCCGAGACCCCGAGACGCGTTCACTCGGCAGGGGATCCGAGGGAGCAAGACACCCACACACACTCTCCCACCACACACCCCACACACACTACCACACCGCCTCATTCTCCCACGAGCCGAGGGGTGAGAGAGGCAGCAGGAGTCTTGTAGCCGGGGGGTGCTGCGGTGGCGGTGCCGGGGATCCAGGTTGTGAAATCCGGAGCGAGAAAGAATCCCGATCGGGACACACAGGAAACTGTTGCGTCGCTCCCAGACCACCACCAACCACCACCCCCCCCACCGAACAAGTGAGTACGAGACAAAAGAATGCGCGAAGGAAGAGAGAGAGAGTTTTGCCCTTAGAAGATGGAGGGAGACTTTTTTGCTGGATGGTCAACGCGTTAATGCGCAGCAGTCGATGGCGGCTAATGTTGCGTTGCGAGTTCATCTCTTTGCGGCGCTGTCGTTGCTGTTGTTGAAGCCATAGGACGCTCAAACAAATACACAGGTTACACAACTGCCCGGTGATGTATCTTGCCCGAGTTGAAAAGCAACTTTTTGTTCTAAACGTAAACGCTCGCCGCGGCCAGGAAGCGATTAGCTGAACGTTGGGTTGGTTTTGATTCTGCGCTGCGCGAATTCTTCTCGGAATACAAAACAAGTGGCGCTTGCTTACCTGTTCACACACCTCGCCATGCTCTTCCTGCTAGGTGACAAGGCCCGTGGTTCGTCTTCAATAAGAGCCGCTTGTGCCCTCTGACCCAACAACAACAGCTCCATCATCGTCGGTGGGTTTGTTAGTTTTAGATGTTTTTTTTGTCGTGATAAAAACTTTTCATTTCAAGTTAAACGTTCAAAGGTGCTCGCGAGCTCGGCTGGTGATGGCACTGATCACGGGGGCGAGGTTAAATGGCTTTTACATGCGGCTGGCATTCTTTTAAATAGCCACACACGTGCATCCAAACACGTGCGCGTGATGGATGTAGGTGCCAGGTGATGAGGTCGCGTTGACACGATGTTGGTTGTGGACCTTTTACGCGTGAACGTAAAGGTTCAGTGATATCTAAACGGGTTAAACACGTGGGCTTTCGCGACCGATATAAGGTTTTTTTGTGTGTGTAAGATCGCGTAAAAATAAATGTGTCGTTGAAGCCGCCGCCACCCAACACGGCCAATTAGTTGAGGTTTATTTAACACGTAGCAGGCTTTCGAGACCAATATTCATAATAAAGGTTTTTGGGTCAGATCGCGTTATTTATAAATGTGCCGTAACCCTCCACCACCCGACACGGCCAAACAGTAAAAAATATGTCACATTTTTCAAAGGACAAAATAATTCATTTCTTTAGCCCACCGGTGTGTTGAAGAGAGAATCAACAGCATTTTAAAATGCCAATCTTGCCCGATGAAGCTGATTGTAATTATCAGCGAAACGTCAGGACTACTCAAATATTAAAATGCTGTTGATTCTCTCTTCAACACACCGGTGGGCTAAAGAAGTGAATTATTTTGTCCTTTGAAAAACGTGTCTGGTGGTGGAGGGTTACGACACATTTATAAATAACGCGATCTGACCCAAAAAATACCTTTATTATGACTAGTTGAGGTTTGTCGCGTAAACAGAAATGTTTGTGGATTCGCTCTCCAATTGCTGTACTAGTCACGAATTGACACGTGTTTTGTTTACGTGGCGAACCTTTGCTGTGTCGGGTGGTGGCGGGTTCAACGACACATTTATATTCACACGACCTTACACAAAAACACCGATATTATGGATCGGTATCTGGGACTCCCCCCCAACTTCGCCGATTCGCACTGATCGATGCCTCCATCCAGAAGTGGGTTGACAAGGAATGTGGTTCATGTGCAAATGAACGGGCTCTGATGATGGACATGGAAACGAGTATTGTAAGTCTGCCCGCAACAAGTTACAGCGAGTTGATGGGATCTGCCGCACATTGTTGCGATGTGTGTAGATGTGTATTGATTACGAGTGTGTGTCTATGAATAAACATCACCACTGGGGAGACAAAGGCGGCCCAGGGTAGCGGTTCTCGAACACACAAAACCACCAACCCTCATGCCCTGCCGGCCTTCAGAGGTGCTCGCTAACAGGGGGCAAAGACAAAGATCTCCTGTGTAGCCTTGACAGACTGTTGGGGCAAGTGCTGTTATCGAGCGCCTTTGTCTCGCGAGTGGCGATGTTTGCTACACCGCACCAGGTACTCATTTGAGGCTGAGTCGACCTAGGGAATGAGGCACATGACCGGTTTCAAACAATCGTCGCTGGGTGTTGACCACGAGCGGGAATCGAACTCGGTTGGCCGGGTTCGTAGCGCAGCGCGCTGGACCGCTACACCACCGCTCCCCACAGGACACGCACGTGTCCACGTGTGTCATACGCGTTGTTTAAACGCACGTGCGTTTTGTATTGGCGGGTAGACTAATATAAAAAATCACGTCTGATTTGGAGACACGTAGGGTGCGTTTGTGATCGATGGTCAGAAAAGCAGTGAGTTCCTGCTCGGATGACCGTTGAGGCACGTAATTCATCTCTTGTTTGCAGCCCTGAGCAAGTGACGGAACATTCCACATTCCTATGGCAGAGCTGAGTCTTTCCAAAGGACAACCACGTGTTCGCTTCCCTACCAAAGTGGTACGCACTTTATCTGTGCCGAGGGATGATGGGCGAGTTAACCCCCAACCAGGACATGAACTCGCAACTTTCAGATTGCGAGCCGCTGGCTGGCCTGTGTCAACGTCCCCAATGGAGACCTCTCTCTCTGTTCTTTCCCCATGTGACGAGCAGCAATCAGCATGAGACTGCCCATTCCGGCGGTGGCGCTGAGCCTCCTGGCCTGCTCCCTGCTGCTGCTACTGCTGCCCTCCCCAGCCAGGGCCTGCAACAAGGTGCTGTGCGCCAGCGACGTGAGCAAGTGCCTCCTGCAGGTGAGACGGGGACACGAGCCGTAAACCCCCAGAGATCAAGAGGAGGTTGTGGGTCCCCACAGAGTACGGTGAGACGTGAGCCCTGGCGAGCAGCAGGGGTGAGTGTGTGTCGTAGGGTTTGCCACCTGTCCAGGTGTAACCCGGGCACTTTGGGAATTGGCATCTGTGATTGTATGTTGAACGTCTTTCGCCGACCGTGCTAATCGGAGGTGCGGGGTGGAAGGACGACAGACTAAACACAAAAGCAGTTAGGGTGGGCAGGCATTGATTTGTATTTTATTATGGTATACTGCAGTGTTATTAGGCCCAGACTGAATGAGGTACATGTCTGGGTTGGATCGAGAGTGGTAAAGGTGGCAACCCGAGGTAAGCGAGCGCGAGGGGTCGTGGGGGAGGGAGAGTCAAGCGGAGATGTGACCACCAGAAACGAAATTTGGCTCGCGCGACCGAATACTGTCGGTAGCCCTAAGGGGCCGTCCATAAATGACGTCACGCGATTTTGGATGATTTTGGACGATTTTTGACCCCCCCCCCCTCGTCACACAGTCACAAATGTCTAACCCCCCCCCCCTAGGTGCGTGACGTCATTTATGGACGGCCCCTAACCAGCCGACCAACAGCCACCAAAAACACCGTGGTGCCGAAATGTTGATGAAGAGGTGAACGAGATTTTATTGAAAGTTCCAAAACGGCATTGCCAACTCGAGAAGCGTTGTAGCTGAAGCGGCGCGACACTAGGGGGCCTCGCTTGACACGCAATGGCGAGGAGCGTGACAGTCAAAGATTTCACAAGTGTGGGAGGTCACGTGGAGCGAATGTGAAAAGGTGACGGAGAGTGTGACAGGTTGCGGAGGGTGAGGGCAAGAAGAGTGTGAGAGGGGAGTGAGTGTGTCGAAGGTCAAGGAGTGCGAGTTTGAAAGGTCATGGAGAGTGGGTGTGAAAGGTCACCGTTAGTGTGAGGTCAAGGAGAATGGATGTGAGGTTATCGGAGGTGAGTGTGAGAGGTCATGGAGAGTTCAGAGAGAAAGGGTATCTGGTGGTCACGGAGCAGGGGAAGGGTTCACAGTCACAGGGGTTACGCAACTGTGAGCGTGCGTGTGTTCGCGTCTGCCTGCACGCGCGTTCAGGAGCTGTGCCAGTGCAAGCCAGCGCTGGGAAACTGCTCGTGCTGCCGCGAGTGCATGCTGTGTCTGTCCACCATGTGGGACGACTGCTGCGACTGCGTGGGTAAGGACATGGGGTGGGGGGGCATGGAGGGGCCAGAGGAACCCCCGTCCGGCACGATGACCAGTGGCGTAGCTATCGAGCGTGCAGACGGTGCTGTTGCACCAAGGGCCTACGGGCTGAAGGGGACCAGGCGTCGGGACGTGGCGGGGGGTGGTTGTCCATATCATTCCTTTGCACCAGGGTCCATGCCAAGCATGCAACGCCACCAGTGACGACCCGTCCTGAACATCCGATACGCCTGGAGGTGGGGTTGGTGAATGGCACAGAGATTTGAAGCGTGACTCCACCTGAAATGCGTCGAAGGTGCCTATAGGAGGCGGCACAGTCAGACGATGACATTAGCAGAGTGGAGGAAACATTTTAAATTTCGCTTTAAAGCTTTCGTGACTGCAGGGATTCATATTCTTGGTTATTTCGATAAAGTCACGTAGAACCAAGAATATGGAGGAAAGATGTTAATAATCCGATTGACAAGGAGTAGAAGAAGAGTGAGAAAAGATGAGAAAAGTCTGGTGATGGTATGACGAGAAGTGTGCTGTGAGCGCACGAGTTGGTGGGAGTCTGATACGAACAGGGTTATATGCGTGTGAACGTTACTTAAGAACCGTTTGGATGTTGCGGATGGTTTGAAGTTCACACGAGGGTAAACCCAGGGTGGTGGTTTTTCCGTCACGCCGACTGTTGACAGTGGTCACGGATGATTTCCACAAGTAGTAATCTGAGATTGGGATGTGACGTCAATGACCGTTTCACAGTTTATCTTATATGGGCAGATGATAGAGTCGTATTAGCAGATTCTAGTCAAATGAGTAGAGGATGTTGCGATAGAGCCAGAAACACTTGGACCTGTGCAAAGATGATTTTGAAGAGGCTGTTACGAGGTTATGTATGGCAAAGAGTGAGGTTGATATCATGTAGAGACGAATTGTTAGAGACAAAGCACAGCAGAACACCCACGATGATATAAAATGGAATGAAGAAACTTTAAAAGTGGTGGATAACTTTTCAGTACTTGAGGTTACCCGATTGTAAATGGAGGTGAATAGCATGATCCAGTCTACAACGCCTACAGCGGTGTGAAAGGTTTGGTATTTGAAGAGATTCCTATACAATGACAGATGATTTGGATATGTGAAGTTTGGCATACCAACCCTCATGCATGCAGCAGAAACATGAACAAAGGGAGTAAGAGAGGATGGTAAAACAAGTGTAGTGCCAACAACGAGAAGAGACACAAGGATGATAAACTTGGGGGGTGAAATAGAATGGACAAGATTGTGATGGTTGAGAAATCTCAACTATTTTAACTATAAACTATTACAATTTTACCAGATAAGGCCCACTGAGCTATATAGCTTTTTTTAGAAGCAACCTAGCCACAAATAATAGCTCAACTACGTGGTTTATTTGCAAATATTTCGCAGCCAATACTCTAAACGCATGCTTCAAAATGCGAGGGGAAAAATCTGGAGGACCTGGAGAAAAGTCCACGTGACCACGGGGAGAGAGAGAGACTTGCAAACTCAAAATACACAGGTGTCACAGGGTCGAGATTAAACCCACGACCTCCTCTGTACTGGGCCAGGTAGTTGACACCTCGCCACCACGGCACCCCTCGAGACACATGGAGGAAGGTTGGGCAGGGGCAGAGCGCCCAGACAGGGATTTGTGATGCAAGAACCACAGGGAAGAGTACTGCTATTAATATTACTTGCAGGAACTAATATTTATATATTCCATCAAGGTCCTTAAGATCTTCTGATCTTAAACTGCTCGGCACTCCCAGGTCTAGGATACGCTCTTTTGGTGATCGAGGTTTTGTCAGCGTGGCACCCAAGCCATGAAATGCCTTGCCGCTTGAAATCAGACAATCAAGAGGCGGTGTTAAGAGATGTCTGCTTTGAAAACCCAGCTCTTTAAACGGGCCTTGCCTCTTTAGTTTTGTCGGTTGCCCTGGTTCTGTTTTTCTTTCCTGCTTTTCATGCACTGCGCATTATACATTTTTATTATTATCCACAGAAAAGTTGTAAGAAGCGACTTGGAGAGAGTGGAAACACTTCTTGGATATTGAACAAGAAAGAGCATGGGAAAAGAAAGGGAGGTGCAGGAACATTGTTGGTAAAAAAAAATAACCCCGCCCGACCTGTTGTGCATGATGATCGCCCATCCAAGTACGATCCAGGCTCAGCTCTGCTGAGCCTTCGAGGTCCGTTGAGACTGGGTGCATTCCAGGCGATTTGCTCAGACTCGTCTTGTGTACAACGCGCGAGTACATTTTTGTTCGAGCGCTGCCACACAATCAACATTTCTCGTGACGTGGAAAAGCTGCTCAAATTCTTCTGCTGTCCGGAGCAGTGGGAGTGCTTAATAGTAATAACCAAACACATACAGCCGCTTGTGTGACACAGTTTGCACTTTGTTTTTGTCCAGTGGCCTATTTGAGCACAACAATGGTGTAACGGTCGTTTTCCTTAGTTCACAAATCCGACCTTTTCACATATCCGCCGAAACCTCAGTCTCCAGCAAGTCAGGATGTAGAACTTCTATTGCACCGTACGTAGCCAACTATGCTAATCAGAGGTTCGCATATGATGTTGTACTCTGTTATTAATATTAAAGATTTAAGGGAGGGAAAAAATATTTTCAAGTACAAATTAAATAACGCCCTTGTTTTTAAAGACAGTCCTCACCACAGAGAACCGTAGTGGCATGACCGCACTATGATAGCTGGTGCCAAACTGCCACGCCCTCCCGCATGGCTTTGTAGGAGCCTAGGTACCAATAAAGTTATTTAATTTTTTCTTCCGGTTGAGTTTTGATGACGTACACCTACGTCATCGGAACGGCATCAGAAGGAAAAACTGATGACGTACATGTACGTCATCGGAACGGGTTAAGAGCGATGCGCGTTACCCGCCTGCCCTGCCCCGCCCCGCCGACGTAGGCATGTGCAAACCGCGCAACAAGACGGACTCGCACCCGACGGCCAAGAGCTCCGTGGAGGAGCTGTCCGATCCCATCCCGTCACTGTTCCGCGCACTGACGGAGCGCGAGACGACGCTCAACTGGAACGTGCGCTCCTTCCCCGTGGCCGAAGAGCTGTCGCACGCGCACCACCTGCTCCTGCACGGAGACACGGGTGAGCGGCCGTGCCTGGGACGGCCCAGAGGGATGATGGTGGCACATCCCGGCAGTGTCTTCTCATCGTTTTCTTTTTTTTTTACCTGAAGTCTTATTGCAACGTTCCACTTCTTGAGGTAAAGGTGCAGCCTTGCAATTCCTTGCCCATGCTATTGTTGGCGGAAGGGACTTAAAGGGAGTTCTTTAATGTGTATTTTTTAGCTACTCTTCCATGCTGACCAGATGGATGTCTTGGAAGAGGTGGGAGTGCCGACACTTTACCTCGCCACATACAACCTGCCAATTAACTGCGGTGTACCCATTTATACCACTGGATGGACAGAGGCAGAAGAGATTTAAGAAAACATCCATCGTTTCAACTGAAACGCTAGATGCTCAGGCGACCTCTTAATTGCAGTCCAGTGTGTCATCCCTTATACTGTGGCAGCATTGAAATAGAGTAAGCCATGTGCACCCACAGTCCAAAATTTGTAAATTTGATAAATTACTTAAATGAGAAATGCCACAAAGCAACATCACTCCGTACTGCCACGCATGCCGGCTGGCTGGCCCGTGCTGCGTTCACCTAGTGGCGCAACTTGGACAGCTGCCACCAGCGGTCCCTTGCTATAGGGTACCTCAATGTCCTGCACGGGAGGCACCGTACAAATATTGAGCGATAATGAATTGGTTCCGTTTGGTACAAGGTTGATCCCCTGGCTGCAGCCACGATCACCATCGTGATGGATCATGGCTAACGAGCCCCCACTCACCCCCTGCCCCCCCCCAACCCCCTCTCTCCTCTCCACCTGCCAGGTACGTGGCTCACGTCGTCTGCGCCCAACTGCACCGTCGTCTTCTTCAACGAGTGCCTCTCCATCAACAAGTGCCGCATGTCGTGCGAGTCCGTGGGCGCCTCCAAGTATCGCTGGTTCCACAACGCGTGCTGCGAGTGTGTGGGGCCCGACTGCCTGGACTACGGCAGCAAGCACGCCCAGTGCCTCAACTGCATGGTGTGAGATCGGGTCACGGGGTTACTGGCCTTCCGGGGGGGTCATGGAAAGCATGGGGCCAGCCAGGGCCACTGTGTCAGGAGGCCCAAGATGGGACGAGGTGAAGTTGTTTTTTAGAGTTTTCAAAGTGCACCTATGTATAGGTTTATAGTTATGGCACGATTATCTGACATTTCACTACACATCTTAGGAGATTGTTTAGTTCCTGAAGAAACTCCCCAGCACGTGGAGTGAAATTCCACCGTAGAGCTGAACATATCTCCGTTAGATTTTGCCCAATAAATGCAAAGCTTAGGTTTGGCAATGAGTGAGCAGAGGTTCAGGAATGAGAGGGTGTATATGTGGTATGATTAGCGCCGATCACCAACCACTGCAGATAGCGTGGGGAGGGAGTGGTAGGAACCAGAGCATATTCTCAAGCCCCAGTTTGACATCCTTGTGGGCATCGGTATGGAGTTTTTGGCCCTGTCACAAGGCTGCAATGTCGTTGGAAATGTTATAAGTTTCCAGAGACTGTTTTTACAGGGTCGTCCCTTCAAACAGAAAGTGCTAAAAAGAGAATCCGGTTATATAAAAGTAGAGTTGTACATCTGATTTGTAGCCTCACCTAAATTAAGAATGCTTTTAGCCGAAACTTAACCGTGCATTTGGCAGATGCCTGTTGGCACTGCACACAATTCACACCACCGTGAAGGAAAGCTTCTTGCATAACCGGTACTTTTGCTTCATGTTAAGTTTGAAACGCTTTTTTATACATTTAGATTTCTGTTTTAAAAACAATCTAATACTTGTTTACATAACTCAAATACGATTTGTTTGCTGTCGTGTTGCTTTTTCACTTGCATTAAACACTTTTTTTTAGGAAAGGCAATCACCCGTAGGAGCATCAGCGGTCGTTTCTTTTCATGTCTGTGGCCGCCGTTCAAGAAAAAAAATATCTGTCCCATGGGAGTTGTTCACAACAGGGGGTTTGGGACTTATTCCAAAGTTGACAAGTGGGAATTGTGAAAACACTCGGTCAGGTTGATGCCACCGATTGCCAAGTGGAGACACCTCGTTGCAGAGATATCCCAAAACAATTATGATTATTTACCGCACTCGATTCCCCAGGTCTCAATCCTTTCAGGAGGGTCCTAGCCAAGCTTTCAGCATTGGAATGTTTGGCCAATAGCAATTATGTTGTAAATGTGTTTGGCTATGGGAGGAGGCCAGAAAACCCAGAGAAAAACCCAACACATAACAATGGGAGAACATATAAACGCCAGACTTGAAGCTTTCGTGACTGCAAGGAATCATATTCTTCGGTGTTTTCGGTAAAGTCACGTAGGTAAAACATCAAAATTAATAAAATAAAAAAATAAAAATTTATTTTGATGTTTTACCTACGTGACTTTACCGAAAACACCTAAAAATATAAACGCCACACGAAGGCATCCGGAGCCAGGAATCGAACCCAAACCCTTCTTTGCCAGAGGCACACAAGTGCCCTCCCCTTCCTGTCATGCAAATGTTTACCTCCTACCCCCCCCCCCCTGCCGGCAAGTGCACTTGGTTTGGTCCAATGCCCCCCCCCCCTCTCTCTGCTCTGGAGCTCACTTCCTTGGTTGCCATGCCGACCACTGTGGCCGTTACTGGAGGCATGTGGGCGAGTCGCCCGCCGTATCCCTGCGCGCGCCTGCGTGATGGGGCCCGGAAATAATCCTTCCACTACTGCAGAGGAGAAAATAAAGGGCCATTTTTGACACAGCATTCAAACGTTTACAGTACGGTTATACGAATAACACATTGAATGCAACACTTACGTTAAGTTCGTTTGTTTTATTTGTAAGTTAATTGTAAGTTAAAACACCTGGTTTAATCTCGGATCACAAATAATCACAAAAAATAAATGGCTGGGTAAAAATCAGGTTTCACTTTTGAAAGATAATGAACTGGGTAAGATGCGGTGAAAGTAAATGGCAAGAGGGAGTTGTGTGGGAAAGAAAACACGGCAGCGGCATCACTCGTTAACATCATGTGATTGAAATGCTTATTGTCAACATGTCACATTTAAAATTTGTACCACTCTAAAAAAAGAACATGAATTTTCAGAGTACACGACCACATTAGATTTCCGAGCTTACAAGGGGGGGGGGGGGGGGGCATTTAAATAACAAAAGCCCCGTGTGTGTCCTAAATACAATAATAAAAAAAACTTACACAAAACAAAACTCAGCTTACACAGGACAATACTCAGCTTACAGACATCGTTGACTTTTGAGCGGTTTTAACACAACGCGTTTAACCGAATGCCAAATTTGCACCGCGATGTAACCGGAGTCCCATAAATTACACAGCACGGCGCGACGGGCAAGCTGAACATCACAGGTGGCACGAGAGGGGCCCTGGGTGTTGCTGCGACGTGGCCTCAGACTTTAAGACTCATCATTCTTTTCTTTGGTAGTAGTCAAAAGAACATCTTCAGTGGTCGACAAGGAGTGTGGTCGCTACAGGCCGGGCTTCGCACATGATCGCACCGTGGGACTTGCCATGAACGTCGAGGGACAATGTACCGCGTTCATCGGCCAACTCCCAAAAAACGTAAAGCTTCCAGCCCTCTGTGAAATTCTGCCGTCAAATATGTGGGAGGGGGGGGGGGGCAAGGTGGTGAAGCAGGCAGGGATGGACCGGCCACTCGCGTTTCATGCCGAGAAAATCAAAAGTTCTATTTTTTCAGGATCACATTTCCCAAGCGCGTCTTGTTTAATGCGGAACTTCCTCGCAGCTGCGAACTGGTTGACGTGGAGCTGGGCCCGCTATGAAACTCACATGAGCAAGCTCCTGAACAAATGCTGCCCGATCAAAAGGTTTTGCATCCGAGCTTGGCACTGTCACTCCAGTAGTTTTGGTGTAAACAGTTTTTTTTTATCTCGAATTGGCCAAAACTAATTGTTGCAATGATGCCGCGTTTGCTCGGCTGGTTAATTCGAAGATCGGTATGTCTTTATAATTGAATAGAAAACCAATCTAGAATTTGACTTTGAAGTCTTAAAATGTTTCATCCCCTGCAGAGAAAGTTTTTGTTAGGCTTTTTTCATACCCTGGGATCTGGGAACTCCAGGACACGCACGCGCGCACACACACAACGCCGCACGCCACGTGGGCGAGCGGAACACTGCGAGCGTGGGAACAGGATTAATACTGCGGCCCGAGCCGCGAGCAGTGTCTCGGCACCACCAGGCCGACGCATACAGCTCACCTCCTAGCTACCCACAAACCCCTCCTAGCTACACGCAAACACGGGTGGAGGGGAGGAGAGAGGAGTTAGTTTTTCACAAGGGCCAGGGAAGGTTATTAAATAATGACGAACCCACCCCCCACCCCACCCTCACCTATCGCCCTGGCAACAGCTTCCCCTCCATCTGCTTGCCATCCGGATCCCTTCCCCCCCCCGCCCACTGCCGCTGAAATGTCGTACGTACCCAAAAAGTAGAATCGTCATCAGTAAAACAAACACTAAAAACCCACTAACGGAGGTCATGTGAGTCCAGTCCATTGCCAGGTCGGCACGCCAGGTGCCGCATTTTACCAGCAGAGCAACAGCTTATTTATCATCGGGGTTAAAGGTCAACGAAGGTTCTGTTCAAACCGACCTCACGCGTGCCGCCACCAGTGGCATGCGTAGTGGTATGCTGCTTAATCATCGCATCCTAAAGCATCTGCACCAACCTCGCTCTCCATATTAAGGTCCAGCTTTTCCCTTTGTCATTCCACTCCAAGATGAAAGCCTCTGCAAGCTATGTCATTCTTTACCAACCTGGTCGCTAAAGGTGGTGGGGGCGACACCAGGAACGGTTCCAGAAATAAAACTCGCATCGCCAAGGTTCTTAGCACAGCACACCAACTATTGTGCCACCACTCCACCCCGCCGCCCTACCCGACACGCGGAACTATTATTTATTGTGTCACCAATTTAACAGCAATTGACTGCTACCATTCTAGTAATATGGGCTTGCTTAAGTGAGCAGAGTATCACATGTGTGGGAATGGCACTGGAAGATGATGCCACAGTAATACTTCTGGAGTGCATTCACGAGACCCGTGTCACCCAACACGCGGTGGCATTCCACCGTGTCTGGGAACAGCGGTTCGCTACATTTCATATGCACTTCGAAAATGTAGCCCTCTAAGCCATGTCGGAACAAATGAGGACAGTACCTACACCAAGCCCTTAGCTGCAATGCGCTCTGCACGCTTCTGCCAATAGGTACACGTGCAAAGCTGGATCAGAGTTTGGGGGAGGGATGGAGGGCGTGGAACTGGCATCAGATTCTGAGAACAGGCCCTGTGCTGCAAAGTAAACGAAGAAAAACACGGTTATGACTCACCTCAGCCACACTGGGCCGTCGTGCACGACGACGGGCGTGAACCTCTACGCGTATGGAATGCTCAGGGAGGAGTGGCAGTGGGAAGAGAGAGGAGTGGGGGCGAGAGGGGAGGAGGGAAGAGGGGGAGAAACCGCGTCCTGCGAAGCTAGCAGAACTGTCGCGACGCCGAACTCTACAAACTCGTAACACTGCGTGAACACCGCGCTACGACCACGGCGCTTGCGGCCTGTAACAGCTTAATGACGGCGGCGATGGCGACTGACTTGTGAGCAGCTCCACGTCCGCGGCCGGACGCACGGTTTAATGAATTATGCGACCGAGAGATCGAAGGGTCAGAGTCACGCGTTTGTTAGGGTTGGGGGGTCAAGAGTAAAAGTTGGCATACTGGGTTTGAGGTCAGATTGAGCGAGGGATAGCAGACACCACACACTTATCGAGTTACAAGTTGAAATTTAAGATTCGGTGCACTAAACCGATGAGGTGAAAGAGGTCAAATAGACGAGGTTATATGGGCTGGAGGTTCATGGTCACAGGGCTCCGGGTGCCCAAAAGCAGAGAACATCGGATCTGACGCCCAGACAGCGGACATGCAAATGCCGCAGACATCAAGTTGTGGCTAAACCTCGCAACACTCAAATGATATTTTAAATTAAAAAAAACACTTCTTTACTGTTCGAATTCCTTGGCATGTCATTTTGAGGTACACCCTTTTCCGATTAAAAAAACAAATGCGTCCAAGAAGACACTTCCACAGGCGAGTGTTAGGTCAAATCGAAAACTGATGGAGGGGTGGCAGCATCGGCACACGTCCACCACTCAGGATTTCATGGGTGTTATTACAGCGTTTAAATTTTTCCAGAAACACTGCATCCCCTGCCATGCGCGCACACACACACCTGTTCGTACGTGCGAGCGTGTGCGCAATATGCGGTGAGAAGCTCCAAAAGGAGAATGCGCAATGTGCATTCGCGCACATACAATGCGCCAGTGTTGGGTGGCGCACGAGGATGTCTGGGCCTCCTGCTCCTTGTCGTGGTGGCGGTGGCGGCGGCGGCGGCGGCGGCGGCTTGCGCTTGGTGGAGTCCAGAGAGGTTGGCACGAGGGGAGGGCATCTGACAACAACTGGGTCTCGTCACTGCTGATATGCTCCGTACTGGCCCTGCATGGACGACGCGCAGCCACAAGGTAAGAAACAGAGATTGGTTTGTTCTAGATTTGAACTTTTCGTGACTGCAAGGATCCATACTCTTTGGTTCTTTCGGTAAAGTCACGTAGGTGAAAAATAAAAATACATTTTTTTTTCACTTACGTGACTTTACAGATTGGTTTGTATCAAATTGCTAAATTATGGCTGTGGGAATTGTTCTACAACTCTCCGGCGAGCTGAAAGAATAACTGGTACATCAAACGCTTGCACGTGTGAAGAATTTAACTTGTTTGGCCATGTAGGATGGTGGATGGACATGTAGCCCAACCCAAAAATCAAGTTGTGAATCAAGGGGATTGATGATTGGCAATTCACAGATCTTGGCCTCAGAGAGAGAAAGGTGAAACCATAATTATCATCGTCATTAATTATTATTTATATAGCACCTCCCATGCAGTGCATCTCGAGGTGCCAGAAGGGGAGTTTGAGATGATTGGTAATTATGTGACTGCAGACCAAACAATGAAAGCGAGACAACCCAAACTTGAGTACAGTGCCAAGTTAGGACAATATGATCCCACACAACATACACACACACACACCTACCGGATTATCAGAGGCACCTACTAACCTTTGATTTAAAATACACGGACAAAAACTTGCATCCTATCATCCTGAGAATACGGTACATTCTGGGGAGCACTCACCTGCTCATAGCCGTACGGCCGCTGCTGCTGTGGGGTGGGAGGGCCGGGCTGTGGAGGGCGGTACGCGCCGTACTGCTGCCCCTGGGGGTAGCCCGCGTACTGCCCAGAGGCAGTCTGAGCAGGGCCTGCTGGAGGGGTCACAGACGAGCAGGACGACGGGGCGTGGTGGGAGGTCAATGCGAGGTCGAGGTAAGTTGGAGAATCATAGAGTAGATGAAGGTGGTATGGCTCCTCTGGTAAGTACTTCTGAAGACAAGCGCATGTTGGGAAAACTTTCATACGGATGAATGCTTCTAACTTTTTCTATTACGTTTTCACAATCCGACTGCTACAACTGAAACAAGGTCAATAAGTGCAACACACACTGTACAGTACTCGGAGGTCGGGCCGATTCTCCTTAGCCCCAGCAGGCTGTCGAGTGTACAGCACTAAACGGCATCGCACGGTTGGGATGGATCCTTATGCAAAGAATGAAATGGGGCCACTCTGTCCAATTTACACCCCTCTGCATAACCCAACGGTACATGTGCACCCTCCAGCTCGTTGGGCCCGGCGCAGCTGCACCACACCTGCACCACTCGTCGTGCTACACCACAAGCCACCCCTGATGGATGTGGGTTCCCATGGTTGTTCCAGCATCGCCTTGGCGGTGTTATCCCTGGGTGGGCTCAATACAGCCGCGCCCTCACTTGGGGGTGCCCCGTGACGTCCTCACCGTAGCCCTGGCCCTGGCTGGGGTATCCCTGGGGTCCACCGAACTGCTGCTGGGACGGGTAAGTCTGGGCGGGAGGGCCCGGCTGATAGCTGCCCTGCTGTTGCCCGTACTGCCCCGTGCCTGCGAGAGACGGAGTTAAAGAGGAGTTAAGAGCTGCAGTGGTAAGAGTTGCGTTGTTATGAAGATCAGGGTTAATAGCGCCAAGAGCTGCTTTTCTCATTACGCAGGATTCTGGGTTACGGTGTTAGAACCACTGAAGATTTGGTTCAAGGCTACCGTTAACAGAAGCCGTTAACGTATTCGACTGGATTACAACGTTTGCAGCTGGAAATAAACTTTGGGGTCCGTCAAGAGCTGCAAAGACTGTTAAAGATGTTTAAAGGTGATGTAAATATTAGGTGTCCGAGTTAATGTCGAACATATGTTACAGCGTACACTGGCAGAGCCAGTGGGGGAGGTGGGGTGGCACGTGCCCCCGCAATGATCCGATCGAAATCCCTAATTTCGATCGGATCATTGGGGTTATTAGTAATAAATCGGCATTTTGCGACCCCCACTGCCACTGTGTAGCATATTATTACGTGCCAGGGACTCTATGAGATGATAGGATAATAGTCTAAGTCCATAATTGGCAATAAGTAACGGCAAAGCAGCTATAACTGACTCACAGAATTGTGCGCAGTTGCGTATACAGTACACGACTTCCCTGAAGGCATTCACCTTCAGCGAGCGCGATGCCGATCACACAACGTGGTTCTAATTCAATCCTCGATCAATGGCTGCGCCATCGCCGCACACGCGAATATAAAGCAAGGGACACGTCTTTACTTGCTAACAACTCCTCTATCATTTTTCATTGCTGGAGGGATTACCCCTCTTACCTGAAAATCCTGGCTCCGCCATTGACAGCGTACACCCAAAACAAGCTGAAATGCACCCGGATGTCATCAGAACTCGAAGCTAAGCAGCATGCAACCTGGATAGAGCTTTGATGGGAGACCATCATACACAAGAGACTGTTATAGGGCTGCAGGGTTATTGGGTGGGCAGCAGATGGCAGTGAAGCAAAATCTAAAGTACATGTACTTCTGTACTGGCAAATCTCTGAATCCATCTTTGCAAACTCGCACTAACCAGTGTGGTGAAGTATGGTCAAATAACCCCCAAGACTCGCATGGCGGGGAGGGGGGCCTTATCCAGCAGTGAATAGGTCATGGCTCATGACGATGTCGGTCTTTGGAGTGGGCATCGCTAGCGGGGGGGGGTGGGGGAGGGATTTGCGTTCGAGCCATTGGTAACGTTATTGCTGGAGTCCCTGTTAATCGTCGCGGTGCTCTGGGGATTTACGGTTGGAGCTGCTGCCGAGGTCGGCGCTTTGGCCATGGCCCGTGCGTGCGTGCGTGTGTGTGAGTGCGTGCGTGCGCGGGGGGGGCTCGCCGCACCATCAGGGTAGTACTGCGGCGTCATCCCGTCAGCGGGGGGCTGCCCGTGCGAGTACTGCTCCGCGTAATAGTCGTCCTGCGAGCCAAACTGCTGCGGCGGCCCTGCCGAGGACACACGGCAATAAAGACAGAAATCCCCCATTTGGCCTTTAACCGACTGTTCGGGAAAGTGCTGTTAAGTTGCGAGGGGCCGATACCACACCCGGCCAAGTTGACCTAGGGGAGACCCAGGACCGGTTCAGATAATCATCACCAGCTGTGGCCGTGAGTGGGAATCGAACTCTGGTGGCTGGGTTCGTTGAGCAGTGCGCTAACCACTGCACGCATGCACACGCACGACTTGCTTCACACAAAATAATAATCACTGGCTGGGTATTTATATCCGATTTATCACCAAAAAGGAGCTATGCGTCACATCACTGGACTCCACATCGCACCTCCATACTCCGGGGACTCTACTGCAGTGGTAAATGCATATGTAAAGGAACATATTTTATAATGACTACATCGCTGCTTAAGAGTCAGCCGGTCGGAGAGCTGGATGTGATGGTGCATGGAGCAATGCGCGATTGTGTGCTGCCCTGGGAGGTGGTGGCACTGTGGTTTGCTTACTGAGCGATTAACCAAACAACCAGAGTTTGATTCCCAGCCAAGGCTAACATCAGTAGCTAGGAATATATAAACCGGTCCCGATTTCCCCACCTTCACCAACCTGCATTAACCAGCGTGGTGAAGTATGGTTAAAGGTCAAAAATTATACTTTCCAAGAAGCAATCCTGAAAAGGCTCGGAATGCATTGCACCTGCCAAAACAAGAGGACTGGAGCCTTTTCCAGATATTCTCTTTTCCGTTCAGCTGGCTGAACCAGGGGCAGGTAAACAACATTGCCATTGTACACCTAAACCACGAGCGCATGTTGCACGAAACTGGAAAACAGGAAGCGGAGGCAACTGCCCGTGGCCCGGAGTAACCACAGTGACCCGTTTCCACGACGGGGGTGGAGCAGCTACGGTTGCTTTGCGACGCAGCACTCACCTTGCTGTGCAGACCGCGAGTAGCCGGGCATCTGGCGCTGCCCCATCATCTGGCTGCCCTGCCCGGCCCCACCGCCCATCATGCCCTGGTAGTGCTGCCCCGAGCCCTGTGCCAGGTTGTATTGGGATGGAGCCGGTTGCTGAGACACCATGTGGCCTGGAGCACGCGCACACACACACACACGTGATCAATAACACTGTAACAATGTTTTTTTAGTTCCTACGTAGTGTTATTTCCTAATTGCTTATGCCTCAAAAGTACAGAAAATGGCTATTATTCCCCACAAACTTTGCTTTTGTGACCAGGATAGTGGTATTTTGAAATGTACCTATTTTCAATGAGAAAACGGGCAAATTTGTGTCTCTTCGTTCACACAAAGTCACCAAGGCGCACTACCACAGGCGGGAATGGCCACAGCGGACCGAGTTCTCTGTCGGGAGGAAGAATCTCGAAAAACTACTCGCTTCTAAATCTTTTGTAGTCATTTATGTATTACTTTAGTATAAATAAATGTTCATTTGTATTCATATGTTGTTTTTTTCTGACTTTGAAAATAGGTAAATTTCTAAATATCACTGTCCTGGTAACAAAATCAAAGTTTGTGGGGAATAATAGCCATTTTCTATACTTTTTAGGCATAAGCAATTACGAAATAACACTACCCAGGAACAAAAGTTGTGTTGCAGAGTGTAATCACATGGCGGCCTGGTCATATAATAATAGTCGTCTCCTTTATTCAGGAAAGCCTCACCGAGACTCTTTTTCTATGCACATTTGGCATATAATAAAAAAAAATCCTGAGTAACCATATAATCCCATATAAAAGCTCTGCGTGGATAGATTAATGAATCCACTGCTGTACTGCCATCTCTTGGCCACTAAGCCGAGACCACCTGGTATTCCCAGGCAGCCTCCCATGCAAATAATAGCCAGACTCCACCCCACTTTGCTTCCAAAATCTGACGAAATCGGGTGAATATTCAGGGTGATCTGGTCGTACGCCAGTTCACGTGGTGTTAAGCGAGTGCCTATCACAGTTAGGCGCTGCTGCCCTGCGTCTCGCTCCCAGTGTTCCCACTCCCCGTGTTCCCACTCCCCGTGTTCTCGCTCCCAGTGTTCTCGCTCCCAGTGTTCCCACTCCCAGTGTTCTCGCTCCCAGTGTTCCCACTCCCCGTGTTCTCACTCCCAGCGTTCTCACTCCCCGTGTTCTCACTCCCAGTGTTCTCACTCCCAGCGTTCTCGCTCCCAGCTTTCTCGCTCCCAGCTTTCTCGTTCCCAGCGTTCTCGCTCCCAGCGTTCTCGCTCCCAGCGTTCTCACTCCCAGCGTTCTCTCTCCGAGTGTCTCACCTTGGCCCTGGCTGGCCGGCGGGGTCCTGTAAGCCTGGCTGGGCCCTCCTGGCCCAGACGATGGCACCGAATGGCTGTACCCGGCCATGGTGGCATGGCTGCTGGCCGGGAGGCTGAGCGCAGGGCTCGCCTGGTGGTTTGGAGGCTGCATTGCCATGGAGTTTGGTCCTGTAATGTCACAAAGTAAACATGAAGATCCCCTGTGTAGCCTTTATGGACTGCCAATTGTGACTGAGTGAGAGACTGACTGCTGTGCCATTATAATCAATCAATTGATATATAAAGTTTAAACATGTACACAAATATACCCAAGTCTACGTTGCTAATTATCGAAATATATATATTTTTTATAGATTTGGACCCATACAAATCACGGCCCAAATATTGACAGGTTTAGTCATGAAAAATGTTTTGTCTCTCAGTAAATAATCACAATAACGCACAATCCCCATCATCAGTGAACCAAGTAATTTGCCTCCCATGGATTGTGACATCAACAATGATAAGAAAGTTTGCAAATCTACACCGGTTAACAATATTACTTCACAGCCCCTCGTCCGTCCACTGCTGGATGAAGGTGTGCCCACACCAAGTCTGCCATCGGGGTTGTTTGATTCGTCAACCAAGCTGCTCAGTGAGCATTAGTAAGGGCAGGCAACATAGACAATGGATTTTGCTGCACCGCCCTCTGCTGCTCACAACATAGCCCCGCAGGCTATAGTACCTGTTATGCACAGCAGTCACCCATCCAAACACTCTCCAGGCTTAACCAAGGAATATCCTGGCTGCTTACGAGTGATGAGTGCCGCGGTGGCGAGATATTAACCTCGCCTGGCATACAGGAGGTCATTGGTTTGACCTCAACCCTGACGCCTGCATATTTGGAGTTTGCATGTTCTCCCTGTGGTCGCGCTGATTTTTCTCCAGGGTTCTCCGATTTATCCCTCAACATTTATAAACATACATTGAGAGTATTTGGCTGCTATAAATGTCCACATAAGGCACTTCGTTGAGACATTCGTGACCAGGTTGATTCTGAATAAGACCTAAATAGCTCAGTGGGCCTTACATGGCAGAATAAAAAGAGAAATACAACGGACCATAAATGGAGAACCCTGTGACGTAAACTCTCAGGACCAGCTCCGCTATTTGAAAGAAACGCCCAACAAGAGAAAGTAAGACTCAATAATGGGGATCAAGCTGAGAATAATAAGTGGGTTTAAGACTTCTCTTCAGACGGCACGGTGCCGCACCCCTGTCTACCCGGATACGGGGCCACTCCCCACAGGGAGCAGGTAATTTCCACCCTTGCTCAAGTCTGTTTGCGATCCTGAGGCCAAATAGGGCCAACTTTAAAAATATTTTTTTTTAAAACACACACGGCCAGACAGAAAACCGTTCTTTTTTTCAACCCGCCCCGGTTACGAGCGACCGGCTATCAGAGCCGCCACTTTGCGCAGAAGAGGTGGAGCGACCGTAACTTTAAGAGAAAGTGTAGAGAGCTTCTGGTCCAACCAGTTTCTTACAAAACCCAAACAGCGCTATGTTTTTTTTTATTTTCGTTTGAGTGTCATTTTCAGATGGGTGGCTCACCAGCACCAAAATCCAGTTTTAAATCATTGAGCTACCACCGATGAAATGGTAGATTAAAATGTGGGCAGTCACCTGTCAGAGGTGTGTGCATGTGCCGTGTGTGTGTGGTTGGTGTGCTAATGTGTGCAGAGCAAGTGTCCAGTTGGTGTGCAGTGGGTACGTGTTGGCAACGTATGGTGGATGTGTACAGTGTGCGTGTGCTCAATGTGTGGCGAGTGCATGGCGATGTGCGCTTGGTGTGCAGTGTGCGGTGACGACGCGTGATGGACGCATGGTGGACGCGTGGTGGGCGCGGTGGTGGGTGTGCGGCGTACGAATACGCACGTGTTGTGCGTACGATCGATGTGCATGGTGTGCAACGTGGGGTGCCTTCCATACCAGCCATGTGTCCGTTGCTCATTGGGCCCTGCATGTGTGGGGGTGGGGGCGCAGGATCAGGAGGCAGGCTCTGCGAGTGGGGAGCTCCTCCGGGAGGGAGGCCTCCACCAGCCCCCATCCCAAGACTCTGGTTTGGCAGCTGAAGGTAGAGAGAGACACGAGAGGCAAAAAATTGGCTCCATTCGCAGTAGGATTCAGGCTAACCTTCGCCCCGACCCCAACTCAAGATTTCAGTTTTAACGTTTAAATAAAATATTTAAAAATATTTTTTTTAAAAACACGCTTTAATGAAATGTACTGTCCGAGCTGACCCTCCCCCTGCCCCCTTCCCCCATCGCCCCTCCCCTCCTTCCACCCCCCCCGCCCCTGGGCGTGGCTCCCCGAGACTTGCCGTGACGTCAGGGATCGCGGTGATTTACAGGCAACGTGAGTTGAGCGTGGACAATTAGAGCCGTTAAAAAGATCGTTTAAAAATATAAATGTATTTATTTTTAATGATAGAATATAGTATTGTCATCAGTATGACAGAGCTATACGAAGTTAGCAGTCGATACGACATTGGGAATACTGTTGAAATTGAGTTACAAGATTTATTTTTGGAGGCTACAACAGACGAAGCGAGTTAAATCAAAGCGTGTAAAAAAAACAGGAGAGCGTTCTGCTGACGTTTGTCATGTCTCTGGCAGAGGTCGCAAACGGGTTTTGATTCCTTACCCGGCTACACGTACCTGGCCGGGTAGGGTACGGGGGTTACCCCTACCCGATACCCGGCCGGGTAGGGGTAGCCGGGTATGGGTATCGGGTACCCGATTGCGACCTCTGGGATGAAGCCATGTTGCAGGCGCGGGTGGGTTGATTCTAGGAACTTGAATTGTGAGAAGAGACAAGACGTTGGGAAATGAGTGACAAACGGTTACTCACCAGTGGCTCACGGCCTACCCCTACCCGTACCTGGCCGGGTACCCGGGTATCGGGTAGGGTACGGGTATCGGGTACCCGATTGCGACCTCTGGCCTCTGGTGGCCATACATTGCTCACCAAGCATGTAACGGTTCCTACCTCCACCACACTCAACCAACCACCCCCCCTCCTGTCGCCCCTCCCCTACCAGCGATTTGATTAATCACCACAATTCAGGGTCACAATCGAATCCCAGGATCAATTATTTTTTTGTTCCCATTCGTACCGAGTTGTATATTGCGTGCCTCTCATTTGTACCGCCCATCTTGTTTGTTCTACCGCGTTTGCACCGTCTCGTTTGTAGTGTCTGTATGAATCAAATCTTATTCGCATAAATCGTACGCCATTCGTTGTTACATACAGATGATATGCAGACACAGTGTGCGAGATGAGAATCGCTTTAAAACGATGACTCAATGCACCGTGACGAGCCTGTTGCTCCTCACCGTGCCCCTTCGGCTTACCGTGGGCAGTAAGGACTGTGAGTTCTGACTCGAGTCGGCCAAGGTTGCCAAGTAAACCAGGTTCCTGTGCAGCATTTGCTGGTACCTGTCAAACGTAAACACCGCAAGCACACACACATATACATACAGATCCATGTCAAGACCTTTGGAAAAAGTGTTGCGCTGTTCGTGAACACCCATTTATGGCATATAACGGGGTGGTGGAGTCAGTCCAAGCCAGATACAATTGTCACGCAAGTACTGATACTGTAAACACAAATTATATTTGTAGAGCATCTACAAGTGCCAGTATTTCAAGCCAAGAACAGACAGAGTTGTCAAAACTTATTTTACAGACAGAGGCAGTCATCAGTCAGGGGCAGATGAACAAGGCCTGGAGCCTGGATTTGAACAGGGTCAGGGAGTTGAAAGCACATTGCTGGGGGGGGGAAGGGAGTTCCAAAATACGGGGGGGGGGGGCAGCAGGGGAGAGTGAGCGACCTGCCACTTAGTGAAGGTTGGACCACGCTCTTACACAGAATGCTTTGGTTGCTGGAGCAGAGAGAGTGCAGGGTGGCGTAGAGGGAGACGTGAAGGGAGAGTTAGGCAGGGGCGAGTCAATGGAGGAGCTTGAAGTCGGCGAGTGCAATCTTGAAATGAATCCAGGATATGATTGGCAAGTAGTGGAGAGAGATTGGAGTATTGGGGGTAAGGTAGTTATGGTTATGGGCGAGAAGTCTAGCAGCGGCATTTTGGATCAACTGTAGTGTGAGAAGGGTGTGACTGGTGAGGGAGCAGAGAGATGAGCGCCTCACCAGGACAGTAATTGTGTTGCCACAATGCACTAGGTCAGGGGTCCTCAAACTTTTTAAACAGGGGGCCAGTTCACTGTCCCTCAGACCGTTGGAGGGCCGGACTATAGTTAAAATGCCTATGCACACTGCATATATCTTATTTTGAAGTGAAGAAACAAAACGGGAACAAATACAATATTTAAAATGAAGAACAAGTAAAGTTAAATCAACAAACTTTCCAGTATTTCAATGGGAACTATGGGCCTGCTTTTGGCTAATGAGATGGTCAATGTCCGGTTCCATATTTGTCACTGCTAGTCATAACAAGTGATGCAAGTGTGCATCCGTTAGTCTAGATCTGGTTGGAGATTTCAAATGTTTCATTCTGGAAAAAGTCTGTTCACAGACATAAGTGCTGCCAAAGATGGTTGCCATTTTGAGTGCATGGTTCCTGAGATGAGGATATGTCTCAGAGGGGAGAGCTGCATAGAAATTATGAAGGCTGCTTGACTTGAATGCGTCTTTCAGAGAGTCACAATTCTGCAGTTCAGCCAGTTCCATTTGGTAAATTGTATCCACATTTTCAATGTCAATAGAAAATGGGTTACGGAAAAGCTGTATGTCCTGTTCATGGAGATGAAGCTCTTTAAATCTAAATTGGAACTCCTTTTGCAATTTTTCCAATGAATCCACACATGTTTTGTTTGGGAATGCAACCAATGGTTTTTCTGCTAACAGATTTTGAGTTGTGGGGAGATGGCAGAAGTTTTCCTCCTTCACTTGTTTGATGAGGAGGCTGAATTTTACTTCAAATGCTTTGACATGTGATTGCATATCACAGATGAGCTTCCCCTTTCCTTGAAGTTGCACATTGAAACTGTTGAGTAGCTCTGTTACATCTGTCAGAAAGGCAAGGTGCCATTTCCATTCTGTATCATTGAGCTCTGGTACTTCTTTGTTTTTTGAAAGCAGAAAAGCTGTAATCTGTGGAAGTAAGTCATAGAAACGTTTCAAAACTCTCCCTCGACTCAGCCAACGGACTTGTGTGGTACAGAACATCTTCATAGTCAACATTTAGCTCAGACAGAAATTCCTGAAATTGTCTGTGGTTTAGTGCATGAGCTCTAATGAAGTTAACACAAGATACCACAATTTTCATAACAGAGTCCCACTTCAGTGATTTACTACACAGCGCTTGTTATGAGGCAGTGTATGGCTATTGGATGAGAATGGTTATGTTTGTCCATCTCTTGGTTAATGCGAGCAATTACTCCTTTCTTAGACCCCACCATGCTAGGAGCACCATCAGTTGTCACACTGGCTAGTTTAGCCCAGTTCAGCTCCAAACCATTCACAGTTTGGCAAACCTTTTCATAGATATCCTCTCCTGTAGTTGTTCTTTTGATGCTTTGCAGTGCAGCAAGCTCTTCTGTGACTTTGAAATAGTCATTCGTCCCACGAATAAAAATTAGAAGTTGTGCAGAATCACGAACATCATTGCTTTCGTCGAGTGCCAACGAAAAATAGGAAAGTTTTTTTGTGGAGTTTTGCAAATGCTGATGCAAATTGTCTCCCATTTCTTCAATCCTCCGTGTAATTGTAGGTCCTGAAAGACTCACTGTACTAAATAAATCGGCCTTCTCTGGACACATCTCTTTGGCAACAGAAAGAAGGCATTCTTTAACAAATTCTCCCTCCACGAATGGTCTGCCAGTGCACGCTATTAGCTTGGCAACTTGAAAACTTGCTCGCAGTGATGAAATATTTAGCTGCTTCTGCTTCACAAAAGTATTTTGCTGAGTTGTTAATATATTTTTCAGTTTTAATATTTTATCTTTTCTCATTTTTCCGACCAAACAATCATATTTATCTTTATGTTGAGTTTCATAGTGTCGACGTAAATTGTATTCTTTGAACACAGACACTATATTCTGGCATATCAGACACACATCTCTTTCCTTGTACTGCATGAAAAAGTAATCATAAGTCCACTGTTATTTGAATATCCTACACTCCGAGTCAATTTTTCTCTTTCTTGACATCATTGTTTCATAGGGAGTCAAAATTGCTATTAGTAAAATACCAATATATATATATACAGCGCTACAAAACCAATATACCAGCAATAACTTTGCCCACACAGAGACATACAGACTGCACTGCCCATCAATGCAGTCTGATTGGGGGAACTCCGCTTTTACCCCAGGCTCACACTGGTGCGGGTGCCATTAAAAAATTAATTACACCTGCAGTTTTGTTCACAGATCGCAGTGCGGTGGGCACAATGAGTGCCCACCGCCGCAGCTCAATCAGTGCCCACCGCCGCAGCCCAATGAGTGCTCACCAGCGCAGCCCAATGAGTGCTCACCAGCGCAGCCCAATTAGTGCTCACAAGCGCAGCCCAATTAGTGACCATGGGCCGGATAAATGTCCTCAGCGGGCCGCATGTGGCCCGCGGGCCGTAGTTTGAGGACCCCTGCACTAGGTTCTTGTCTAATGCCAAGTTCACCTCAGGGTGGGTTCCATGGCAAAGTAGATACAAACTGCTGCATTTGTGCAAAGCCAGGAATTTCATAGTAATTATGTACCGTCGGGAACGTGTTGTAATTGGCTAACTGTGAACCGCCACACCCCCACAATGAAAATCAAGGCAAAGATCCCCCATATAGCCTTTAACAGACTGTAGGGGCAAGTGCTGTTCGCGAGCAGTTATGAAGGCCGGAACGGCACACGAAGGGGTGGGCGTCCAGCACCACGCCCGGCCGCCTTTGTCTCCCTAGTGGCAATGTTTATACAAAGCAACTAGGTTCTCATTTGAGGTGGACTTAACCTAGGGGAGGCCCAGGACCGGTTCAGATAATTGTCACTGGCGTTGGCCATGAGCGGGAATCTAACTCAAGGCGCTGGGTTTGTAGCGTGCTAACCGCTACACTACCGCTCCGCATTATGCAAAGCCAGGAATATTACAGTATCCTTGGGATTGCGTGGTAATGGGATAACTGCTGAACCGCCCCACCCGACAACACACACGCACATACGTGCCCGCTCATAGGCTCGCACAAAAAAACCACAGTAAAAACACTAGCATAGCGTCGGCCTGGCCAGAACACGCGCACATTCAGGCACACCCAAAGCCGGATCAATTTAAAAACCACAGCTCGGAGGTGGGAAAATCAAGGCAGACAAGCCGTGCAGGTGCAAAACGTGAATAAACACTGGCTCCTAGGTTAGGAGCCAGTGGACAGCTGTTCAACAAGAAACACATTCAACAAACGCCTTCCAACAGACCAAACAGGGGCGTAACAATTCACCCACCCCACCAAACACCCCCCCACCCCGAACCTGATCCCACCCCCAGCAGATTTAACCGTCACAATTCTACACAAGAATTAATTATTTTCATGTTGTTTTAGCCATCTCATATGTATTGTATCTTGGGGGGTTTTTTCCGTCTCATTTAAACAGTTTTATTTTCTCCGCGAGCCTAAATGTCACACAGGGGCATATCAGATTCGCACAATTTGCTCAAAATGAAATGTATCCGTTCTCACACGCGCGACTCCACGCATCTATTCATCGACTAATCGATGCATCGTCAAACCGTTGAGCCTTTTGTCGAGCCACCACTACAACCGAAGGCTAATTAAACTAAGTGCAGCAATTGGAGCTACAGCGTGTCCTAAAAAACCCGGCTAATTCCAGGGTTCCCTGGTCCAGTACGTTTTCTTCATAGAACCCAATAATTATTACACGCAGCATAGAGGCACAGTTAACAAGTCAGCATCTCTGCGCGTGGGTTCAGTTTCTTGAGCTTCAGGAGTGCATTTCCAATGTTTTATTTTATTTAAAGGTCACCAAGAGAACACTGTTCAATGCGGAACATGCCATATATGTCCACGTTGATTTGAGGACAAGCTCTGATTTTTCTCTCTCTCTCTGAACCTGCCTTTATAGCAGACGTAGGCGTCGCAAGTCTCACACGATAACAATCGAGGCAAAAGGCCGGCTTTGCTACATCAAGGCGGCTTTATGGACTGGAGGGGAACAGGAGGTGCACAATGGCCGCGTTAGAGCACTTAACCAGCACCACCGACATTGTGGGTTGACATCTGGACAGATAGATGTGCTTAAAAGAAGATTCGCAAAACGTAGCACATCGAAGATCTCAGCTTGGTTATCAATAAGCACTCACTGAATCCATCGTGTAAGTTTGTTTTTTCACGTAATTCAACTTAGTTCAACACGGTGGACTACTACATTGTATAAATATATATTGGATAATTGACAAGTAGTAAACTATGAAGAGTGTGAAGAAGTCCCATCTGGCACTTCAGAAGAGGCCTATTGAAGTTACCGCAGTGCCACATGGTTGCCCACCCTTCAACCTAAGCACCACACCACGCTACGCCTTTCCACATTCACCAAACTTCTTTGCCATTGAAATAGAAATTAGGTCACATCGGTAAACATGTCCCACAAATAAGCACAAGTCCTCCATCTTAATGTGAAACGGGTTTTTTTCTAACCCTGTTTGTCTTTGACCAAACCATCTGGAATATGCCCGATCTTGTCATAATTCAGAAGCTAAGCAGGTTTGTGCATGGCTACTTCTTGGATAAGTGAACATCACCCTGTATGGATCCCCATGGTCATAAGGTTGTCGACTATACCAGTGATACTTGGCGGGCAACAGAGGGCATTGCAACAAAGTACACTGCTGCACTATTCTCTCTATGCTCCTAAGGGGAGGGATCATTCAGCAGTGGATAGACAGGGAGTTGTACATGTACATTATCTCATTGATGCTCATCTCACAGCAGATGCAGCCATCTCTTTCGCAAATTGGAAATCATGGACCAAACAGCAACACCACTGCCAACTTCGACCATTCACCGGCAGCATTTTAGATATTGACCAGGCTACCCCTTAAGCCGTCCACTGGCGCACCCACCAACTCCCTCCTTACTATACGAAAGAAGATGTTGTACGTATGTAGAACTCATATCGCACCGTACGTAGCCAACCATGCTAATCGGAGGTGCAGGAGAAAGAAAATAAACTAAATGTATGTTGCCATAAATGTGTAATGTTGAGCACCCTCTTGTTTCGTTCTCCTACTCCCTTCCCTCATAAAAAAACAGGACAAGTCACATAAACATCACGTTACATATATAACAACTTGGATTTGTGGAGGAACTCACTGCGAGCACTCCGATGTCTTGCCCTTGCTCTGGTAGTCCAGGATGCATTGGATGAGGTGGTTGTTTTCATCCAACATCTGCAGGATACATGCGTGCATTTAGAACTCTTTTAAAAAACAAATGTTCAACATTCACTGAGTTTACATGTTTTTTTAAAATGACAACTCCATGTATTCGAATAAAGTCAATTTACCATTTTCCAAAGTGGAAATTACTCTTTTAATGTCCACCACTACTGTGGCGTAGTGATAAATGCCTTGTTTTTAGAGCAGCCTCCCGATTAAAATGCTGTAAATGGACAAAATCCATCACGCGTGACTTACTTCTCCTTAAAATGTATTAACCGTATTCTAAATGCATTTACTCAACACAATGAATACAAATGTACCGGTACATCCTGTTTGCAAATAGGATACATTCGTAGGACGTATCCTACCTACGGATGGACGTTAATTCATCCTATAATTTTTCCAAATACTGTAGCTTTTATTCAAATAAAATGGCACGTCCTCTATAGTATTTGAAAGGAAGGAATGTTAAATGTAAACCAGGTAATTAGTAGGTGAGAATATTGAGAGCAGGGATGTAACGATTCCGCACCTCCGATTGGCATGGCTTGTAACATACGGTGAGACAGAAGTTCACACAATGCTGCTCCACCATTCTACTAACTTGGTTTCAGGATCACAATTTTATTCGGTGACTCTAGTTGCTCTTGTGGGGCAGATGCAGTCTGTCGTGATATTAATCTCTGAGTGCCATTTGTACAAACTTGGCTTACATGTGTTTTAATATTACACACAAATCTATACACGTATTTTGAACGTTAAAATATATTTTACAGTTATCATTGCCGTATTACCGTATTGAGGTCCATTATATCTACCATTGGAAATGCTACAAAAAAACATTTTCACTTCAGCATTTGGGCATTGAAAGTATGCTTTTCAGGTAAAAAAAAACCCCATTGCAGTCAGCAAAGTGAAAAGACTTTAGATGTAACTATTACCCGATTGTTTTTCTTTTTTTTCTGTCTGTTGAGTAGAATATTTTAAGCCTGTGCATATATCCAATAGGAATAATAAAGCGGTCTCTCTCCGGTCAGCGATGGTGAGTTAGACCAGCAAACACACCACATGTAAGTCTGGTCATGGAGACTAAGCACAGAGAGAAGCTTGAACATTCCGAACCTTTGGTCCCCAGTTGAAACCAAAGTTTCAGCACAGCGAGCAACACCACATCATCCTACTTTCCGAATGTACACATGGCAGAGGAGTTGCCTGTGAAGTAAAGTGAGCCAAGAAGTCCCCCCCCCCCACCACACACAACCACAGTTGTTCTGCTCGTACTTACACTGCCCTTGGAGCAGAATCACCCCAGGGAATGGACAATTACGGTTTATTAATCCTTTGTTGCGGCTCATTGGCTGTGTCTCTTTCACTTTTGCTCAGCACGACTCAATCTGCGTGTCTGAAGCCACAAAATAGCGAAAACACACCAAGAGTGTGAATGTGTTCCTGCAAAGCGAGGTAATGGTGCAGCTCTGCAATTACCGTGAACATGCCACTGCTGACAGCATCACCACCTCCACCAGAGGAAACTCTAGTGCCCCCCTAGAGGTTGTATGGGCCTACTAACTCACTTTTAATTTGACCAGGTAAGGCCCAATGGGCTTTATAGCTCTTTTTCATAAGCGGCCTGGCCATAAATGATAGCTCAACGAAGTGGCTTATCAATGTGGAAATGTATAGCAGCCAAATACTCTGAACGCATGTTTCTAAAAGTGGAGGGAGAACCTGGAGAGGAGAGGCAAATATATACATCAGGCGTCAGGGTCGGGATCAAACCCACGATCTCCTGTATGCCAAGCGAGGTAGTTAACATCTCGCTACGGCGGCACCCTCTTTGGCCTACTCTTCCATTATGGTAAAAAGTTTTGCCAGATGGGAGTACGTGCACTTTTCCCCACCACACACGACCTGCCAATCGACTAACGGTGATTGGCGGGGGGATTTAAGAAGCCTGCCCATTTTTTCTTAAGGACATGAATACATCATAAATCAAATGGCCTCAGAGGATTACGATATTTTTTACAAAAATGTTAGCATTGTGTTTACCAGAAAAAATAGTAAATACTGCACTGGCAATTCCCAAAGGGAATGAGTAATATTGGCAGAGAATTAGCAGACATGTCATTCCTTTACTTCCCGCAGTTGACAAATGCGCTGGCAGTTTAGGGTCCACGCACAGATGTAAAAGTTAATTCATGAAGAGAGGCAATTCCGCTGACGGAAAAAGTCACAATCGAGCCGACCGAACCCTGAGGCCATCGATGCTGCGATGCAATACATCAATCGTGGCGATTTATTTTAAAAAAACCCTCGTCGATTTGCAAAAAAATTACTGAGATCCGTTTGTGTGTATTTCCAACACTTGTGTAGGCGGTGAGGCTGTTACTAGTGTACAGTGTGACGTTATACCCGAATGCCACAGTAACGTTCTGCAGCACAGAAGCAACGTAAAATAAAACACTTTCAAGCCTTGAAATCCCTCCCAGGAACAAGGTCCACACGCCACCTCCCCACTCCATCTCAGGGTCATGCCTGGGTACAGTTCACGGAGGAGTGCTGATCAAGCACTCCTTATAAGCTTCAGGCTGAAACCAAGACAAGGCGTTGCAACAGTCTGGCCAGGAATGCCACGTACATCTGCCCGACAATGTAAAAATGTACACGGTGTAGTGGATTTAAAATGCATGTACCGTACAGCGAAAAGTAAAACAACCCCACAAACTACCAGCTTTGGCAGGGCCTAAAGTTTTGACAATTGCGGCAGTGTACACGGGAATGCGACCATACACATAGGGAGGGATCATCCTTGTTCTACTTTGGTAGCTCGTATTATTATAAAGCGGAATGAGAGACAAACACCTCTGAATATATCTAGATGAGGATAATAAATCAACCGAGCGTCAATTGAGCAATCACAACCCAACGAATGACTTCCAATGTGTGTTATCCACTATCCAAATCAGAACATGCCCTCTTAAAAAACGAACCACGGTAGTAGGACTTGTGGAAACGAGATGGAGGTGTGTTACTGATTTTGGTGCAGTGTGTATCCACGTACTGTCTTACCGTTGGTTCTCGATTTATAAGAGAAAAGAAAAATCTTGCAATACAACGAACGGTAACATAATCCACGCCCACAACCAGTTTGTACATTAACGTTGTGCATTTCTTAATATTGTTCTGTAGTGCAACATCCTTGATGCAAACAGCTGAGATTGCCTGCACAGGTCGTACAGATGGATGATACGCAAATTCCAAAAGCAGTCTTTGAAAAAAAGACTAAAATAAACTAATATTAGTCTACTTGGTACGGCCCACTGAACAATTTAGCTATTTTACTGAAGCGACCTGGCCACAAATGATAGCTTAACGAAATGACTTATCACGTGGACATTTCTAGCAGACAAATACGACACATGTTTCTAAATGTGGATGGAAACCCCGGAGGACCCGGAGACAAATCCACGTAACGGGGAGAACATGCAAACTCCAAATATACAGGCGCCAGGGTTGGGATCAAACCCCACAACCTCCTGTACACCAGGCGATGTAGTTAACATTTCCCCACTGCAGCGGCCAACGAAAAGCTCCCTCAAAGGAAATGCCATGGAGGACAGCACCTTCAGTTTAAGGATGTGCTTAAGCATCGTCTGAAAGATACTGATATTTCCGTGGGGAAATGGGAGGACATAGATCTCATGATCACTTAGTGGAAAAGTGCAATTCACCAAGCAATGGAGCAAATCAAGTATAGGGTGGAAAATTACTGAATCCCCAGGGAGTGGCATCACACGAAGCCTGCTATCAACAATCACCTTCCGGTCGTGAACCGTGATATCTACAGATTTGCTTCACCGAATTGCGCTAACCTCGCACCGACGTGCCAAACAAGCATGGGGATAAATCATCACCGATGTCACTGTCGATATGACGGATGCCCAAGGAATGAACGTTTACTTTAATAGTGTTCCCCAAAAAAAATTACAGCACAACTTTTTTTTAAGTTAAACTACTCGTCTGTGGCCTAATTTAGGACAAGCAGATGAAGAGCTATGGGAGCAAGTCTAATTTTAAAGGAGTCGAGGCACGAATTGTCACTCTGCACAGATATTCTCCAGCGGCGAGGGTCAGCAAGTTGAACAAGGCTCGCATTCACATGAGCGCCCGTTTTCATATTAGCGGGCAGACGCTGAATAGAATTCACAACAGACGTCAGGGGCGCCCACAGCTCTTGCATCCTCTAAGGGTCAAATTTAAGCGTTGACGAAACCGCATTTTTCGAGACGCAATGGCAGGGCAATTTGCCCAGTTGCTCGATTACGGAGAACGGCACATTCTCATCCAAAACTGGACTTAAACGAAGGTTAACCAACATGTTATTTTGGGCCCTTCATATGCACCCGTGACCAAATCACCCAGAATGCACCCGATCTCACCATACTTCAACCTAGCAGGGTTGAGCCTGCATAAGTGCTTTGTCAACCCACGGCACCTGGGTCTGTCCCGTGACCTCCTGCCAGCGGGCGTTCGACCACTTCACGTGGTGACGTCAACGCCACTTGGTAGCGAATGGCAGATGTTGTTGTTGTTAGATGGGAGATGACCATTTGTCCTTAACAGATGTTATAGGCTACCACGAGACAATGTTGTGGACAGCTCAGGGCAATGTGGCAAAACCCATCATGGGACTGTGTTTCTATACTCCCCGTTTATGCTCCCTGCCTTGACCAACCTTCACAATAACCCCTGGCGACAGGCAAAGCCACGGCAGGGCAGGCTCTCATCCGGCAGTAGATTGACAAAAAGGGCCGTACGTGTATTTAAGTAAGTCATTGCAAACACCAGAATAAAATAAATTGATCACAAAAAGTGCAGTTGGTCACGATGTATTTTTGAAAATATGTTCATAAGCCTCTTGGTAAATACAAAGAAATCCAATGGTCGCAGTACTGCATTTCACTTTGTAAAGGGAACCAGAGTCTCAACAGAATGTTTCCTGGTTTAAA